GTGATATCTCTTATAATTAACTGACTTACTTAATTTTTTTAATCTAATCAAATTAGTTAAATAAATTTTAAATTAATATACTAATTTACCAACATGAATTTACAGAGGTGATTAATTTATCAATTTTTGTTATGAGGTGATGAGAGGAGCATGCGTTTTCTATTTATCACATTCAACTTTGTCATATACTAGTTGATATGGTTTTTATAAATTAAAAAAAATGGATTTAGTGCATGGCATTATGAGTTAAAAAATCCACATGACTCCTCACCCGCCCCCTTAAAAGTCTGGGGTTGGCTGAGGGAACACGAAAATATTGAGACGCGCATTTATCTCTTCCTTCTCACTTTTCAGATGGGGGGCAACAGATTTTCAGTTTCCGCATGCCACGTGTCGCGCTCTTCCTCCCATTTTAATTTGCATTCAGATCTAACATAACAAACTAGCGCTGACTCGCCCCTCCCAGACTCGCCGCCCACCCAATGAGCATGTTCAGTTAATATCTTCATCATAAATAATTATTATAAACCATCACCCCTCTCTTTCTCTGACATGCCAAGATGGACTGTTCTTCTGAGAATTCATCGTGACAGTTGTTTTTAGGCAAAAGTCGTGACGTGAACACGCTTATGCAGATACGTGGTCTACTCTTCCAATTAAAATATTCGCTGATTCCACAATTGCCTGCACAGTCCTGCCCTTTATCAATTCGCGGCGATCATCAGACTTTTTTGTAGTTAAGCAAAGAGGCTGATTAGTGATTTACTGGCGGGGCTTTGTCTCCTCTTTTTTTTTTTTTTTAAAAAAAAAAAGAGTAAGGGATAGGCGAAAGAAAACAAAAGGGAAGGAAAATGATGGGACTGATCTCTAATCCCCTTATCATCATAGGATATTATCTTTAAGGTTGTAATTTTCAAATTGAATGATTGGTAATGAGTCAATGATATGTGATTAGCGGAAAGAATCTGAGGAGTGGGGGTCATGTAATACAGCGGTCAATGATGTTAAAAACCTGGCTAATTGCCATCTGATGCAATCTCCCAAGATAATTAATCGCTCTGATTCGCTTCTCTCTCTCTCTCTCTCTGGTGGGAGATGGCTCTTGGCGGTCAAAAAAAGTTAGGTGCTGGCCTTTGCGTGGATGCTCACGAGAGCCGTTCCTTTTGCCGTGGGTGTGGCCGACTTATTATGAATAAGATAAGATTCAGGTATAGTTTAATTAATGCCCGCTTGGAAAAAAATGGAAGGCGTATGCGTAGGCTTCCACGGAAGATATGTAGGAAAGTGGAGAGGGAGAGAGGGACAATAGAAAGAGATTAAACTTTCAGCAATGATAAGACGGAGACCCTTCCACTAATGAAAAGGTCACTCCACGTTAATTATTAATTAGTTTCATAAACCAACGTAGCTTTCTATCACGTGCACCTGATCTCTCTACTAAAATACTAATTATAACCTCATCACTGCCCCCATTAATTTACCCATCACTATTTCCACGTACCCTCTACCTTTTTTTTCGTTAAAAAAAAAAAAAGGAGATTTCAGGAAACCTCGCATTAACATTCACTCAATCTTTTTAGGCACAAGAATAAATGAAATCACCGTATATTCACTAACGTTTCCATACATCAGGTAAGTATTACGTCCGCTACTTAATATAAAAATTTATTTATTTTTTATTTTAATCCTAAATATAAGACTATAATCCACTTTATCTTTTATATTTATTCATTTTTTAAAAGTAAATATTTTAATAATAGTAGTTTTAACGATACACTTGATTATCACTTGATTATTAAGAATATTTTAGGAAAAACAAAATTTATTTATTATAAATAATTAACTTATTTAATTTTTTAATTTATTTAAATTAGTTAATTAATTTTTATATTAAGCACAGTTAGTGTTTGTTTTTTTTTTTTTTGGAGAAGCGCTCGTCATTATCCATCAGCAGAGCCGACTTTTATTCAGAAGAGAACCGATTCTATTGCCGCATCATTTATGAGTGAATCAAACCGGGGGGGGTTGGCCAGGGGAAAAAGAGGGGGGGGGGGGGGTTTATTGGTAATTAAAGAGCCATTCATTAATGTGGGAATAAATAATAGGAGACGATAATATAAATTTCAAGTGCCGAACAGGGCTAAATATTACTATAGAATATAGGATGTACTGTACTAACGAGACAACTCAGCTGCCTCTAAAAACTAAAATAGAAAATAGGGGTACCTTGTAGTTCGTGAAGATATATAAAAGACTATGATTCTCGAGAAGTATTAAGGATAGATATACTACAAGTATAAATTGCGGGGCATGAGGCGTGCCCATTAAAAGGGACAGCTCCATGGAGTGGATGCACAGGGAGGTCGACCCATCACAGGACGTCCTTTTCCACACTCCCAATACTACCCCTGCCCTGGCGATGGAGTCCCCGGCAATCATGTAGGGCAAATGGGTCAAATCATCGGGAGCTTGGTCATGACGCTGACATGGCGACGCATAAAATAGCAGTGGGGGAAAAGGAAGATCACAGTTTTGGAGGGGTGGCGTACGTGTACGTGCAAAAAAAAATAAATAAACAAGAGACGCAAGGCAAGGGGGATTTAACCATGTGACCGTACGCTGTCAAAGCAACATAAAAGCAGGCCTTTGATTGGGATGCATCGTCCTCCTGGTTCCTCCTTTAATCAATTCCCTCCCTTCCTTCATCTTTTTACCATTCCTCTTTTCCCTCTCCTCTTTCAATTTCCCCCCTTTTCGCCTTGTGCACTTGTACTGTTTAGTATCATTCCAATGAAGTAGATCCGAGTCGAGCCTATGGCTTTAGTGGAACTCAATTATTCCGTATGAATACAATTGGTACCCAATCATGCACCGAACAGGGAGCACGCCCCTTTTTGGAGCTTCGTTTCGCTCGCAAATTGAGAAGATAAGTGTTGGTACAAAAAGTATTGCAAATACGAATGCCGCGTAATTCCGCTGACAATGATATTTGTTTGGGTCCCAAAAAACAAAAATAAATAAAAAGGAAGTGTTTTATCTGTTAAATTCTTCATTTTCAAAGCGAGTAACCTGTGATGTGAAAGAACTCTTCCTTGTACAGGAGTCCTGAATATATTCCACAGATACCAGCATGCGAATGCTAATTAGCCCAGCAATACTTGCCTTGCTAAACACGTTCTTCTCCGTTGTTTATTGGCCGCCGCCTCCTTTTACTAAACCAGCTACTGGGCTCCTCGTAATAGTGGCCCATTTTACCTTAATATTTATGATCTTATATTCTTGTAATGATATCTCGTTGACTAATTTAAATTGATTGAAAGAGTCACTTTTCTAATTCTAAATATTATTTATGATTCTAAATATAAGAGCTGGTTGATTAATTTGACTATATTAGAAAAATAAATTAAATTAGTTATTTATAATAAATATGTACTGTCTTTTTTAAAATATTTTTCCTACTCAAATGTATTGACTATAACTATTATTATTAAAAGGATTATTTTGAGAAAAAATACATAAATATGACAAATATAGTAGATTAAGATATTATATTTAGTATCAAAATAAAAATCAAACAAGATCTTCTATTAAAGATCGGAAGAGTAGTATGAGGTGAGTCTTATATCTAGGACTAGAGAAATACTACCCCGGTCTTCATTATAAGAGCCAGTTGACTAATTTGAGGAGATTAAGAAGGTAAGTTGAGTTAGTTATTTATCTTAAATAGGTGTTGTCTTTTCTAAAATATCCTTGCTAATCAAATATATTGACTAGAACTATCATCGTTAGAAGGGCTGAGACAAAGTGGACTGGGGTCTTATATTTAGGACTAAAATAGAAGTCAAACAGGGTCTTATATTAAGAACCGAAGGTAGTATAAGATTTCATTTGACTTTTATTTTGGTCCTAAATATAAGATACCAATCCACTTTGTCTCTCATATTTATGCATTTTTTTTCTCAAGATAGTCCTTGTAACGATGATAATTCTAGTCAATACACTTGATTAGCAGGAATATTTTAGAAAGACAATATTTATTTATTACAAATAACTACCTTGATTTATTTCCTTAATCTTCTCAAATCAATCAATTAACTCCTATAATTAGGATCGAAAGTAGTATTAAATTAGTCGACCAGGTGTGAAATGAAACGCACAAAAACCCCCTACACAAGCTTATCTTTAAGCTCGTGTGACCCCTCCTCTAAAGAATTTGATATGGTGTCACTAGATCCAAATTTAAATGGGTGCACATAGATCCTTATTTTAAATTTCCTTCAAGATATTGGATTCTGGAATTAACTGGACTTAACTGCAACGTTAACTTGGATCTTGAGATATTCTTGAAAGTAAGTTTAAACAATCTCCTTCCCTTAAAAATCATATAACCTACCCATCACTAGTTTCATCTCAAGGTTTAAAAAAAATCAGATGATAGAGTAAATGTTACGGGAAAAAACAAAAAACATATATAGGGAATTTATCCCAAAAAAAAAAAAGTGCAGGAGCAAAAAGGGAGAGGAACGATGACGGGTGGATTGGAAGTTGATGAGTGTAGGAGGGGAGGGAAGACGGTGGCCGAGACTGACTGCTAGAATGAAACGGGGGCACATGATTGGACGGCCATGATGTCATGATTTCCACACTTGAGTTCATGATTCAATATCATTCCCCAATATTCTAACCCCGACGCTTCCCCTCTCTTACCTCCCTCCCACGTGGTCCCCACTGCATCCTCACATCCGGCCGTGCATTTCGAATCATGAGATTCCCTTCCCCTGCGCATCATACCACTTTATCATAACCCCCCGCCATTTCTCTTGTCGGTATCCCCACTCCGCTCGCGATAATTTCCCCTCAATATACCGTCCTCCCTTCCCTCTCTCCACGTGTCGCCGCTATAATTGCCCATAACTCCCCTCCCAAACTCAACCACCCATTTAACCCTAGTTAAATCCCAGCCTCACCCCCCGCTCAAAAATAAAATCCTTATCCTCTCTTCTGCGCTCCCTCTCCCCTCCCTCCCTCCTTCCCTGCCAACTACAACCTCCTCCTCTGGTGTCTATGGCGTCTCAGATCTAACAGTACCGCCCAGTTGCTTCTGCCCCGCTTCCTTCATCCGCATCTTTTCCCTTAACCGCTTCGCCCTGTGGGAACACTTCTTGCTGTTCCAAATGCGGAGAATCTCTTACTCCTTCCCCGAGGAAGTCCTCGAGCACGTCTTCTCTTTCATTCACTCCGACCAGGACCGCAACGCCATCTCCTTGGTCTGCAAGTCATGGTATGAGATCGAGCGTTGGTGCAGGAGGAGCATTTTCGTCGGCAACTGCTATGCTGTTAGCCCTATGATGGTGGTCAAACGGTTCCCCAAGCTGAGATCCATTTCGCTCAAAGGAAAGCCTCACTTTGCGGACTTCAATTTGGTTCCTGAGGACTGGGGTGGCTATGCCTGCCCTTGGATCGAGGCCATGGCTAGTGCCTATCCGTGGCTAGAGGAGATCAGGCTCAAGAGGATGGTCATAACGGACGAGAGCTTGGAGCTGATTGCTAAATCATTCAAGGACTTCCAAGTCTTGGTATTGTCCTCTTGTGAGGGATTTAGTACCGATGGACTGGCTGCCATTGCTGCCAATTGCAGGTGATTTCATCCTTTCTTGGGCTTTTGCTACTTCAGCCTTTCGAACTTTATAACTTCGGGCTTTGTTGGAATGAGAGGGAGGGAAGAGAAAGAATTAATTAAAGCAGTTATTTTCGGCGCAGGAGTTTGTAGATTTTAACCAATACCAGGCCTCTGCCTTATTCTTTCGTCACTGACAAACATTAAGTTTAGAAAAAGCTATTGGGTAGTTGTAGTTCTACTTTCTTTGGAATAATGATGAGGCTTCTTCCGATACTGGGCAGACTTATTTTTCATTCGAGTCTGGCAAAGCGACGGATATTGTTGAATATTGTCGCCTCTAGCCGCATTCTTCAAGAATACTGCTGGAAAATTTCTTATCGCGCTTCATGTCGAACTTGGAATAGCAATTATATCCATCATGCTCTTTAATGGCTTCTTATATTTGAAAGTCCTGGTGAATATGGCAAACATATCGTTCTCTTCATTTGTATTCACCAGTTCAACGCCGCTTAGGGCGGAACTATCACCCGCGCATACCAGCGATGTTGTATTCGGCTCGTTTCGCAGCGATGTCCCCTTGTCCCATTCGAGTTGGATGCATAATATATTTTTTCAGCATTATTTCCATTTTGCTGCTATTCTAGCGACAATTCGTTGACATTTACCATCTCTGTACTTATTGCGCTTCTTGGTGCGGGTTTATAGCTTATGCAATAGTTCTGGCTTTCTGTTTTTCTTCCGATGTAGATCTAGGGACGTACTTTTAATTCTTAAATAGCTATTGTAGCCAAGACCTTGAGCTGTTACTTTATACTTTTTGTTAATCAATAATTGTTTGATAATTATTAGATCGACTGCGCCACTAGAGAAAGAACTAGTTTTCAGTTATTGTGGTCTTTGCTCTAGCAAGTTATATAATAGTCTTGAATATGGCAGGGTTGTCATCAGTGGCATTGACCATAAATTTTGCTTGTGTGATTCTGTTCACTTCTTTCTTTATCTACCATAAACTTAAGGATTGCTGGTTTGTGAAGCATCTTGATAGACTGGCTCCTAATGCATTGCAGGAATTTAAGGGAGTTGGACTTGCGGGAGAGCGAAGTGGATGACCTTAGCGGGCATTGGCTAAGCCAGTTTCCTGATTCATTTACATCGTTAGTTTCCCTTAACATCTCGTGCTTAGGTTCTGAGGTGAGTATATGTGCCCTAGAGCGCCTGCTGGCTAGGTGTCCCAACTTGCAGTCTCTTCGCCTCAACCGTGCTGTGCCCCTTGAAAGGCTAGTCAACCTAATTGGCCGGTCACCCAACTTGGTTGAGTTAGGCACAGGAACTTACTCAAGTGAGATGCAACCTGATGTCTTCTCAGACCTATCAAGAGCTTTTGTAGGGTGTAAACAACTGAAGAGCTTATCTGGCTTTTGGGATGCAATACCCTACTACCTTCCGGCCGTCTATCCTATCTCTTCCAGGCTTACTTCACTAAACTTGAGTTATGCTACTACTGAGAGTCCCTATCTCATCAAGCTTCTCAGTGAATGCCGGAATTTGCAGCGCTTATGGGTAAGTCATTAAATTTACGCGCTATTAATTCCATGTTTATGTTAAATATAATATTCTGAGTCCTACTGTAAGTTCCTGTACTTAATTTAAGTTTGATCCGTTAGGTGCTGGATTACATAGAAGATTCTGGCCTGGAAGCCCTTGCGGCATCATGCAAGGATTTGAGGGAGTTGAGGGTGTTTCCATCTGATCCATTTGGGCTAGAACCAAATGTTGCATTAACGGAAAGGGGCCTTGTTTCTGTGTCTGAAGGCTGCCCCAAGCTTCAGTCGGTTCTCTATTTCTGTCGCCAAATGTCTAATGCTGCCCTCACTACGATTGCCAGGAACCGGCCTAACATGACTCGGTTTCGCCTTTGTATTATTGAGCCTCAAAAGCCTGACTACCTTACTCTTCAACCACTGGATGCGGGCTTTGGAGCAATTGTAGAGCATTGCAAGAACCTTCAGCGCCTATCCCTTTCTGGTCTTCTTACGGATCGTGTTTTTGAGTACATTGGAAGACATGGGAAGAAACTTGAGATGCTTTCTGTGGCATTTGCTGGAGATAGTGATCTGGGGCTTCATTATGTACTGTCTGGGTGTGACAACCTGAGGAAGCTGGAGGTCAGGGACTGCCCCTTTGGTGATAAGGCCCTCCTGGCGAATGCTGCAAAGCTGGAGACAATGCGATCCCTTTGGATGTCCTCTTGCAATGTGAGCTTTGGAGCATGTAAGCTGTTGGGTCAGAAAATGCCTAGACTTAATGTTGAAGTCATTGATGAAAGGGGCCATCCGGATTCAAGGCCAGAGAGTTGTCCCGTGGAGAAACTCTATGTATACAGGACCATAGCAGGACCGAGAACGGACATGCCTGGCTTTGTTTGGCGAATGGAATATGATTCCGCATTAAGGTTTTCTTGAGTGGTTGTAGCGTAGATTGAGTGAACAAATGGCACACTACAGGCGCATCTGGTGAGGATCGTCAATGGCAGGTACATGCATACTCTCAGTAAGCTGGTCACATGATGAGATTTACTGTTGCCTGGCTTAGACAAGTGCAGTTATGGATATGGTTGGTGTTTGAGCTATGTACCGGATGATATGGAGGCTCGTGCTCCTTTGCCATTCATTTTACGCTTTGGGGCTGCGCTACGGGATCTTGAGTAGTTATGAATAAGTTAATAAATAGACTGAATTTTTGCAAGTGCATGTGATGGAGTCATATAATTCTTCTTTCGAGGTATATTCTACGGACTTGCGCGTAGTTCATGCTCGCTGCCTTTATATGGTGCAGTAAGATATTGTGGAATCGTTTGTGATTCAGTCAATAAAATTCAGATTCAAATGCACAGGCCAGTGGGTGTCCCTACGATGTTGTTGTCAGAATAGTATTGTGCATTCTCGTTCACCCCCGTGATGGCATTGTCGAATGTCTCATTTTAGCGGGCATGTGACTTGCTATGGAAGTTTACTGTTGTTTAAACAAATTTTAATGTTAGTAAAATTTTAAGTGAAGGTGTGATATTGAATTCTTAACTATTTTTTTAAAGACGATTGAGTTATTCGACCCCGAGATTAGCCCGGTGCATCTGTGCGCGCAGTACTTGTTTTAACATCTTACATGAATACGAAAAATGCGACTATAATTACAAATAAATTGTATTGCCTTGCCTGTAAAGTTGATGACAATGACATCGAGGGGAAAAAGTGATTTGGTCTTTTGGCCTCAGGTGTGACATGTGGTCTTCTTTCATTCAATTGGTCTCTATGCTCAGTTGTACCTTGGAGTGATGAACCACGTGATTGATTCCGTTCGGAGAAATTATGATTCTTTACTTTTGGATCGGATTTTGATTTACTAATTTTAACGCTAAATAAATTTATTCAAAATTTCTCATATTTGATTTACAGCTGACACTGTGAATATCGGAATCTTATTGGTAAGAGGGATCGGTGCCAAATGATCACTATCAGCCGACAGGTGTGGAAGGCCATGGCATTGTACTCGGAGAAATTTAAGTTTGAAATGAAACGACGTTTAACTTGGCAGAATTTACAGCAAGAGATTTTTCTAATTATATTCTTTTGCCTACAGGTATTATTATTTCATCAAATAAACAAAGGAGAACATATAGAGCGCATTACCGTCGCACATGGAGCCCGCCTCTTCCGTTTCTTTTGTAATTTTTTTAAAGTTAATATGTTTTTCCAGTTTATTGTACATGATTTTTTCATAAAACATGATTGATAAGAAGAAATAAAATAACATTTAGGAAGATATATGTACGTAGCAAAAAATATATTTATATGCAAAAAAAAATAGATACATTTATTTATGTCAATCCCTTGGGAGAGAATTTCGGTCCCCACGACTGCCAGTCTGGATCCGACCCTGCCCGACATTTAACCATTTTCAATTTAACCCGAAGTTCAATCAATTATATCAACACTACATGCTGAAAATTATGTACTCTTTGTGATTTATTATTTTATTTCTTTCTAAAATTGGAAGAGTTGGGTGACGGGGGAAGCTGATTAGTTGCATTTAATTATGGCTGATTGGCTTGGTAACTCGTAAGAAATAATTAGTGGCCTGGACGCAATGACCATTCCACTGATATAAAGGACACCCTCTTGTAATGGAAAAGAATACCGTGCAAGGAATATATATATATATATATATATATTATTTTAAGTGAAAATGGAAGAATTTCATTTCATTTAGCTGTTTGCTTGATGGATACTTGACTCAAGGGTCTGAGCTAACGGGTACATAAATTTTGAAAATTAAATTAGTTAATGATTTTGATTACTTTTGTGATGATTTTGGCCGCAAGTCAATGTGTTAAAATTATTTTTCCAATCAATCGGCAGTTCTAAATTATCGTTTTCCTGGCGTCTTATTAACTTGTATCATTTAATTATCATTTTTTTTCTCTCAGTTGGGCCTTAAAAAAAACCCTGAGGATTGGATTGTCTGCGCCACTTGACAAAATAGCGTGAAATACACGGAAGCATGCCCCATGTTTTCCCATTCCCCCGGATTGTCAGTCTGTGATCTCTACCTCACAAGTCTAAAAGAACATGGCAGGTGGATACCCCACAACTAATTTTGTTCTTTTTTAAAAAAATAAAAATAAAAGAGAAGACCGTAAGCATTGACCACAAACCTTGATAGGAAATAGTAAGAGCGGTTTGAAATCACATTCTTAAGTACTTATAACGTTTCATGTAGTTGAGATAAAACTTCTCTCATACATATTTTTTATATTATGTAAATTATGATTTAAAAATTATTTATAAGTCATTTAAAACTGTTCTAAGAAGAAGAAGAAAGGAGGAGGGCATTGCCCACAATAGCATTGACGTGTTCACGGCACGCAGAGGGTATCATACACACACATATGTGAGGATTCTTGTGGTGATGCTTAGCTTGAGCTTGAGAAGGAACTAAGAAGGGAAAGTAATCCGCACAGAATCGTGCGATGAGTATTCGTATTATTTAACGAAACCGCCGATGCTTCTGCTCATTTCTCTCACTCTTATGGTCCTCCACAAGGGTCGTGGCTGTATATCTCTGTCCTTGTTTAATTCCCTTTTCTTTAATCTTCTTCTTCTCATCTGTCTCGCCCTCTTTATCATTCAAAGCTTCATTTCACTTACCAAGCTTAATTGAGGCCCTCCATCACACATGCGTCTTTATTAATTATGAGCATTACGTGTTTACGACTTTAATTTGGCTCAAACTCTCCTGAGCATTTCATGGCATCTAAAATCAAATATATGTTGGTCTCTTTAAATTAGGGACCCTTTCTCGTTGTGATGATCATAATGAATTTTCAAACTACACTGATGATGCTTATAGCTAATGTGATGTGACCTCATATGGACCGAGAAGAGAAGGCCATTCAGAGATTAGTACGAAAAATGATGAAAAGGGTGATGAACAGGTGAGATCTTTGGGCTCAAGAGTAAATGGGAAAAATGTAGAGGCCGTGAGGGCAACATCGAAGTTAAAAATCCATATTTAAGAGAGCGCTAGCTTGCAACAGCTTATATTCTTCAAGTGCAGCATAATCAGTTATCAGCGTGATTTAAAACCATTAACTGTTTACAGCATTTATTTGAGACTATATCTTAATTAATGGCAATGTCATGAACAATTATCGCTGCCTGAAGAGTTTGTTGTTTGAACGCTGGAGACGCTGTACTGCCTTGTCGCCTGGTTGGTGTTAGGTGGATTAATTTTTTTCAATATTGGTCTATTGCTTAATTGTGTAGAAATTATGCATATTATTGCTGGCTAGCTGGAATATTCCCAACATACTTATCTTTTAACTCTCCATTTCATAATTGCGGAAAAAACAGAGCTAGCATTTACATCAACCCGGAACTGAAGTGCCACCTTTTTTCTTTTTCCCGTGGGATGCAACGGGTTTCAAACTTTGTTAATTAATTAATTAATGTGAAGATTGTAACTGGCATTTGGCAACTTGTAAATAATTGAGCAAATAATGCTTCCTGGCACGATATGCTCCTCATCTTCTGATTGGTAAGAAATATATATAAAGATAATTAGGCCACTAGAAAAGAAGTTACGGCGATTTGCTTGTGTATGAAATAGTATAGGCTTAGTATAAGTAAACAAATCGCCTGTCCTCTAGCTAGCATCCAGAATAGACAAATCCCGTTCCGGTCCAGCGTCATGCAGCAGATCACCGATGCATCCATTCTATTTCATGTACAGGCCTTTCAATGAATATATATAATTAAACACAACCACGAATAAAAAGTATGATTAAGTTGCACCTAGCACTCTAAATTATTTTCCAAGGTACATTTAGCATCTAAAAAATTTAGTGGTGCAATTTTACCCATAAACAAATAAAAATAGAGCAATTTTGACCCCAAGTTAACATAATATTAACCTCCGTTATTTCTCATGTTAAGTGCTACCGTTCATCGTTTGAGATGCGACCTCAGCCTTCCTCCTCTTTCAACGGAAGACCATCCTGATCACTAACGAATGAATTTCTTCTCTAATTGCTGGCACAGAGCTATGCAATGTACATGTGATTTATTAGCTCCATAAACCATAGCAAGCCTCTATATATGAAATTTCTCACGAAAAAAATAGAAAAACACAACTCACTTTGTTTTGCTCATTAAATAAAGAGCATTAGAAGCAACAATCAACTAACATCACCCCCGAACAATGGAGGTCTGGGAATAATCATAAGTGCGCCTTTAAGAAACTCTATGGAACGTCCATGCATACCCTTCCTATAAGCTTTCTTACCCAATTCAAACATCAGCAGAGCTGTGGCCCTCCTCTCTCCACTGCTTGTTCCTTGGTCATTAGCCACATAAATCATCAAATCCATGAACAAGTCAAGGCTGATTCTAGTTTAATTACTTAATGTTTGTACAGTCTAATAATTTTTAGATAATCAAATCAAGAAAAATAAAACTTTTTTCAAGCTCTTTTCTAACTCTGATCCTCCTCTGCCTTAATTCCCAATGGCACCTTTGGTCCTCCCTTGAAGAAGGTAATGAATTGTGTCCAGTAGAGTTGCCCCTCCTCTGGTTCAGACCTCCATATGTAGCTCATTGGTTCAACTCATCCTCTCTCTCTCTCTCAGAGAGGAAGACGATAAACCCCCTTTCTTCTCGTACAGTTCGTCATACTTCTATTTCAGTGAAAATAATGATGACTCAAGGTCGTGACTCTAGCATGATGAAAACGATGAACAATAGCAATCACGGTGAGACAGATGACAGTTATATTAGTTTGGGGTGTGAATTGCACCATTTTTAACATAGTACGGACAAAATTGTACGATTAAATATTTTATAGTGCTGACTACACTTTCAAAAATTTACCTTAACCCTAGAGAGTATTCTCAGCAGTTTAGCCAAAAGTAAATAAATTATAATAAGTACAGAAACAAAATCATGTCTAGATTGTTTTGCAAATCATAATATCGAATATGTATAATTGTACAAAGCGAAAAAAAGGATGATTGTGGGAGAAGTTTATGACATCGTAGCAAAGCAGCTCTTTACGTTTTTTTTTTTTTGTAATGTGAAAATAATTAAAGAGGATCACTAGTGAACCAATAGCAAGAGTTAAATTTCAAATTTATGCTTCGGTCTTGATGTGGGGCTGAAGATGGCGATCCTGAAACAAGCAAAGAAGTATGACTAAAAGTTTTGGGTATGAGTCATTTTTGGTAGCTCATCAAAAACTGCTCACGAACAAGAATGGAAATACTGATCTCGTCAATAGCTGGATCCCATTTCAGCTTTATTTCGCACACTCTTGCCTTCACTATAAAAGTAGCTTCTCTTCGTTGCAATCCTCCTGACAGCACTCTCTCTCCCAGCCCATGGCTTCCATGACACTGACCATGCCGTCTCTTCTTCTTCTTCTGGCATACCTGCCAGCTTCCCACAGTAGCATCAATATAATGGCTTCTCACTGGAGCTCATTCCTTCCTTCTCACCAAAATCACCTCTCTTCAAATTCACAAAGCAGAGTGCAGACCAATCATCCCATGCAAGCACCGAATCCGTAGCTCCTCCATCAGAACCTTCCATTAATGCTTCACACATCCTTACTCCTCCCATTCAGCAACTATTCGAATCATCGTTCGTTGGTCAAGTTGGTCTCGGAACGTTCGACGCGAAAACTCCTTCTGCGTCTCACAAATCCTACTACTTCATCATGGACACCGGAAGTTCCCTCACCTGGACTCACTGTGAGGATTGCAAGCTCCCCGGTAACTCCTGTTACAGGCAGAAGGAACAAGTCTTCCCGAAAAAGAACTCCAAATCCTTCGACCCTCTGCCATGCAGCAAACACCCTCTTTTTAAGCCAAACAAGTGCATTGGAGGCCGTTGTTCCTATTCTGTAAAATATACGGATGGAGTTAGCCTATATATTCATCTGGCATTCTCGCCAAAGAGGCATTCGATTTCCCCTCCACTTCTTCTACCCCCCGAACCGAGGCTATCCCAGGCGTGGTATTTGGATGTGAACTGAGGAACATAGACCCAAAAGAGAGTGCACATTATGAAATAGCGGGCGTGTTTGGTTTAGGTCAGGGACATCGTTCTTTCGTGAAGCAAATACAAAAACAAAGCGACGGGAAATTCTCCTACTGTCCGACAAACATCGTGCAAACTCTGAATCCCCTGCCGAGAATGTATCTGAGGTTCGGAGCAGAAATAATAAAGCCGCCGAGAGATTTGAGAATGATCCAATTCTTCAAAAACGGGGGATATGAGGCGTACTTTTTGAGGTTACTTGACCTAGGGGTAAATGGGGAACCGCTTGGTATTATCCAAGGGTGTTCCAAGTACGTAGGAGCTAAGGGGAAGGGCGGGGTGCGTGGTGGATTCAGGCTCATCACATTCCTTCGTGATAGAAAAAGCTTATAAAGCATTGGAGAGGAAGATGAAGCCGTACTTTTCAAGGTTGCCGGAATTCGAGAGGTACAGGAGAGAGGAAGGGAGGTTGTGTTACAGAAGGAAGAAGGTGGAAGGATTCAACAAGATACCGGGTGTGAACTGGTATTTTGAAGGGGGAAGCATGGATGTGAGTGGGGAAGGCACCTTCAGGAGGGAAGGAGGAGGAGGAAAAGAGGGGTTCTGTATGATGACAGAGGCAGATGAAAGCATGACAACGTTGGGCGCATATCAGCAAGTGAATCACAAGTTCATTTACGATACGGTCTAGAACAAGCTGCATTTTGGCCCCCAAGATTGTGCCACAGACGGTTTAAAAATAAATAAATAAATAAATAAATTTTTTCCTATGAAAAATATATATATATGCATTTTTGTCTCGTTTATAAGAATTATAAAATAAGTATATCACCATAAAAAAATCATAGATTAAGTAATTTGTTGGGCATCAAATCTGCAATTAATGATGGATGTCAAAGTAATTAAGGGAATCCGGTAAGAAATCAGAAAATCCATGCAATGATCAATACGATGGGATCTTTATTATTTAGGAGAATCCGAATCCTTTAATTATAGATACGGATTTGTATTTGTTGATTGATGTGGAGATAAATTTTAATCAGCTGACGTTCTCAATTGCTGCCAATCAAATTTCTGTTACGTTGCGTTTAATAATGGGAGTTTGACCATACGTTGACGATTTGGACTCTTGAGGCTTGAGGGTCAAGTTAAGGGGCTGCTTTTCTTTCCTATCTGGTTTTCACGTTATGGATTTAACTCTGCATAGACTTTTATAAACATTTTCTTTTTGCAAAATGATGTAAAAATAGATGCGTAACCGTGCCTTGCACTTGAGCAGAATCTATCTATCTACCTATCTACCTATATATTATATTGATGGTATTGATAATTTTACAAGAATATAAATAAAAACAATTTAGTTGAACTTTCTTTCAATTTAGTTGCCATAATTTACCAATTTATATTAGAGCATATAAAATTGATGAAATTTTTAATTATCTTTTATTAAACTTTTGGTAAAATTATATTAAATTTTGTCGATGTAGCTAATTATATAAGAGTGTGTGCGTGTATATAATTTATCCAATACAAGATAGGATTTTGCACGCAAGTAAGTAATACATAAAAGTTGCTGGATAGGTTGGCTGTTTGTGATTATCATAATTATAATTCAGATTTCTGATTCAAGACCCTCAAGTTCAACACACTATCTTCACACTTGTTCTTCTTGCTAAGGCAATGCTGGAGACAAGAATTGATCCTCATCCATCATCCGTAAGCATTATTGCGAGCTTAGATTTCTTCTCTGCTTTGATTCATTGTTTATATCGCGGCATTACTGGTGAGTCTTGTGCCTTCCCCAGATATTGTGTCATTCTTTTTTTCTTTTGAATTCAGGGCAGTCAACAATATTCTTGTGTACGTAAGATTGACGCCGGAATGGTTCGGACAGATAATCACCAAACAACAAGACCCCAAGAAAAGAGGAGCGTCGTCATTGCTCTTCCAGTAACTTTCTTCCTACCTCGCTTTCTTTCTTTAATTGATATTTAAACCTACTCCATCGCACTGAAAATAGGAGTCAGGGGATTATGAGTTTAGATGCCTTGATGAGTTACAGATTGTGCTAATTTGCAGGCGAGTAATAGGAATCAGCAGATAAAGAATGAAAAGAAGAGGAAAAGGAGAGAGGAAACAGAGAGTGAGAAGAGGGAAGAGGTGGAAAGTCAGAGTGGTCAAGAAAGCGACGAGGAAGAGCAATGGCGGCACTGGTCTCATGATTTCGCGAAGCAGTTGATAGACTTGAACGAAGGAGGCGTGCCCACTCCGGACGAACAGATCACCATGATTCCCAATCTTTTCTTCAAGGACTTGTTACAACTCTGATCCTCTTCGACTTTTATTTATTCTCATGCCACGCGAACCATTCCGTCTAAATTTTGTGCACCTTCAGTTTTATATGAACTTTATTTTATATCCAAATGATATTCTTTAAATTTAAATGGTATCAATAAATATCCATGAAATACATCAATGATCAACTCTTGCGACAATATCTATATGTTTAACTCTCTCATGATCTTCTGGCCAAAAAGAATGAAAAAGAACCCTCATGAATATCAAGAACCAAAGTCCGTAGATCAGGCAGTCTATAGCTGCATCCAGTGATCGGCCTTTAAGATTGTATTTATATCTAACCTTAATTACTCAATACATAAATCCTCTCATTTTTTCTAAATTAAAAGATCAATTTTATAAGGTGAAAAGAGTTATACAACTAAGTTTGACATTGAAGAGATTAGAGAATGAGAAATTAATAAAACATTAGTTTTGTAAAAAGAATAACTAGACAAAGATCGTAATAACATATTGACATTCTTTTCCAAGATATGATTGAGATGAGACCGACTGAGTTGATCATTAAGCAAATTCTTCTTACAAGAGACAATATTAATGTGATTCAATGATGCAGAGAAAGTTAGTGCAACTTTAGTAATCCAACACAAGTCTTAGGCAGCAGATGCCAAAAAAAAAAAAGATCAAAAGATTGTCGTTTCATCAACTTGAAGGTTTGAGTTTCATCATGACCCAAGAAAACAATAGCAACATAAGAGGTATGCCTTCGAATTTTAACTTTTTTTAAGAATATTATCTAACTCTGCGAAGTTAAGAATGTTGTAAATATCGCAAATGGGCAAAGTGGGAATAGTAGCTGGATTTGAAATATTAGTAATGCATGAAAAGCTCTGCCAATTACAAGGCCCCATGAGGTAGTTAAAAGGGGAGCATTCCGCCTTAGAGGGAAGGACCCGCGCGAGCAGTGATGGACTTTTTCTAGATTACTGATGACAGCTCTGTGAAGTGTCATATTCCGCTTAGTTTAGATGAGGCTCTCATATACTACTCCTATACACATCATAATTATTATTTGAAATTAATTTCCCCACAAATGTGACGACTGAGGAGCGATTTCTAGTTTTGCAATAGAAGAGATACCTAATCCGGGCAAAAGTTCACGTGTAATTCACAGCGAGGGAAAGAATTTGCACCAATTTACATGACAAAGTAAGATGATAGTGATGCAATTTTAACTGGATTCTGGAAAGCGAAAACACTAGTCATGTGTTAGAAATCAAAGCCATTAAATCCGAAGAGAAATTTGGACCTTCTAAACTCCTTAGTCCTTTCTTTGAACAAGAAATAAAAAGCCTCCCAAGTCCTTGGTCCTTCCAGTACCCCAGTCAATGCGGGGAAAGCACTTGGTCAATGCTTAATTATAACCAGAGTCGAGCGGAAACGCAGACAAGGAACAACAAAACGACGTGGAGACTGCCGAACAAGAAAATTGTGAATAAATAACCGCCACAATACCTTCGAACAAAAGAAGGCATGAGCAACGAAATAAATTAGAATGCGAATTTTTATGTAAATAATATAAAGAAAGAGAATGAATTTTTCAAATTAAAATTGAAAAAAAAAATGGTCGAACAGGAGAGGTTGTGGAGGATCTAGTCTACGATCCCAGCTCCACATGATGGGAACTATCTCGCGAGAGAGGGGCAGCAGCCCAAGTGCCCAACTTCCACTTCCAAGCAATAAGCAATCGCGCTTTCAACGCTGATAAATTCCTATAGGGATGCCCGTGAGAGCATGTTTTAACCACCAAATTAACCCCATTAATTTGATAGAATCACATTCCTGTAGCCCCTTCTCCACATCAACTCCGAACCCCTGCGCTTAGCACCCCGCCAACCCCTTGTTCCCGTAAAATCCCTTCATCCAATAAACTATTTCTATTTCTTTGTTATCTTCTCATTTTCCACCCAATGAAATATTACCTCATAACGTCTCACACAACACATGAAATATTACCTCATGATGTCTCACACAACACGTGTCTGCACCAAATTCTAACTTTTCATGTTCTATTCGTTCAATACATGTACATCTATATGTCTCTGTGTGTGTGTTTTAAACTTGAAAAGCAAAAAAAAAAAAAATGATGCACACTTTACGAAGTAAAGGTCTGCATGGTTTGTGGCCCTCAAGACTCTAATTTGTGTTTGTTGAGATCCAAGTATTACAATGCAAATATCTGATTTCTTTCCAAAGACATTGACCAGAAAATAAATCGAAACTAAATGGAAGCAAGGAAAACGGTTTGGTACGGCCAAACATCTGTTTTGTGCTGAACAGCTCGGTGCCTTCCGATCAAGCTTATGCTACCAAAAATGCCATGTTATATATTCAAATGCAGCCACAAGGTATTTGTGCTTCATAATCTAAAGGATAGTACATGAACATGGATTCATCTTTTGATTGTCCTCCTGATTATTATCTGCATGGTAATGCAAGGGGAAAATGAGTGTGATTAACAGATGCACGCATATAAACTTCCAAACAAATCTCGGGTGAATTCACGAAACTCACAAAATTTAGCTTACTTCATTTAAAGCACATTGAACAAACCTTTCTTATCCTTAGTTACAGGGGGCTGCACTACAACGTGCATGGTAATAACCCCCCCAGGAACATCACCGAGAGTTATTCTGCAATCAGCTAGAGTTTTGTTGTTTTCCAGAACTTTACCAGCATGAATAAGCTTTACATCGCCAGCTGACTTTGGCGAAAATGTTTTTCCTGTAAATGCAAAGACTCCATTAGAAGATGAGGAAGACATACAGTATCTATGGAGAGTTCTTAAATTTCACAAGGTTGGCATGCTGTCAAATATATCAATTCCGTAATTGCAAGACAAACAAAGTGCCAGTTCTATGCATGTATATAAATATTTCAAATGTAGCAGGCCCAAAATGCAAGGACATTTAGCAGCTCAAGCATTTTTATTTAGAAACCCTGATACGGAGAATTCAAGCTTTCCGGTCAACGGATATGTGTTTCAAGATTTGTGTATGGCAAGAAATATTACTTATTACCGATCATGAACCCCTTTATTGACAAACACATGAGCTCAGTATACTAAATAAAATGAGTTATTCAATGCAATAGTTCTCATAACATGAACTGATGTAAATCTTCCGAAGGTACTCTAAAGATGCACCAGTTTTTATTTTGTAAGATTTCGGCCCCGTATAAACTAAATTCCTTCCCCACTTTTATGATTGGAAAACAACCTCAAATCCATGATCAAATTTAACGATATATACTTAATTAATACTTCCATTTTCTTCATTAGCTAGAGAACTACACTCCCTAGCTCTATATGGATTACAAAGATCATCCCCAACACGGTAATATGCATTATAAGGGATTAAAGTAATTGGAAAGCAATCCAGAACGACATGTTACAAAACCAAATATCATGTGATTCTATAAATTTCAGCAGTACAGATATGCAAACATAATAGAGTATGATGTTTCTAATCTTGTGTACCATTTGGCGACATCTATAAGCTATAACTTTATCCTCAATATAGCAATTCAACATAAATGTTACTTTTATTCAAGAGGCCTGAACTATACATGCTTAACTCCGATTAAAATAAATAATTATTAGTAGTATATATTATTAAACTCAACCAACAAAAAGAATCATAAAGACATGACAGAATAAGATTGCCAACCTTGAGGCCACTCCGCGACCACCCTTTGTTTAAGGGTGCCAATTGTTGTTGACGATGAATAAGTATTGTGGGCTATGTCTGTTCCATCAAATATACGGAATTTAAGTTCAACCTGCTCATCTCCTTCAGCCATAGTTTGTGCGTACGACTATGCCAAGCTTATATAACAGCAAAACAGCACTTTCCACGGACAGCGAATTCTGCCTCGCCTTACTCACCTGGTATCCATTCCCATAACTTCAGTCCATTTACGATCAATTACGTGTGAGCTCTTTAAAACCACAGCGAAGACTTTTGGCATAAACAGTCCACTAATCAGCTCGATTCTTCAAAAAGGAACAAACTTATAAAACGAGAAAAGACGACATGTACATTTTGGTCTTAAAATAATTACACACTACAATTATTAAGCCCTGGATCCTAGAATTATAAAATTAATTCAAAAAGATGTTGGTCAGGGCCTATAAATTTGGACTCAAATTATAACTAACCTCTGAATCTGCCAGTTTCCTTATTATAGTAAACACGCATATATTGCACATCTGAGTTGACAGCCGCAGTACCAGTACAACCAAGTGAACACCCCATGTGATCTAATTCCTTCTTCATACAATCTTTTATGAGAGATGTCACTGCGTCCAGATAAGGAATTTTAAGACAAAGGAGATTTGATTCTCCGAGATCACAATCCAATTACATTATCAATCAGAAGGCATTCCATACAAACTAAGCAATACCGTAGAAATAAAACCACGAGGAATTGACGAATTCGTATTTTGTTCGATTGCCTACAAATTTCAATCAAGAATGCGATTCTAGGAATTTAAAAGCAAATCAAACCCCAGATATAAAACGAACTTGAAAATCCGAAATCACCATGGTCACGAGTAGCGAACTCATATTTACGCAGTACAAAGGCGATCCGACATCTTTATGGGCCTTCTACGACATCTTGAGTTGATTCGGATAGAAAATCGCGACATATAGCATAGGAATTAAGAATCCAAGGAACACTAGATTTTGAAAAGGAAGTATGGTGCCGAGGTCAAGGAATGCACGATGAGCGAAACATATGGTGACGAATATTACCTGATCAAGATGCCATTGACGGAGGATGAATCAGCACGCAGGTGATAGGGCTAACAGTGCACTAGGGAGATGGAGATCTGATCGTTACTCTTGATGTTTCGGTTCTTCGTGAAACTTTTCTTTCCTTGCTTTCTCACTCGAGGTTTGGCTTCTTCAGTTGGTAAAAATCTGCCTCTTCCGATTCAGAGAGGATCTAACAGCAAGAGTTATTAGCGCCGAACCGAGCGACAATGCTTTTCTTTTCTTTTCTTTTCTGTTTTTTATTTTTTGGCCCTCCCGCACCTGGCCATAGACGATGTAACCCCCTAATGATCTGCCCACGCCTGCAGAGTTTACTTGCATTTTGCAGACACGGGGACTCTTTTCTGGTGCCGCAGCAAAGGCCTCGAAATGACTACTATGCCCTTCGTTAATCTTCCCGCCCCTAATAGCATGAATGAGTGAGTGATATTGGTTTTTTTTTTTATCAAGCATCTTATTCATAGTTTCAAATAAAAAAAAATTGAATATATTGAATATTCTACGTAATTCATAACAACGAAAATTCTTTCGAGAGGTCTTAAATGAATAGCTAGAAAAGTAAGTTATCTTATTCATAAATTATGAATAATTTGTCATAAAATTTCATATTTTATATTAAGTGTACTTAATATCGATGTATGTTTTTTATGCAATATATACATAACACACTATAAAAGCTAAACTTTATCTACTCCCACTCGACAGTTTTCTTTTCAGAAAAATAAAATAGACAAGTGGATTGTGTCAAAGAGAAATAAAAATTCAAAACGAAAATTACAAAAAAAGGAAGGAAAAAAAAAACTAGCTGGAATGGGTGATGGATGCCAGACAGTAGAGGATATTTTCTTTTTCTTTTTTTGGTATAATTCATAATGTTCTTAAACTATTTTGAGGTTGAGAGTAATCTCTATTAAACTGAAAATATTAAGATTAAATTTTTTTCCAGCAAATACGTTTTTTAAGATTTAAGCTTATATTTTTTCACTCATCATCTCAACCCTCTCAACGTGCCAAAATAGCTTTCTCAGGCCAGGCCGTTGTTTGTTTGAGTTGTTGGACTGGGCACTTCAATCTCAATCAACGTCAATATTACAGCATGTCACTGTCTAATAAATTCTATAAATATATTTCTCTGATGAGTTGGCAATTAAAATCTTTATCACTTCTGGTCAAGAAAAGAAAAATTAAAATCTTTTATCACTGCCACCACAGAATCATTGTGTGTGTGTGTGTTTTTTATAGGAAGAATTATAACGAGCTCCAAAATAAGAAAAACAACTTAAAATCAAGTTTTAGAAGTTACCATTCTCACTATAAGATTTGTTATTATAGGCCGTTGAGATTGTTATTGGGACTTTTTAGTTATTATTTCTCTTATATGGAACTTGATTATAATTCCTTTTTTTTTATATCTATTATTTCGATGTTAATATTCAATGGTATCATGCTTATTAGTAATATATTTTTATCATGCATAGCATTAATAATGAACATCTACAAAAGCATCATCCCACGAGTTAAAAATTCTTTTTTTAAAAAAAAAAAAGTCTGCCTGCACTGGCTATTGGCCTCCATCAGTCATCACTGAAAAACAAAATTTTGATGTTAATCGGTCTCCATTTTAATAAACCCAGGTGTTATCACAGAGAGCTGTGTTGAAGACAAAAAACGTAAGCTATTGGGAACAAAATTATTATGGGATGTATATCAATATTAATTAACATGAATATATTTTCATGTAAAAAGTATTTAAAAAAATCATGCTGCTTGTGGTTGATTTCAAACTTTGTATAATGCCTCAAAACACCATGCATTAATTTTTACAAAACTTTACTAACTATACGAATCTAATAAAAATAATTAATATCTCTCCATGCATAACGAATTAAGGGTTGAATCGTCCATATTTAACACGTTATTGCACTTCAAAAAAAATTGCCCAACAGGAGAATACTTCTCTCCAACGGCGAAAACTAAAAGCACGTAGAGTTCAGCGTTTCCTAAGTCCTGCATGTCGCTTATTATTATAAGCCACACCTTTTCTCTGCGAGATATCTATCCCAGTAGTAAAGCTGATCATTAACGGGAAGAAGATCGAAAAATGCGCGATTTGGCAAAGCTTGGATTTCATTCACAACCACAACTAGCACCTGGTTCACTGTTTGGCTGGAGAGTCCACACATGATTTGATGATATTCACTCATTTGGTTAGTGGGGGATAAGGAAAAGAATAAAAGTTAAATGCAATATTTTCTTTTTTCTAAAGTAAGGAATGTAATTCCTTCCTTTATTAGGGATAACGTTGAAGAATCCTCAGCACTGTACCGTCGAGAGAATCCCCGCCCTGTCCACTTTTTAAACATACGGACTGTGCTACTACATCCTGCATCAAGTTATTGACTGAACGCCTCCCCTCTTTTTCTATGTAATCTCCATATATTCTCTTCTCCCCTTAAAAAGCAAATGTTAAAGACTGCACTACTTTTGTTGCAGACTTTCACTTTCTGGTCCCGACGCCCAAAAGCCCTCTCTAGTTCCCCCATCAAATCCGGCACACGAGAAACATGGCCCGAGTTATGGTATATGTGTGTCAGAATTATAATCATGCACATGACCAGAGATTTACAGATCTTCTGAGAATATTTTGCCTTACGAGATAGGGAAAGGAAGGATGATGGAGCGATAGGGACCCACGGGCACTTTTAAGAGTAAACCTGGTTTGGGTGGCACTACTGTCTCTGTGTTTGGCATCAAACCACTTAAAGCAGTCGTCTTGACTAAACGGTGTTGGGGGATACCCCCAAACACACTGCAAGGTGTTGCAGACTTTAGAGCGCTATGCCGATGGTCAAATGGCAATCAGCAGAAGCAGGCATATGCAGGAAATATCATAATCATTTCACCAGGAGACCCATAGAAAGCACATAAATATAATCAAACCTCATTAAGAATACAGATGCACATAACATCGGATTACATTAAATATATATAACTAATGGAATATGCTGTTAAAACACTTGAAACATACACGAGACATGGAAGACTAATCGTTCGATACCGATTAAAATGACTAGGCTGGTGAAGGAGGGCACAATTTATTGTTTCAGTAATGGTAGGGTTTGGACATATATATGTGCGTGTGTTGCAATTCAAGAGATAGGCTGGGGAGTTTTGAGGAGTTGAGCGAGCTGGCCGCTTAGATGGAGGGACATAACTTCGTTGGTGGAGCCCACAAGCTTCCCTCCGATGAAAACGGCCGGGACGGGCGCAGGACAACCCAACCTCAGTAGGGCTTTCTCCATTTCCCTACCTTCTGGCTCCTGGTCGATTTCATGAACCTCAGGGTTCGCCTTCAGTTCCTGGAACAGGATCTTCACAGCGTAACACAGGCAACAGGAGCTCTTGCTGAATATCACTACCTGATTTTCTGACGCCAACCTCGTCACCTTGTCCATCTTTATTCTACTAACGTACGATCTTCTCCTTCTTCTAAATATATGTACAGATATTATTCTGTTCCACACACAAAAGAGGTAAAGACAGACTAAAAAAAGAAAAGGGAGAAACCTGGGCTTCGACAAGATTACCTTAGACTCACTAGAACTCCAAAACCATCAGACCGAATCCAAGAGCTGAATTCGATCCAATGGTTTGTGTTGGGCTCGGATGTCCAAGGGGGCAAGCAGCAGCAGTGGGGAAATATATATATATATAGAAAAATTATACGATGCTTAAGGACATTTGAAATGAGCTAGTGTACTAGACTATTTATAGGGACAGCTTGTAGAGAGCTGTGTCTTTGAACAAAGCACATCCAAAAGAGGTTGTGCTTTTTAGATGCCCAACCATAAAGCAGCCCATGGGGAGATAAAGACCACAGTTAGTTTATCACACTGGGCTCACAAGTTGGAAGAAGAAATGATGCCATTGATTTGGTTGCATAAGCCTCCATTAATTCACGGACCAGGCTACAGTTGGAGAGCACTTATATGTACATAACTGTGTAATTAACAACAGATGAAAATGGCACATCTGTTAAACTCATTGGAAAAGGAGAAAGGCTGTGTTACCGGAGGGTTGTCAATTTATATTTGGATTCTCGCAATCTACTGCTTAGAATCTCATATACAAGCAGAAGATCGCGACTGAGATTTGGGCTTTCGGTGGCTCCGATTCTGTGTGTTGCGATTCTCTCTCTGGCACTCACATGTGGAGATGAGGGGCGAGGATGAACGCACACGCAGACGATATTCTTTGAGCAAAAGAACGCGCCAACGAGATTCCATTCCTTTATTACTGGGAGAGCGCAGAATCTAGCATATTTTCTCATGAAGGTATAATATTATTGTGCCTGCTCATATGCATACACACGCGTTAGTTTTGGATTTGATTTTTTATTTTCTGGGCTGATTTCAATTTGATGATTATTATATATATGTTACCCATTGTGGGTGTATATAATATATATGCCATATATGCATGGATGCGCTCACCATATTCACGTCTTTGCAGAGACCTGTTGTTTTGAAAACTCGTACAATTGATTGCGTATCTTTCTCATCAAGTGGGGTCATTGCTCCAAGGCCACACTAGGTGCATTTTTATTTTATTTTTTACGGCAAGTGATTCCTTTTTCGGAGCACTATGATTGAAATATATATAATACTGATTGTTCTTAAATTAAGTGGAAGGGATTAACATTACTCAAGTAAAGTTCACTTCAAATTACCTTGCATAGGCTCAATATATATTAGGAGGTTGTGGTGCAAAAATAGTCCTCTATTAAAATGGGCCAACCTTGAACCAGCCCATTAAGCCCAGAAGGAAGTGGGCTGTCCTGCTCGTCATAAAAACTTTTTAATCTCGCATCCTCGTTTGGGGGAGGGGATCATAAAATGGGTAGGTCACTGTGCTTTAGTATGGAGCGCAAAAATCCATTTTTATACAATAAAAATTTATCGGGACAAATTCTAAAAGCTCATCTAAATTACATAGGTTTCGTTATTTGAAAAGGACTTGTGAAAATACTTAGAATCCACATACGAACGAAATCCTTATATCATTGTATGAGATATAAGTTCACGTCATCCTAAGGTAAAAAATAAATTCTAGTTATATAAAAATTTAACTTTTCCTTCAATTGTTCTAAATGGCCAGAGCATATTGCTTCGCAACTTGCTTTTCCTTTTAATAAAGAACGTCTAGTAGACACCTTATTAATAACGTTAAGTATTTTTTTATACAAACTAATAACAACATTAGTATAAAATACGCATATTAGATGAAAAATCAATTTAATATTCAATATAAAACGTATAAAATACACAGCAAACCATAATTTGCAAATTATCAACGTCATAGCATTTTTTTTTTAAGAATTATATTCATCCAATGTACAGACAAACATATTTAATTATCTATTAATTGACTAACAGACAAATATTGCATGCGCCAGCCCTCTAGGATTATTTTGCGGCAGAAAGAATGAGGGTTTGGTATAGTTTTATGGATACGGGGGGACAAATACGGAGAGAAAAAGCCCTTAGGCTTTTTCATATCACCTTTTCGTCTCAACCTTCCAGTTATAACTGCTAACTGATTAAGTGGATGATTTAATTCATATGTGGGTGACTGACCAGCCCATCACAGGGTGTGCGCCCCCCAATTTGAATGGCGAGGAACGAAAAACCTACCTGTCTTTGAAAGCGAAAATGATAGCCATGTAAGGAATAAATTGGGTTTTATGACGTTGGATCCTATCATGAGTGTTCGTGATTTTGATGGAGAACATTTGTATGTTATTCACAAAAGCAGATTCTATATATGCCCATTCCACCATTTTTTGTTTACTGCCAACCCACTGATTTGATCGATCGGTATAATAAAACATATAATCCTCCTAAAAGTGGTGAGGTTGGATAAGGCGTGTAGTTGAAGCATGTTTTCTCACCTATATATCAGCATCGACTTCAAGTCTAAAGCTGCATCAATTATGTGTGTGCATAGCCCTTCCCTCCATTATATATATATATATATATATATATATGAGACATGGATTCAGCTAACTCTTAAACAGTGATTATACATATAGAATGAGCCTTTTCAAAAGATCACAAAAAAGGCTATTTTATACACACTTCCTTCATTCTCCAAATCTGCTTAACGTACGGGACGCTGAAGAAAAAGCAGGAGTGTCCCTTTATAATAAAAACAGTGAGATCAGACTAAATTGCTTGCATTAGAAATCCACTCCTCTTATACTACTACGTGCGTGATGGTAGTACAGGGAGCTTGTTGAAAGCGGACAGCACTATAGATATATATAGCTAAAAGCCTAAAACCATATGGCCTTGGCATTTATGAGCATCTGTTTGAGAGAACCATCGACGTGGAGGGATATGATATCTTTGGCTGAGCCCACGAATTTGCCTCCAATGAACACTGCCGGAACTGAAGGGTTACAGCCCATCCCTCTCAGAGCCCTTTCCATTTCTCTGCCATACGCATCAGTGTCCAGCTCGTGCACTGCCGGGCTTGCTCCCAGCTCGTAGAACAGTTGCTTGATGCTGTGGCACATGCAACATGAGCTTTTGGTGAATATAACAGCCGCCTTGTTTGATGCCAAATCTCTCACTCTGTCCATTATATTATCTCAGCTATAATTTGACGGAGGTGGGCGATATTTTTTCAGCAGAAATAGCTGGGTAACTGATGAGCAAGATGATGGTGAGACTGGGAATATTGTAATCTCTCAGGCTTTGCTCTGGTGGACTTCGGGATTTCATCTCCAATATTTATAGTGGTTGGTTGAAGATAGTGGATCACCGGATTGTGTTATATAATTAGAGAAAAGCAGAGAAAGCAAATTAATTATAGTTAAATGGACAGGGAAGAGAGAGAGAGAGAGAGAGAGTAGCTTGAGATATTTGTTTGGATAAGGGGAATGCCACCACCTGATCATTTGGTCGATGGTGACCCTGCCATGAACAAGTTGCTTTTAGCATATTTATAATAATTTTTATATCATCACACTGTGAATTAAGTGACAATTATATTTTCAAATCTCTTTGGCGGGGTTTGTCCGTACAAGAGCAATCAGTGGTGGAATAAGAACCATGTCGTAAATTATCGACAGAAAACTCTTTCGGCCGACCCTAGCTCGCAGCATCAATACATTATTCTTATAGCATTTTATGCAAGCTTCACGAGGCAGGTGGGACATCCATGCCGTGCTGTCAACAAATGTGCCATTATAATGGAATCCATTATCCAATTAGAATGTGTATCATGCAAAAAGTCAAGAGACCCAGAATCGGGAAAAAAGAAAGAAGCCCAGGTGTCATTTTAGTAAGCCATGCGAAGCCACCGTGCTTAACTAAAACTCTCAAAGAAAAGGAAATATATGAGGATCAAGGAATGGAGACGAGAGGAAGAAAATTAAACAGGGGATGAAGATGATTATGGTTGAAGCATGCACAGCCCTGATTAACCAATTGCTCCGAGTATTGATGTGCCATCTTCTGTAACTTGGTGTGTTTGATTCTGCCTATAGCTGATGTGGAGAGAGATAGAGTTTATCTAGTGCATTCCACTTTCACGCTTTCGTCCCCGCATCAGATTCACAGAATACAGACTATTTCTCTTTGGCCCTCTGGACATCGAAGGGATTCTTTGCTTAGTCTCAAAATTACATGCACAGTGTGAGCCTGTCATGAGCATTCCCAATGTTTGATTTTCATAATTATGATTCCAATCTCCAACTTCCCCGGGTATAAATTCCTGCGCTCTGCATGATGAGCAGGCGGCTTGCCTAGCGATAATCCTAGTAAGCATGTCCCTAGCGTATGAGATTCTTTCTCACTGTTTGATAGGATCTCCACTAATGGGGAAAGAATGTCAACTTGAACGTAAGAACCTACTCGAAGAAACTGATTTAAGCGCGAGGAATTCTGATTCAGATCGTGTGGGGCCATCTAAGTAAGAGAAGAAATTAATCTCGGTTCAAGGTGAAAGTAGGATATGAGAATAAAACCGGGACTGACGTCAGGATTCGAGGCCGGATTCAGATTGGCATTATGAATCGACTATATGAAAATTTTTATATGGGACCGGCCCAACACAAAAGCCATTGGGCCTATGGTTTTCCATTCACCAACGCTACAATTGGTCTCGTCCACACAAACCTTCCATGGATCGCTAGCTAATGGGACATCCATAACATTTTGTCAGTATTGACTAATGAGGGTTCCAGCATGGCCCAGTCCACGCTCCAAACAGATGGCTCTCTCTCTCTCTCTCTTGTTATACACACAGGGTACTGTTTGATACGAGAGAAATGGCGAGGAGGAGAGGAGAAGAAAAATTTTAATAAGCTCAATTTAAAAAAATTAGAGAAGTGGGGTTTTGAAATTTTAATAAAGAGAAGAAGTAATATAAAAGAGTAATAAAAATTAAATAAAAGCTTTTAATCCCCTTTTTTTAATTTTTTTAAATAGAAATCATTAAAAATTTTCCCCTCCCTTACTCTTATTTTTTTTTCATATCAAACAGACCCTAAACCACATGGGAATTGTTCTCTTCTATATTACTGTTTGGTATGAGGGAAATGGAGAGGAGAAGAGGGAAAAAAAATTAATGAGCTAAAAAAATTAAAAAAGTGGGGTTTTGAAATTTTAATAAAGAGAAAGAGTAATATAAAAGAGCAATAAAAATTAATTAAAAGCTTTTAATCTCATTTTTTTAATCTTTTAAATAGAGCTCATTAAAATTTTTCCTCTCCTATCCTCCTCTTATTTTTCCTCACACCAAACAGACCCTAAACTACATCGGAATTGATCCCTCAACCTCCTTAATTAGAGGGGGTGGGGCTACGTCATTTGAGCCAACCCATGAGCACTCTGTCTCCTTTTTATAGGCTAGAGCTTAACTGTTATTACTTATTAGCTTATTATTTCCCCTAAACATCTTAATCCTATAGCCTATATCAATGTCTTGTAATTTAAAATTCAATCCACATAGTGGTTACAAATAAATCCTTATATATATACTACCTCCGGTCCTTAATATAAAACCTTTTTTTTACTTTTATTTGGTTTTAAATATAAGACCCTAATCCACTTTGTCTTTTCTATTTATATATTTTTTTCCAAGATAATCCTTCTAACAATAATAGTTCTAGCCAATACACTTGATTAATGAGGATATTTTAGAAAAGACAATTCATATTTATTACAAATAACTAATTTAACTTTTTTCTTTAATTTTTTCAAATTAGTCAACTAACTCTTATAAATAGGACCGGAGATAGTATATTGATCATCAACGCAATATATTAAATTTTCAATATTGAAATTTCAACAGTATAATAAGTTTGAAAATGAGCCAAACCATCTATAAATCATAAGAAGGACTCGTTTACAATATGCAGGAAAATATTAATTCTAATGTAAAAATCTACAATAAACTGTCTAGTCAATCTAACTTCTCTCACGCTCCTTCCCTCTTGCACGCTCATGAAATGTTATCATCATCTTTAAAATTTGAGCCACTAAAGTAAAGTTTATGAATTGCACGTAAAGTACTGCTACCTGGGGTTTATCCATCACATCTTCGCGTAATAAAGCAAGGAACGAAGAGCAAGGCTCAACTCTCTGGCTAGCTATACTTATAATCTTGGATGCGGTATATCAGGCCTGTCATTGAAATCTCAGAAGTCATCAGTTACCTGTCTCATCTGCAGCCATGCGATCAGTTTGGATCATAGAGCACGTGGAACCGGCGTCCGCCCGTTCCACCGCCGACGGCGTTATCCTCTCTGTCCCTCTCTCTTTCAAGGTGATCGATGAAGACCGAATGGTGTCGAATACATAACTAAGCAGAAGGAAAGAAAATGGGAACTGTTATGGAATGTGAGACAATTAAGGCATGCATCTGCATTAAACAGCGAATGCAAGAATGATCCTTCCTGCTGCATCCATCTCTGCATTCTCCATGGCTGCCGTCGATCTCTTCTCCGGCAATGGGTGCTCGTGAATGGAGAGGAAATTCCTAACATACAGAAGCCAAAATGAGGCTGTTATAATTGAGAGGGTTATAGAAAATCCAAGAGGCAGATTTGCCGTTGGATTAATCAAATGGTCGAAATTGATGACGGAAGGGAGACTGTAGACGAATGGATTAATTAAGTTCGAAGGAATCCGTCCTGAGGCAGTACTGAAAATATCGGAGGGTTTCATCAGTTATGTATGACGATAATGCACAGAGACCCTCAGAATAAGAGGCAGCGATCTTCTATTAACGTCTGCTAATAAATTCACCAATGGGATTGCAGGTGTCAACTTTGTCACGTGAAACAGCATGAACAAAGATGAAATCCCACCCAAATTAGAGAATCCACTGAAACCGACATGCATTGTGATCGATCTATCAATCTCATCAGAATATATCTTTGAGATCTCGATTTTGTGCGGAGCCTGCGACATTTTTCATATGTTTATATATAGTGCATCACTTTTTCTCGTCTCTCATCGATGATGCCTGCCTGCGTGCCACGAACCGTCTTCGTTTTCTGCATCTCAAACTCCCTTCCACTTTCACAGATATTTTTGATTATAACATCAATATTCGTCCTTTTCCTCTTTCTATAATCTTCGTCGCTTTCTTATCTACTCACATATATTCCTCTTATCAACTCACACGGTCGTCTCGTCCTACATTATCTTCACTTCGGATGGTCGGAGCATATACATATAAGTGTATATACACACTACACAACGACTCTGATAGTAGAATGTATGTAATTCATTAATTAATGACATGTATAAATATACGGTGTACGTGCCCTTGATCTTTAGCACCCAATAATTAAATTTCTTAATTTCTAGAAATAAGCTCCGATCAAATTTTATGAGTTCAATGTGGGCTGCGAATCTTAGGATGAATAGGCCCAGAAAGTTGATAGGTAAATCTAAGTGCGGGTGCCCCGAAACCAACAGAGGGCCACAAAACAAACGCAGAGAAAATTCGTAGTTAGCAAAATGACAAAGTTCACAGGTTCACCTATTGTCTTAAACTAAGATACGGCATAATCAGAGATGGATTTGCTCAAAAAAAAGATGCCTCCCTCCATAACCATGAATCTTATTCTTGAAGAAAGGTGCTGGGAACTCATTAGATTGACCTTACACACCAGCTAGCTAAGCAGGCAACTTGTTTATCCACACCGACAGCACGTGCAGTTCAGACACCGAAAGGAGAACTTCACGATACGATCTTATTATATTCTTTTTCGAGTTTATAAATAGGCCTTTGATGAAACCTAGTTTACACACGGCCAAGCTTGATTCAATTATTCTACGCGTTAGTTATTGCGGAACATATATATCAATACCGATCTCTGGAGTCATGGAAGTGATCACGAACATGGTGGGTGAGAGACCGGTGGTTATATTCAGCAAGAGCAGCTGCTGCTTGAGCCACTCCATCAAGTCACTGATAAGTGGCTTCGGGGCAAACCCGACAGTGTACGAGGTTGATGAAATGGCTAACGGTCAGCAGATTGAGAGGGCATTGATTCAAATGGGATGCCAACCAAGTGTTCCAGCTGTTTTCATAGGTCAGCAATTCGTTGGTGGTGCTAATCAGATCATGAGCCTCCATCTCCGCAATGAGCTTGCCCCTCTCCTCATGAACGCCAAAGCTATTTGGATTTGGAAAAGAAAGTAATCCATCGAATTCGTTCTTTCGAGTTCAAATAAGAGCCTTAATTTTCTGTGTCCGGCTAGCTAGCTGTAATATTAATATATATATATATAGTCGAAGAGTATCAGGTGTGTGTTTACACACACACACACACCTGAACATAAAAGGGTTTCTTTCTCGTTGTCGTATTAAAATGAGAATCTTGCTGGTTTAATTTCTTCAATAAAATGAATGCATGCTTACAGTGTAAGATATTATTCAATTGCATCGTCATGTTTCTCTTCTTTTGTCGTATGTTCTTCATCTCTAACAATATCATATGAGCATGGACGATCGGTTCACCAAGAACAGTGGTTCTGCATGAAGAAAGAAAATGCATGAATGGGTAATGGTTACCTGGTGGACGCCCATAACACTAAAACGAAACCCAGCAGCAAGCTTCCCTGCTAACTTTAAACTGATAGTTCAGGTCGCAGTAGACAAAGTGCTGAACTGCTGATAACAATAAAAGATACGAGCCTGATTATAAAAGGGGGTGGATAATAATTAAAAAGAAGAAGAAGCTTTCTTGGCTAATGATACTAATTCAACATGCAGTAGTTTCTCTCAGTATTTATCTTCTCATCATCCACCACTTTTATTCCTATACAACAAGGTGGGGGATAAAAAGGACTTTTAGATATATTGAACCCCAACCCCCAACCACCCCAAAGAGAAAAGCATGGAGTGCACTCACCATAAAATTAATTTCATAGAAGAAATAGGCATCTCTATTGCTTCCATATGATATACTGAGAGAATATTTCTCTGAAAATACTTTCCTGCGTAGATTTTATATGCTTTTGCTGGGCTGGAAAATTTGACACGGTAATATTTTTTTTATAACATTTTGCACAGTAATATTAATAGTAGTAGTAATATTTCACAAAAAATAATAATACAAAATGCATTTAATATATATATATTTTTCCTAGTCTGCACATAAATGCTTCAACACAGTTGAAATGAAAGATTAGAAGGACGAGTTGATTGTACTCAAGTGACCCTTTGCTTTATGTTTGAGCCATTTATGCGAATAGATAAAACGTGCCTTTGAGAGTAACGAAGGGGGTGCTTTTGCGAGCTGCAGGCACGTGGAAAATTCTGTCGCCAGAACCTAGAAGATCAAATATGTATTGGAATGATAGTGTGAGTTTTTAATGTTATCAAATGTCCTGAAAAGATAAAGCAATATCTGATTGGATGCAAAAATCAAAGCCGCCCCAAATTGATTAGCGATAATACTGAACCCTCTATTCTTTTCCCCAGTGATCAAATAGTGAAGGAATTTCTTCTCTTCCGTCTTCTTTATTTCCATGTGTTTCACTACCATATTGACTAAAGCCAGTGACAGCATTCGCTTACATTGTGCAGGGGACCTCCAAAACCATATATTAAATCAAAACATGTGAGTCCATTTATATGACATCATATATATAAGACAACTTCATATACCTAATTAGTAGGTTCATTGATACAGGACGAAACGCCTAGAATAACAAGCCCCTGTGCAGAAGCCTCAATATAGCTTGCTGTGTAAGAATATCTTCTGGGCATCTTCCCCTTAGTACAATGTGGAATGGAAAATTCGGTAGGTACTTAAGGTTCAGGTAGCTTTTCCTGTTTCCCATTCCTGTACGGTCAATATGTGTGGATTTTTCATGCTATTAAGGGCCAGACTAACGAGAAAGGCAAATTCTCCTTGTTGCCTTTGAATAAGCATCTTTTCTTTTTCTTTTTTCTCACTCAGCTTTTAGTATTGTCGATTTGAAATCGATGCGAATATCTTGATAAGACATGAAAAGCCGCTACTTGTAGCCGAGCAATAAGCCCATCTTCTCTCCATACTGACCCGGATAGATGCTCCCAAGACACAGTAGTTAAGGCAGATAATATTCATATGAGAGAGCTGTTCATCTAAGGCAAACGCAAATAATAAAGAGGCAACCCTAACCTGGCCAATACCAAGGGCTGTATACATTAATTGATGGATGATCTGCGAGTGCTCATGAGCTGCTCCTCACTGAGCAGTCACTCTAGAAAAGCATAAGGATATAGTAGTGAAAGGGCAATTTTGGAACCCAAAGATGACAGAACTTTTACAACGTTTATTCTCTATGAGATGTTATTCTACGTGGGGAAGCTGCTCAGATCAATCTCATATGCCAGAATAAACGGAGGTAGCTAGTATAAATAGAGCTGCTCTGAAGCTAAAGTTGCAGAGAGCAGATTATTTAAGCAAAACAGGCTTATATATAAAATGGACGTAGTGAGGACGTTGATTGTGGACAAGCCAGTCGTGATATTCAGCAAGAGTAGTTGCTGCATGAGCCACACCGTGAAGGCTCTGATCTGCAACTTTGGAGCCAACCCCACTGTGATAGAGGTTGACAAGTTGCCAAATGGCCAGCAGGAGCAGGTGGAGACGGCGCTTCTCCAGTTGGGTTGCAGCCCAAGCGTACCGGCCGTGTTCATAGGCCAACAGTTCATCGGTGGTGCCGCTCAAGTCATAAGTCTCAACGTTCAAAACAAGCTTAATCAACTGCTTTTAAAGGCTCGAGCCATTTTTGTCTAGGGCTCTCTCTCTCTCTCCTCTTCTTATATATGCCTCGTGTAGTCATCCCCTCTCACTGAGGTCAACTTTCTCATCGCCCATTTTCACTGTAGTCCCTTCCTCTTGTCTTTTTTTGGCCCTCAAGTAACTTAGTCTTGTGATGAACTCCTGTATCCCATGTATGTCTCGTATAATGTGAGCCTGAGGTTTTCTTTTGACCTATATGATGCAAGGCTCCTGCTATTATGTATTAGACCATTTGTTTAATTTCCATGGAAGAAGACATTATTATGATATTATAGGAAGTTGAAGTAATAATGAAATTTGAGAGAATGCAGGCGTACGTTAAAATAATGCAATCTTACATTAACTGCAGCCAATAATTCAACTGGCGATGTACTAGACTAAATGAAATTTCTACGGCAGTTTTGTTGATGAGTCATTGGAATTAGACGTAATTTACGCTTTGAGCCAAAATAGGGATTCTAGCGCGCCGAGGCGAGCACGGTATGCGTCCGTATCTATACAACCCAATGATCCACCCAAGGTTCCTCTAGATAATAAATACTCCCTGCATAAGTCATTGGTTGTGAAATTCTACAAGCCACAAGGTTCCTCAACATCAGTTTTTTTTAGCGTGATTTCAATTGAGCTCACCTTGTTGAACCTAATTCACTATACGCGTGTTTTTGAATCACGTCCTTCTTTGTTTTCTGTTGATTGTTTCTTTTGTATTTCTGTTTTTATTCCCAAAAAAAAAAAATCACGTCCTCTATCTCTCTGTTTTTTCATTAGTCGAACACAGAAGCTCCTAAAAGCTTTCCTTCAAACAGGTAACCAGCCTCAGCAATCAAACACTAGCATCCTCTATAATACGCACCAAATCCTTCTCCGCACGCAGCGATTTCTCAAAAAATAAATTGTCCCTTAGCTCATAGATCGGCCTTTCGTTTCTTATTATCTTTCTAAGGAGTAGCAATGAAAATATGCTACTCTAGGATATTATATAAGACAACAGACATCGTGAATGACAAAAGCTGGACATAAGGAGCAGTGGTGGAGGAATCATGAGGAAGTCCTCCCCCCAAGGGGATGCCAAGAACTGACCTCGCACCTTCCTGTTTTATCCTAGTTCCCCAGACGCATATGCCAAATGGTCATTGAAGCCAATAATGCAGAGGAGGGTAAGTCCTTTTTTAAGCTTTAGTTGGAGGGTCAATTACTGAACTTGAGAAGATAATTATTCTTATGCTTCAAGCATAACTTCACATTCATCCGCAAAATATTTTCCAAGAATATTCTGTTTTAAACCAAAGCAGCCAACACCAAACACTGATTTGAAGAACATCGTGTATGCTCCAATATCAATTCGCTAACAAGAAATTACACAATTGGAAAGCAATGCAACTATAAATCAAATGTTCATTTGGGAGGGGATAACCATAGTTGAATTAACAAAAACTAGAACCGGAATCTTCTGGAATTACCCTTCTCGTCTACAGCTACCGATCAGAGAGCGTGAGTTCTCCAGTCAGCTATGCGTTTCTCTGCAGTAGGCTGGTGAACGTCCATCCAAGATTGGACAATAAAATATAATGGGAGTATTTCAGCTCGCTCTCAAAGAAAAGATAGAAAGTGGACCGGAGATGCAGAAGATTCTACCGGTCACGTACACAATTGAAATGCAATGACTTTACTCAATGCTTACCACTCTAAATAACAAACAGTCTCCCAGTAATATCAGATTTATCATCAATTAATCATTTCAATAGTCCATTAAAACAATCTAAAAGGAAAGAAACAGAATCAGAAATCAAAAGAGGACTTAAAAACAATACACTGATGGAACCAGAATTTCTTCATTTCTTCAAACCAATGTTTCTTTCCTCCAAGCTCGCATTTCTTTTCCAATTTGCTACAGCTCTATAGACTGTAGCTTTAGCCTCACAAATCTCCTTGGCAGAAAATTTATGTTCTATGACCTTTTAATGTCAGCTCTAGGAGGCAATTGCAGAAAGTGATGCAGTTTTGTTAAAATAGGACGGGAAACTGCACTTCATATGAAAATTATAATTATAATATTATACGTATCTTTGAAATTTTCAGTCCTTGATGTTCCAAGTCTCAAAAGTTGTTGGCATTATATGGCCATAGGTCCGAATTGCTTAATTATAGCAAAGTCAGTCTCCTAATTCCGTAAAACGTAGTATTATCTTGACTACTCAATTACAGAAATTAACCAATGATTAACGGAATGCAATTTTGCGTATTGTAAATGCAATAAAATAGGCAGCGAACTAAAAGAGTAACTCCAGTGGATGAGTTAAGGTAATTTAGCTTGGACACCCTACGTTCAAATCTCATCCATAGCAGGAGAAGCTGGGTAAGAAGAAAATTTATTCCATTGATGCTCACTAGGATTGAATTCTCAGTGCCGGTCGATCCTCTACCTCTTGCTCGTTGAACCATAATATATATTAATTAATAGTTCTCATTTCATACGTTTTCTTCATGAGGTAACTTTCATTTTTCATTGCGTGCAACCTGCGATAAATACGATGGTGCAATGCACTACGTCATCCCTCAGAGTTCAGAGAGCAGCTAGAGAGACGAGTAGGAGACAATCCTGACTAGAGTAAGTACTTCTAAATATCCAGAAAGACGAAGAAGTAAGAAATGAAGATTCAAGAACCCGAGAGATGATGACGAAAAAGAAACCAGCGATTGGCAACTACTGATTAGCCCTGAAAAGGGCAAGGAACTTCGAAACCCTGCTAAGGATATCCGCATTCCCGTGCACTTCTGTTAACGCAAACTCTGCAAAATGTAAGCCCGACGAGTTGTGTCAAAGTCAAGCGGAGGAGCCACCATCAACGCTATGCCCAGATTCACCAAGAGGAGAAGGAAGGTTCGGGTCACTTCCATACGACGTCGGCTCGCGTGCGCGGAAAGAAGTGTGATTTGGAAAAATAGCAAGTAGATAATATATTTCGACTCCACTGGGGATCGAACCCAGAATCTCTGGTTCCGTAGACCAGCGCCTTATCCATTGGGCCATGGAGTCAGGTGCTGGCGCGTCTGGACTAGGAAATTATATTATTATCATTTGATTTTTAGGCCATGTATAAATATACTTTTATAAGGAAATTGTTGTCTGTCTTTTTTGAGCAGCCTACAAAAACAATCTGCTTGATTTCTAATTTGTTGATTATGTGCAGTTTTTATAATTTATATTGATACTTATTTTGTCCTGTATCAGTGATTATAATATCGACATTGATTATAATTTTATATTACTGCATGGGTAATTGGTGATCAATGTCAACGTAAGATATTAGCAGTAAAAAAATTATAAAATATTAAAAATGCACAAATCACATTGTTTAAACATTGTAGATAATGGGTTATTAAAAGTTGATTTAGTAAAGCTATTTTTGCTGAGCTTTTGCTCGAGTTTACATTTTTTTTATAGCAATATTCAAATTTACATTTAGATACTGTCGCCTGAGAAGGCTGATTCAGTAGCAAAAAATGCTAATACAAGTTCACCAAAAAAATAAATACAAACATATAAAGTATATGTTGCAGCATTGACCCAATTAGGAGTGTGCATGGACCTGACTGGATTGGGTTTATTATCAACCCGAAGTCTGGGCTAATAAAGACTTCGGGCTGAAAAAGATAGCCTGGGATGTGATCCAGTCTAGTACCAATCCCAGATCAGATTGGACTAGACTTGGTCTTTTGGAGTCTAGACCAATCTAGACAGTCTAGGAGCTCAATTTTTAAAATTTTTTTTTCTTCAATGGGAAGCAAGACTATAATTTATTATATAAAATTTTGCACATATTTTAATCTAAATTTCATCAAATTTGATCATTCCCTTTCAATTTCTCGATAATGTCATGTTTTATTTATTAATCCTCATTAATATAGATCTTATATCATAAAAAATATATACACATACTCATTACTTAGGAAGTTAGTAGATAGATCTTGATTATTTGAATAAACAACAAACTTATATATAAGAATTGAAACAAATTAAAATTATATAAATAATAGTTAAAAATAAAAAAAAAATCTGGCCAGACTAGATTGGACCAATTGGTCTGAGGGGTCAATCCCTAATCCAATCCAACCCGATAAAATCAATCCGGTCTAGTATGGTCTAGTCTTGTTTTTGGATAATTTTTTCTGAACTGAATTGGACCGGGTTTACTCGGGTTAGACTAGACTATACCGAATCACCATGTTTTTGCATATCCCTAGGCCCAATAAGCCAATCCAACAAGTCTTGTGACTTTAGATTTTTTAAAGAAAGAAAATGAAAATTAAAGTTAATACTCCTCTGATCCCAAATATAAAAACCTTATACTAGTGTGTATAAGGATTTTATATTTATGACTGAACTAGTATAAATGTCTTATATTTATGATCAGATAAGTATTAATGTAAAACATAAAAGTATAAAAAGTTGTATTGCTCATAAATAAATCTCAAACAATACGGCCATTCTCACTTTGTTAACGTATAAGTGGCGTGACTTTGTTAGCAATAAATAATAAATAAATAAATCAATATGATATACGCTGTCATTGGAGGGGAAAAATTTTGTGACAAGCATGGATAACATAGCAGATGGCCTTGGCACGAGAAGCCCAAAATGCTCATCTAACTCGGTAAAATAGTTTTGCTTTTTGTTTTTTCATCTTTTATTTCAGAAAAATTCAATTTTTTAATTAAAAAAGTTCTTCTTATGCGTTAATTTGGAAAGTAGTTTCATAGCATAGCAAAATGCCAAAAATGAATTTTGAGAAAATATATAAATGAAATCTATATATCAAGTAATTATTAAAAAATTATTACTGACATCAGGAAAAAAATTAGTACAAATTTGGAGCCTTTTAATTAAACAAAAGGGTGTTGGCCAAAAAAACATAATAGAGACTGGTCCAATTGTTATCACTCGTCATAAATTTCTCCTGCCATCAAGTAACTTCATTTCTTTTCCCCGGTGAAATCAATCAACTAACTTCAATTTACTAGTTGTTACCCTCTGGCGAAAAAATTGATTAGCTGCCACCCGGCAGGCTTCAGCGAATCTGCCCGGATATGAATTCTGGATAAAGATACACACACCATGAGCAGATTGACGCGCCCGAATCGCCCAGGACAACTTTCATCGCATCCAAACACCTTCCTGCCACTTATCTGATTATCTCATCATATTGATTTCTTGGCGCGCTACGTCCACCCGAGTTCCGAGCATGAGTAGCTTAATGGCGAGCTTCCCTGCTCGAATAGTTTCCACGCGCCGCCTCGTAGGCTTCGGAAGACATTGTCCACTTCAACGATGTATTGAAAGATGCGTCACCGTTCTACCCAGTACTAGACACAGAGCTCCAAGAATCGTGTGCATGGCGGTACGCAACAAATGCTCTGGGAAGACGAGCAAAAGAAACTTTTTTTTTTTTTCCTGCACGGATAACGTTTGAGGGACAAATTTGCCGTCTCTATTTTCTGGGGTCTTTTCCTCAAAGGATTGATAAAATCGACGTGTTATTTGCTCATTTGTTCTTAATTGTAGGAACCTTATTTGATAACGAAGCTGGAATCCGCTGAGAAGACATGGAAAGAATTATCGGTACGCGCCTTCGATTAAAAGTTCTAGTTGTAACTATTTTAGGCCTTGAGTATACTTCGTTATGTGCACTCATCAAAATCCATCTCTGTTTAGTTCCTTGTTAAGAGTAACCGCTTTTCCGCTGTGGCCTCTAATCCACTCCTGTAGTACATTATCACTAGGAGTTTCTGGATTCGTCATCATAGTTCCTTCCGTATCTCGTGTGTATTCCTATATCGTGCATTTGAAACCCATGATTACGTGGACAACCAGTAAGCTAACAATATTTGCAGGTCAAGCTTGCCGACCCGGACATCGTATCGAATCCAAGTGAATACCAAAAATTAGCACAGTCAATGGCTGAACTTGATGAGGTACTGTGACTTATTTGCGCCTTCTTATGCCTATGTCTTATTGAACCCTTTTGGTGATATCATAATGTTATCATTTTAAATAGGTCGTTGCAACTTACAAGGGATTTAAGGAATGTGAGAAGCTGCTAGAAGAGACCAAAGGTTCGTTCTCAGTTTTTAATCTTCCACTGGCTCCTCAGGTAATGAATGGTTGTTCGAAAATCATTTAGTCTGACTCTTCTTAATCACCATGTCAGCTTTAGCTAAGGAGGATGGCAACGATGAAGATATGGCAGAAATGATAAGTTATGAAATTGAGAGTCTTTCCAGGCAAATGGCAGAGCTCGAGGAGAAGCTTAAGGTTTGTACTTTGCATCACAAATTTCAGTTTTATGTCATATTCTGTCGTCGTTCCTGTTTTTGATCTGTCTCCCTACCAAGTAAAGAACAATTTTAGCTCATTCATGGTCTGCTCCATTTTTCTTGCTTTTGGTATTTACTGTATCGGTCAAATGTACGGTGTTCACTTGAAATGTTTTCTGTTTGCTAATTATCCTTGCTTGATACCAATGATTGAATCAACTTGGTAGTTGTTATCAATTGAACATTCCTCTGATAACAAGTTCTAATTTCAAAACCAAGCAGTGTATCCTAAATATCAGTGCCCTCATCATTTTAATCTTATTTATGCTCTTATTGTTATCTATCTAAGAAGTTTTTCTTCCTTCATGTTCACATTTCTGTCTAATTTGAACTGATGGATATAGTATTACACTACTGTAGATGCTGCTGCTTCCCAGTGATCCTTTGGATGCAAGAAATATTATGCTTGAAGGTGAATCATCTCTTTATTTAAGTTACTTTGTTGGAACTAGTATTTCACTTTCAGGCCTAATGGAATGTATCATGATGGGAACTTTTGTTCAAACGATGGAACATACAGTTGACAAAAGAGAGGGATTAATAGAGCTTCTGTAGAGCAGGCCTATGTGGAGAACTGAACTGAATGGTTTGAAATTGACTGTTGTCTCTGCGTTTGAATTTTCTAGTCGGAGCAGTTGGCACTCATTGGTTTATCTTCTACGTGTGAATGATATGAATTGTGGTCTTTACTGCATTTTTATATTTTACATCTCCCTGAATCAGAATTCCAAACTCTCTTGTTAGTTCTGCTTAACATTCTTCTATTGTCACTGTACGGGGTCATTTAACATTCTGCTACTATTGTTTCACTCCTTTACAATATCAGTAATGTTGTGTTGCCTGTCTTCTAATAGCTTGATGGTGTTAATTTGTATTTTGTTGTCTCAGATTTCGCTCCATGTCAATATGTTGTTTGTGCATATGTTTCATTCTAGCTGTCCAACTCTAAGGATGAGTACCATTCACTTTTGCAGTACGAGCAGGAACTGGTGGTGATGAGGCTGGAATATGGGCTGGTGATCTTGTAGGTACACGTTGTAATTGTCCTTCCTAATCCCTTGGTACTAAAATAGACCAGCCTCTTTCACTGTCAAACATCGTGGAAAATGAAGTCGATCGTTAAACCCACATATTTCCCTAGTCAACTGGGTGAATTCCGAATTGCTTAGTTGGCTTTAAACTTTTTCCTACCTTTTCGCACAGGCCTTTTTGGATGCCTAGAGATTACACTTTTAATGAATGAGCGATTATTGTGAAGTTCATATCTAAGAACACTAGTGTTATTGGTGTCTGATTAGGTCCGAATGTATCAAAAATATTGTGAGCTGAACTCATGGAAGTATTCTCCTGTCTCAAGCTCTGAGGTATTCCTCCTTCCAACCCCATAAAAATTGGCATTCATTAGATTTTATAATTTGCGTAATGCTTTCATCTTTCAGGCTGAAAAAGGAGGATTCAAAACATTTGTGATGGAAGTCAAAGGTAAACGTGTTTACAGTAAATTAAAATATGAGTCAGGTGTCCACCGAGTTCAACGTGTTCCTCAAACAGAAGCACAGGGCCGTGTACATACGTCTACTGCAACAGTAGCTATCATGCCAGAGGTAGAGCTAACACTGTGCATGGCTCTTTAGCATTTAACTCTGTATCATAATTGTCAGTGATAGAGGTAGGATTTATAACTGATAGTTTTACTAAAAGGAAATCTATTGGAAGTATTTGAGCAAGAATCCTTACTCTCGAAGCTCTAACATTCAGGAGAATCTCCCTTAGTACAAGAAATAGAGAATACCTTCTAGCTTCTGAAAACATCCTCACAGTAGCTATTTATAGAGCTAGGAAATAACAACAGTCAAATAATGAATATATGAAACATCCTTAAAACATTCACAGTGGTGTTAGTGACTTAGTGGCTTAAGTAAACGTGGCTTCCTCCTCCTCTACATGTTCCTTGCCTCCCTTGTCCGCTTCTGTTGTGACGGCTCCAGACCACTAAACTGATCATGATCCCTTTCTTTCGCTGTTCTGTGGGTGCTACACCTTGTGCATGTGATTTGTGGCCTCCCATCAATCAGTGAGTAGCATAAATCTAGTTATTTGGCAAGTAGATATGAATTTAGAGGTTTCTCAACTGATTAATCTAGTCTTTTAGAAGGATTTCATTTTATGACCCGGAGGCTTATGTTATATCTCAACTTATTTTTACTCTCTTTTTTCTTTCTTAAAGCAAACATTCCTCCTTCCTCTATTTGAGGGCTTATACAGTTAAATGTGCTGTAAAGGGTTTCATTTATTAGTTATAACAATCAGCTGGTGCACGGGGTATGTGTCTTTCTTCAAGATACAATGACGTAGCTTTTTCTCTATTGTGAAAACCTAAACTTATCATGCTGATGCTAGAAATGTTTATCTAGGCGGATGAAGTAGAAGTGGTAATTGACCCAAAAGATATTGAACTTACAACTGCACGTTCCGGGGGCGCTGGAGGTACAGATTTACGAATACAACACTATTTCTATCATGAAACTGAATTTTCCATCCGTAATGACTAGAGTCAACTCCATTATCATTTACCAAGCAAGGGTATTGCAGGGCAAAATGTTAATAAGGTGGAGACAGCTGTGGATCTTTTCCATAAACCTACAGGCATCCGAATCTTTTGTACTGAAGAAAGAACTCAACTTCAGAACAAGAATCGAGCTTTTCAGTTGCTCAGAGCAAAGCTGTAAGCACAAAATTCACCAATTACTCCTTTCAACTTCACAGGCTTTGGCTTTGTTAATGGATTCCACTCATCCCTACTATTCTGTCAACTTTTCATCCTCTACCACTCATATAAATGTTCGTGAGACAAATGTTCTCAAACTTACCTGAGTTCATATCATTATTATACATAGGAACCAAGAGATACTTAGATCATGACGACAAAATCAACCAAATGATCCAAGAACACTCACATAATTTCTTGATTAATCTCTTTAATCCTTGCTTTAGTTGTCACATCCAAAATCATAATGGTCTTGGTTACAGATATGAGATGAAGGTTCGGGAGCAGCAAGAGTCGATAAGAAATGAAAGGAAATCCCAGGTATGCTTTGAATTGCTACGGGTGTTCAATGTACTACTTTGATCAATGTAAAAAAAAAAGTTATGATTATGATAAAAGTTTTGTGCAAGTCTGCAAGACTTCAAAACATTCATAGCAAGCAATAAAAATTTTCAGCAAGAAGGGAGCAAACACTTTTGTTCTTTCTTTTTTTTTTTTTTTTGGGTGTGGCGGCAAAGTTCTATCCCTGATCTCACCCCCCCGGGGGGGAAAAGAGAAAGAAAGATAGGAAAAGCAGAGCTTTCATTCTTTTAAAGCTTTGCAATTTACATTATTGTAATAGATTGTTCTTTTCCATATTTCAATTAACAGGTTGGTACGGGTGCCCGGGCAGAAAAAATTCGGACTTATAATTATAAGGTATTCTTTGTTGCTGTCTCCATTCTCTGTTCACACCTTTTCCTGCATCATCCAAAAGTGAAAGATCATATCATGATAATGTTCTGCTTTCTTTTTTTTTTCCAAAATAATTTGTAAGGTGAAATCATTCATCCAATTAAAGTTATTGAGATTCAGTGACCTAGGGTTAAGTGGTTTGTCATAGAACAGCAGTTTGAGGAAAAGCAGTTAATGACTTTACGAATTTTTTTTTCCTGAAAGGTTTGTGGACAACTTATGACACTAATTCCCCCCCCCCCCCAATCTAGGACAACAGGGTAACTGACCACAGACTGAAGGTCAACTTTGAGCTCACCTCTTTTCTTGATGGTGATATAGAAAATGCTGTTCAGGTATCTTATCTTGCATGAACATTTTGGATTTTTTCCAATTAGTTTTGTTGTTTCCTCTTGTGTCTCTATTGAGAATGCTTTGTACTGACTCAAATGAGCCTTCCTTCGTGCAGTCTTGCGCTGCAATGGAGCAAAAAACTCTGGAAGAACTTGCTGATCATGGTGCACAGGATATGCAGTTTTGACAAAATACTGGTCACGGATGGAAGATCTGCTTTATAGCTCTCCTCGTTTAAATGAGTCTCACCATCTCAAGTTTGCAACGTGTTGAGTTGATCATTCATGTGTAGATAAGAGGCACATTTTACTTTTAGCAATTTTGAATACAAGACCCCACATTCATGTGATGAACTGACGTCTGTATCATCGTGTAAAGTGACGCTATTGACAGTTGAACTTTGGTGCTCACTGCTTCGTGTGTTTCTCTCGCAATCACGAAGGAGTTTGTTCCTCACAAGCTTCTCGGCTCAATTGGCTGCAGCTCTCACTGTGATGCATTAGCAAACACTGATGGAAATCGTGGAAAATAACCTCACAAGTTTAGCGCTATGAGCACTGAGATATGTGCTGGAGGAACCTGCAGCAACCTCGACGGTGACTGCTATATTATTTATCGTTGAGCTTTAAAAATGGATATGCAACAGAGCCTGAATACTTTCGAAACACGTGGGTTAATTAAAGAGATTGCAAATTAATACCAAAGATTCTATACCCAAAAAAGCAAAAGAAGGAAATGGTAACTGAGAGTTTATCGAGGTAATTAGCTCCTCCTAAGTGGCCCTTGGTGATATTCAAGCATCGTGTTCTTTTTTTTTTTTTTAAATAAGAAATATACATTTTTTTCCCTTGGGTTTAGGTTTTAAGGCAATCTGACTCTGCGGCCACGTAGGTGATGTCATTGTTCCATTTGTTCGCAAGCTTGCTCGAGCCAACTAGGGGCCGTTTATAAGCTTATAAGTATAAATATGTGAAAAGAATTTTGTTTTCACTTACTGAAAACGTGTTTATAGTGAATTTTTACTGCTCTGGACCTAACTGTGAAGCTGCGATTTTAAAAGCAAAATGTTCGCCTTCAGACGACACATCTATATACCTATATATGTATATAATAAAATTAAGGAGAATTACATTCAAATCTCACAAAAAAAAAATCACTAAAAAGTTTCAATAACGAACAGCTTGTAATAACAAGTCCTACAGTGAGAATAACAACTTATGAGACTTTTTTTTTAATTATTTTTTTTATTTGGGATCCCATTATAATTTTCCATAAAAGTATGTGCTAAACGCCCAAGCGTTATCTGTTTATAACTATAGCGGGAAGATGGGCCACCTGTCCACCATGGAGGGATTCCGACCGTACACTGGTCAAGAGCTACACATGGCATCTCCTACCGATCTCCACCTTCCCGCATATGGCAATTCCCACGTCTTCCCCACTTCTCCCACTAATTAAACCTCTTTCACATTCTTCGCTTCTCAACATTTCTATGCTCCGCAGACTCTTCCTCTCTTCCTCTTCTCATCGCTTTCTTCCTCACCGACCAAAACCATCGTCGCCTGGGAAATACGCGTATACCGCAGCCCACTTCCCTTCCTCCTCTGTTATATCACGACGCATTCTCGCTCCCAAGGTTTTGGCAATGGCTGAAAGGCCCACCCATTCGACGTCTTGTTCCCACAAGTATACCAATCGACTTGTAGCCGAGCACAGCCCTTACTTGCTGCAGCACGCCCATAATCCGGTGGGTAAAATCCTTTCCTTGAATTTAGTTGTTCGATGAATGCGTTGAAAGGATGCGAGCGAAGATGAACCATGCAACAGTTTTTTATGTCAAGTACCGATACAGCAACAAAAAAAAAAAAAAAGAGGAAATAGTGCTTCTTTTGCTGTCCTTGCATGATACCGCAATTTTTGCTGGGTCTTCGGAGATCTTGCAGGGTTGAGTCGATTTTTAATATTGTCTTTTTATTTCATTGCTTTTCGCTGTCATTAATCACTGACTTCGTATTGAAGGTTGATTGGTATCCATGGGGTGAAGAAGCTTTCGCTGAGGCACGAAAGAGAGATGTACCTATTTTCTTATCAAGTAATTCTTTTCCTGCTCTTTTTTTTTTTTCTTTTTCAACGCTGAGCTACCCCCTTCTTTATTTTTGAAAATTTCGCTGATGAGATTAACTGCTGGCTGGCATTATGATATTAATGGCGATTCTATTCGAAGTTGGGTACAGCACTTGCCACTGGTATGATAACTTCAACTGGTTATGTAGACTTTCGATCTCTGGAGCAGAGTAGAGTGGTAAAATATAATGGACTGATGATTGATTATTTTGGGAATCTGAACTATTATTGGTCAGGTGTCATGTTATGGAGGTTGAGTCATTTGAAGACCAGGGGGTTGCCAAGTTGTTGAACGATTGGTTTGTTAGCATTAAGGTGAGTTCAAATGGAGTTTGTCTGCGTTAATTTTTTTGGCCTGTACTTTTTTGAATTGTAGTAGTCTTCTACCTAATCTGTTCACTTTGACCGTTTTGTGAACATCACTAATGAACGCATTCTACTTTTATCCATTCAATTTTATCATGTCAATGCCACAGGTGGACCGAGAGGAGCGACCAGACGTCGATAAGGTAAATCCTTCTTTGTTAGGGGGCCCGATAAACAGCGTTCTTCGATTCATGCGGAATTCCCTTTTCATTCTTAAACTTTTTTTAGTTTGATTGATGGGGTTTGCTTCCCTGTCTTCGGAATGGGGTGTGCAGAGAATGTTCAACATGTTTCACGCATAGTGGGATGCGCTTAAAAGATTTTCTTATTGTCGTTTTAGGTGTACATGACCTATGTGCAAGCTTTGTATGGGGGAGGAGGTTGGCCACTGAGCGTGTTCCTTTCACCTGACTTGAAACCTTTAATGGGTGGAACCTACTTTCCCCCTGATGATAAGTATGGACGACCTGGATTTAAGACTTTACTTAGGTAAGGATCAATGTACGTAGCAAGTCAAATCATGGACCTCAGCCTGTCCCCCCTTTCTCATAATGTCTGTAGTTGTCATGTTCCAAATCGTTGAGTGAGAAACTCCTGGTTCAATGCTTAAAAAAAAAAAAAAAATGCTGTCTCCATGTCTTGCTTATATGGTATAATAATTTCTTACATTCTCCAGAAAGGTGAAAGAAGCTTGGGACAGTCAGAGGGATACACTAGTTAAGAGTGGAGCCTTTGCAATTGAACAGCTTTCTGAGGCTCTTTCTGCTGCTGCAGATTCGAATAAATTGGCCGATGGAGTTTCTGAAAGTGCTCTACGTTTATGCTCAGATCAAGTAAGTATTTGTTCATCCATATATCTTTTTAATGTACTCGGCCAAGTCAAGCCTTTCCCTCGTAACAAGATCTTGCCGTTAATCTTGTTTTCTCTCCTATTTATGAGAATAGCAAGGCAGTGGAGAAATTATTATAACAAAGAAATCTTGTCTTCTTATTCATAGTGAGAATTTGACGCAGATAGTAATCATTGTTGTAAGATCTTCTCGTTGAAAGAACATATCACATCTCTCTTTATGATTAAACAAAGTTCTTATATATTCAGAGGTTCTTTTCATTGAATTCTTTCTATTAAGGGTTGCAAGGTCCTTATAATTATTCAATTGATCATTTCTTTTGTTAGCTCTCTGGAAGCTATGACTCTAAGTTTGGTGGATTTGGATCTGCGCCAAAGTTTCCCCGACCAGTTGAGATCAATCTGATGCTTTACTACTCCAAAAAATTGGAGGATACTGGGAAGTTGGGTTTAGCTAATGAACATCGGAAAATGGCTTTCTTTACCTTGCAATGCATGGCAAGAGGAGGTGTTCATGATCACATTGGAGGGGGGTTTCACAGATATAGTGTCGATGAGTGTTGGCATGGTAAGTTTATCTTGGCAACAATAATTTCAGGAATAAGTCTTTGATATGTGTCTGATATTTTTATTCACTTTAGTTCTCTGTTACTCTGAAGAGGCGTAGATATATGTTATTTTTTGGTTTTTCATTATTTATTGCAATTTGTTGTTGTGTTCTCTGTTACAAAATGTTAAGGTGAATAGGTTACTGAACTGTAACACTGATTGCAGTTCCACATTTTGAGAAGATGCTATATGATCAAGGGCAGCTTGCTAATTCTTATTTAGATGCTTTTTCTGTCACAAAAGACACCTTCTATTCATTTATATCACGGGATATCCTTGATTATATGAGGAGAGATATGATTGGTCCAGAAGGTGAAATCTTTTCGGCAGAGGATGCTGACAGTGCAGAAACTGAGGGAGCTGCAAAGAAAAAGGAAGGAGCCTTTTATATATGGACCAGCAAAGAGGTCTTTACCAAACATATTTGTGCCCTTTTTTTTCATTTATTTCTCAGCCTTTTTCTGTTATGCATAAAGTGATGCGTCTTTAATGTTATTTAAATGCCATGCGATCTCTATCTTCACCTGTTTAGATAGTTAACATTCAGCTTGCTCAGGATAACCTAACTGCACATTTTTAGTTTGACCAAGGCATCTCATAGTAACTTGTAAGCTTATATTACTCTTCAGTAGTTGATGGATACTTAGATGATTGCCTCTTTTGTCAAATTGTTCTGTGTGGAATATGAAAAGATAATATAATTTCTCAGTCATGGACATATATCGGTTTTTACATTTACACAGGATTTTTTATTATGCATTTTGTTTTCTAAATTACAGTTTGGCCGTCCAAACAGCATCAATAATGCATGACTGGAAACATTCTAATTTAACTTTACCTTGAAATTTCTTCTTGTTCATTTTCAAATGTCATTGACGGTATTTTTCCCACATAATAAATCTGACTAAACATAACCTTGGCTAATGCTTTTTTGCATAATTTCTCTTCTAAATATGATTAGCTTTTTGAGTGGCTTGTTTTGACTTGGTTTTGCGGATTTACGATTATTTCTGCAACATCATGATTTTTTTTTCTTTTTTTTTAGGCAATAACTACTGATTGGCCCTTGATAGCTGGTTTGTTACTCTGTGTGTATGTGTGGATTCTCAAGTTCAGCTGTTTCTGTTTAGGTTGAAGACATACTTGGACAGCATGCAGATCTTTTCAAAGAGCACTACTACATAAAGCCCTCAGGCAATTGTGACCTTTCTAGAATGAGTGATCCTCACAAGGAATTCGAGGGAAAGAATGTCCTGATAGAGAGAGAGGATATATCTGAATTGACATCAAAATATGGTATGTCAGCTGAGAAATATTCTGAGATTCTAGGAGAATGCAGGCAAAAGCTATTTGAAGTGAGGTCAAAACGACCAAGGCCACATTTAGATGATAAGGTATTTCCCCTCACTCATATACAGAACTAGCTATTACCAGTCTAGGTTTCAATTTTCATGCATTCTCAAAGGACCGTATGCTTCTAGGTGATTGTATCCTGGAATGGGCTTGTGATCTCATCTTTTGCTAGAGCCTCTAAGATTCTCAATGTTGAAGCTGAAGGAACCAGATTCAACTTCCCTGTTGTCGGCAGTGAAGTAAGTTTTTACTAGTGTAATTTGATGGAGGTTTTGGCATTTCATTCAAACAAAATGACTAATGATCCTTAAATCCCGTGGCATTTAGGAGTTGAAACAGGACCCTCCTTTTCTTTTTCTTTGAATGTTACCTGCTGGACGGACCATAATTTGTTGTCATAAAAGTACAACTTTATACTATTGTTCACAAGTCTTGTTGCACGATTGATGTTCTTTAATACAATTGCCTTTCAGTAGAAGGTGCAAGGGACTGATGGGTGAGGATATTGGAGCCAGACCTGCAGCCAATTTAATATTTTTCTTTTCAGTCGTTGATAATAGTATTTGATTTTCTCCTTTTCATTGCACAACTTCCAGCCAAAGGAGTACTTGGAAATTGCGGACAAGGCAGCCTCCTTTATTAGGAAGCAACTTTACAATGAAGAGACAAGCAGGCTGCAGCATAGTTTCCGAAACGGTCCCTCTAAAGCTCCTGGCTTTTTGGATGATTATGCTTTTCTGATTTCTGGATTGCTGGATCTCTATGAGTGCGGTGGTTCAGTTGACTGGCTTGTGTGGGCAATTGAGCTGCAGGAGACCCAGGTGAAGATCAACGTCTGCACTTGGAAAAAGTTACTTGCCTTTCCAGAACACGTTACACAGATTAAGTTACTCATGACATGAGCTGCTTGCAGGATGCTTTGTTTCTTGATAGGGAGGGAGGAGCTTATTTTAACACGGCAGGAGAAGATCCATCAGTTCTTCTCCGAGTAAAGGAAGATCATGATGGGGCCGAACCCTCTGGGAACTCAGTTTCTGCAATTAATCTATTAAGATTGGCTTCCATGGTTGCTGGAAATAAGGCTGACTATTATAGACAAAACGCAGAACATCTTCTGGTTTGCCCTACCCTTCTGCTTTTTTATGTTTATGATAAGCGGAGTGGGATAAGTCGCAACAGTGTCTCTTAACTAGACCATGGGATAAGCTGGAATGACTAATATTTCCTTGCACGACCCATGCAGGCAGTATTTGAAAATAGATTGAACGATATGGCTATGGCAGTGCCTTTATTGTGTTGTGCAGCAGACATGTTGCACGTTCCTTCCCGCAAGCAAGTAGTTCTGGTGGGTGAAAAGAATTTGAAGGAATTTGAAAGCATGCTTACCACAGCTCACGCATTATATGACCCTAACAGAACCGTAAGTGTAATAGCTGATTGTGACGACGGTATTTTCAGTTTTCTTCTTTTCTGTGTCGCTATCATAAATAGCTTGTGTTCATGTTCATGGCAGGTTATTCATATAGATCCCAACAACAAGAAGGAGATGGAATTTTGGGAAGCACATAATGGCAACATTGCTGTCATGGCGAAGAATAACTATGCAGCAGACAAGGTTTCAGCTCTTGTTTGCCAAAACTTCACTTGTAGCCCGCCTGTGACTGATAACGCTTCACTCGGAGCTCTGCTCTCTAAAAGACCCTCATCTTCATCTGCTTAGACGGGGTTCTGAGATCTCAAAGTAGGCAATAGAAGTGAACAATACTGATAGTTATCCTTTAATAACGTGTTTATCTACGGAAGCTATTGATTCTGAGTCTTTGACTATTAGCATCAACTGGAAGTGGTACATATTCCTCATTGATACGTACAGGGTGACCGGTTCATAAGTATTTTGCGGCTTCTCATCTGTCTCTGCTGTGGAAGCCGGAATTGCCAATGGCTGGGTTTGTTCGGGTCCAGCCACGTATAGCCCTTTCCCCTCACCCCCGGTGTTTTTTTTTTTTTTTTAAAAATAATGCAGAAGCATATCTAATTTCAAACAAATTGATCAGAAATTGTACCTGTAGCCTGTAGCATAAAATTATAGGGTCGAAATGGAAAGAATCATCTTCAATTTAAATGGAGAAACTGGATTTTGGCCAAGTTCCTTCGACTGGAAAACATTCGAAGCATATTCTTGAAGCGAATGGTTTCGCTCAAGCACAACAAGTCTAATAAATAGTGAAATTTGTGATAACTTATGTTATTGGCAGCATAATCAAATTTTCATATTGCATGTTATACAAGAAAAACCGTGTCTAATTTTTATTTTGCGTTAGTTATTATATTTATTGGACCAAAAGTGGGAGTTATATTATATAACAAATGCAAATTATTTATTTGTGAAGAAGTGTACTCTGTTGGGGATGTATTTCTAAATTTGTCAAAAAAAAAAGTGACTTTTTAATTTGTTTTTCATGGAAATTAATAATTCCACTAATATTTTAAAATTTGTAAAAGAAAATGTGACTTTTTAATTTGTTTTTCATTGAAATTAATGATTAATGATTCTACTCAAGTGTTGTCAAGGAATTAAAATTAAAAGTATGCTAATAACTTGTAATTAAGGAGGAATAAGATGGGGGGGAAAATTAAGTACTATTTTTTATCCTATATTTATAATTAATTCATCATAGAGTGATTTTAATTTTATAATTTTATTTCATTTTTAAAAATAAAGATAAGTAACATCCTTATCTTTTCGTTTTCCTAATAGCTATTACGCCTGTAGTCATTGTTTGCGTTGCCCAGCTTCAGTTTTCAGCTATTCACCTTCGCCTTCTAAATCCAGGGATGAAACTCCAACGTTAGCTATGCCAAGTAGAGGAGAGGAGGAGAAACTGGGTAGGCCTAACAAAGAACGAAGGAACTGGGTGGCTATTCCGTTGTCGCCTTGTGCCCAATAGCCTTACCATCACTCTTGTCCTCTAACGAATTGTAGGATGGAAGCATTACAGTTCCAGTGTCCCATGATGGTTAATCGAACTATTTCTTGCGCATTTCCTTCCAGGAAATCCAAGCAGAATTTTGGGGTTTCAAATGCACAGTTCTTGTTCTTTTTTCTAAACCGATCATCTCCCAGACCAGTCTCCTTCAAAATCGAAGCAAATAATTCGAATTTCACTATCACTTACCTCATAGAGTCTTGTGGATTGGCTCCAGAAGCTGCTACTTCAGTTTCGCAGAAGGTGCAGCTGCATTCAAGAGAGAGACCGGACTCTGTCCTAACACTGCTCAGAGAACACGGCCTCTCAAAATCTCAGATTTCAAATATCGTCAGGAAGCGTCCGTCGCTCCTTTTAGCCAATCCCAAAGAAATCCTTTTGCCGAAGCTCGAATTCTTTCACTCCATAGGGATTTCCAGGTCTGACCTCGCAAGAATCCTCGCTGCAGACCCAACCGTTTTGACAAGAAGCTTGGAGAAACAGATAATTCCTTCTTACCATTTTCTCAAAAGTGTGTTGCTGTCTGATGAGAAGGTCGCTTCTGCCTTGAAGCGAACGTCGTGGATTTTTCTGGAAGACCATTCGAAGAAGCTCTTACCAAATCTCTCCGTTCTGAGAGCAACGGGTGTGCCAGAATCATGCCTTGCATTGTTGCTCGCTCATTTCCCTGAGGCGCTTATTCAAAAGAATGATCAATTTGTGAAGACCGTTGAAGAGATCAAGGAGATGGGATTCGATCCAACCAAGTCGACATTTGTGTTAGCGATTCACGTAATGGCAGGTAATAGATCGATATATAATCGCTGTTACGAGGTATACCAGAGGTGGGGCTGGTCGGAGGATGAGATTCTAATGTCATTCAGAAAGCATCCGAATTGTATGCTTCTATCGGAGGATAAAATAACGAAAGCAATGGACTTCCTCGTGAACAAGATGGGTTGGCCTTCGGGGATGATAGCGAGATGTCCAGTGGTGTTGTTTTTCAGCCTGGAAAAGAGAATCAAGCCTAGGTGTTCAGTTGTTCAGGCTCTGCGATTGAAGGGGTTGATCAAGAAGACTCTGAGCTTGTCTACCGTGCTGTTGCCGGATAAGAAGCGTTTCGTGGAGAAGTACGTGGCAAAGTATGAGAATCAGGTGCCTGAACTGTGGAGTGTCTATGAGATGAAAGTGGATTTTAGGAGCGTCATTTGAATTTGCAGAACCTCTCTCTGCCACTTTGTAGCCTCTTGTTGAAACCGCTCATTGAACGAATTAAACGGCGTTTATGGGAATCCTAGTTCTGTAATGAACCATACTTTAATCCCTACGGCAATGTCGGTTAAATCTACTTGGTTAATGTTTGTTAGTTTGGTAATACCTACCCCTATAATTCCAGGCGTCTGAATATAACTTGACTGATATTTCTCCAGCACAAGCATTCAAAGTAAACTCGAGAGCTTGATGCCATTACTCTGCTGTTTAGTGCGGCGTATTTCTTTCATCTAACAAATCATCTTCGTCATCTTCTGGCGAGTCTTGGAGGGCCTTTTTTAGGTGCGAAAGTATTGACCTCAAGCCTTTTTGTTTAAGGAAAAAAATACCTCCAAATGGAGCGATGCAAGGAAGAAGCCCGCAGGTTATTCCGCATCATGGTCATAGACGGAGCCGCAATGGTTTAATTCAGGCCATTTTTTTTTTTGGGCTGAACAAACAGCGTCTCGTTTGATTTCTTTTTTTTTTATTATTTTTTTTTAACGGTGCCTTGTTGCGGGACTTGATTTTAAGGACAATCAACAACCATCTGGTAGGTTACTTAATCTTATTTCCTTTATAATAAATAATGTAAAAAAATAATTCAGATATGGACATGCTTTGGTCTATGAAAGAGCCTTTGAAAGAAGAGGAGGTTTTTAGGGTTAGAAAAATCAAAATTTTTTTTGGGGGGTCTAATCTATTGTTTAGATGAAATTGAAAGTGAAAATTATATGTCATAAACAATACAATTTATCATATATTTTATTTATTATAGTTGATTGATGATTTATTCAACATGCCAAGTCAAAAAAAAAACGTAAAAAACATGTATGCTTTCCTTTCCCTCATCTTATCCCGGTGGCTGTCTTTCTAACCGTGGGATTAATATATATTTTTTGACGAAAAATACGAAAATTAATAAGAAAATAAAAATAACAGTAGAAAACGCGGCTGCTGGATTCACCGAAAACCAGAAACGCAGAGCGATTGATGTATCCGAGCTATAGAACTGCTGCCCAATAAGATTCAGAGACTCAGAGGTTTTCTTATAATTCTAGAGAATCCTGTGTAAAGATTGTGCATTTCGCTGATTGGAAAATACAATTCGAGTTCGTGATTTTTACTCGAGTCCACGATCGTGTGGATTTTCAACATTGTTTGACGAATTCCTCGGGGATTTCGATTCTGGGAATTGGATTGAAAAAAGAAACTTGGATGTGGATTTCGGGTTGTGAATGTGGAGGTTTAAGTTGGAGGGTATGATTTTTTTAGCATATTTTTGTGGATGATTTCGGTGGGAAGTCGGGATGGGAGAAAGGGGCCAGGGCTAGGCTTTGGTGGTGCTGGTGGTGGGAGGACTGAGATGGACGAGTCCGACCTTGAAGAAGGGGAGGCATGCTCATACCCGAATCATGAATATGATGAGGGGAGCGTCGATCCCGATGTTTCCCTCTCTTATATCGTAAGGATATTTGCGTTGTTTCTCTCTGATTTTCTAGTTAATTATGGTTTTGTGTGGCCAAATTATTTGTGTTCACTTGTTTCACTTTCTTAGATCCAAGGTGTCTGCTGTTTCCATAATTCGTAAAAATTAGTTAATTTGGAGATGTGCAGTGCTGAATTATATGTTTTATTAAACGTGTTGTGTCTTCTACACAAACACATGTATGTATGTATGTATGTATGTAAACAGAGGGTGTCAAAGAAGATTACTAAATGCTAATTTTGTGATCTCAACTTGGAGCATTAGGCAAATGAAGACATTTTAATTTTTTGCTTAGCCTTCCTGATTAAGTACTTATTGAAACGCTATATGAATGAGCCTCATTGCGTAAATGAATTTCCTTTTCTCTTTACCTATGCACGTAGAAACAAATTGTTCATTTTTGGCGGATTTTTGTATGTGAACTCCTGTCTACAGTTATAGAATTTAGTTTCTCCTTAGGCAGGTATAAATAACGTGCAGTGAACACTGCAAGATATTGAAATCGTTTCGCCAGTGTTGTCCAGATTAATTACGACATCATGAAATGCATATCTTACCATTTCGGGTTTGAAAGTCTTGTGAATTGAGGAAACTTCCCAGTTGGAAAATGATGCCACGAGTGAGATAATTAGTCGACCCATGTCAACGTCTTTTGGTTATTGCATCAGGGAATGCTATCTGTTTTTGCATTATAAACGTGTTCACTCCAACCTTTTTGATTGTTTTTGTTTTTGGTTACTGGTCCTGCTTCTTCTTCTTCTTCTTCTTCTAACATTGAGCTACTGGACTTTTGTTTTTCTAAGGATGAAAAGATTCAAGTTGTTCTGGGACACTTTCAGAAAGATTTTGAAGGTGGGGTTTCTGCAGAGAATCTGGGTAAGTTGTTGTCTGTAACCTGTTAGAATTATTTCTTCTAAGTGAGGGCTTACAAAGTCAAGAGTTCTTGTTTTAATGATATTCAGTAAATAACCCGTTCTAATAGGGGCAAAATTCGGTGGATATGGATCATTCTTACCTATGCATCAGCACTCTCCTGTTCGGTCGCATCCAAGGATTCCATCAAAAGTTCATAGTCAAAATACAGCCAACTGTTCTAGCGATTCACAACTGGAGGTGCATTCACTCTACCATTATGAGGCTGGCCAAAATGTGATTGAACTTGTAATTAAGTTGATTGTATATGAGGTTTCATAGACCCTTGTATGATTTTTGATTTTGGATTTTGTTAAAACATCTAATGTATTACAAACAGGCTGGGCAAGCTGTGCATTCTTCAACTGCAACTCATTTATCAGGACTTGGACCAAATTCTACTAGTTCCTTCGAGATTCCTGCAATTAAGGTGCCCTCATCAAATCATGGGGTCAGCCAAGAAAATTGTCCAACAACCACTTGTGTTGAGGCAATCTCTGGTAAATACGAATCTACAGGCATGAAATCTACCAGCTTGTCAGATCAGAAGACACTGAAGGTTCGAATCAAAATGGGCACTGATAATTTGCCAACACAGAGAAATGCTGCAATCTACAGTGGACTTGGCCTTGACGTGTCACCATCATCATCATTGGATGACAGCCCTTCAGAAGGTGAAGGGATATCTCGTGGGCCTAAAGATGCACCTTTTGAATCTCCATCTAGCATCCTTCAGGTGAATTATCTGCTCAAAATTTGATTTTCTATTTTTTGTCATGTATTGCATGAAGAGATTAGAAGTTTTATGATGGTGTCTTGAAACAGATTATGACATCCCTTCCTATGCTGTTGTCTCCTCTTCCTGATGATCTTATTCAATTAATTGGAGAAGAAACAGATTCCAAAGAATTTATGCCTGATGAGGTTCATGTGGACGGGGGAGAAAGTTCTGGCATGTTACTAAATGAATCTATTACTGTACGGAGTGACAGAAAATTGTTAGGAGGGGAGAAAATAAAGTCTGTGGAGGGATGCAGATCTTCATTGGAATTTAAGGGTGATGTTAATAGAAATGGAGTTTTATCCAGGAAGGAGCAGAATAATGATGGGTTGACTACTGACGAGCTTGTTTCAAAAACCTTGAAGCTACCGCTTTTATCCAGTTCATTCTGTGATGACTCAGTAAAGGAAGTTGGTGACCTATGTGATAAATCGAAGGAAGCTAGCAAGAGTATGGCAAGGGAGAAGATCTTCTCTGATCATGCACAAAAGGAGCAAGCAGATCCAAAATCTACTGAAGTGAATGGTTTTGTTCAAAAGGGTCAGGCTGGTTCAGGAAGAAAAGCAGTAGAAGATAAGATTTACAACTCTGTTGATGATTTATCTGCTTACACAGTCAAAGACAAGGCTCACAGAGTTAAAATTTGTGACTCAGTAACAGCTGAATCTAAAGCCAGGACAGCTTTAAACTATGAACACACAGAGCCTCCCGAGAATGCTTTTCAGATAGGTGAACAGGATGGTATTGCATTACCTGTTGTCAGAGAACATCCCATTCGCAGGGGCAAGAAGAAGTCAAAGGGAGGTCATGGCACCATGGTTTCAGAGGGGGGAAAACAGACCTTGAGGGTCGGTAACCTATTGCCGCCTAAAACAAAGAAGAGTTTTGATGATGGTGCTACGTCTAAAATTGAAAATGAAGGTGTCAAGGTACAAAAGGATCATGGAAGGGCTAGGGATGCTTACAGAGATTTTTTCGGGGAATTTGAGGAAGAGGAGGATAGATTGGATTCCTTGGAAACTCCTTATGTAGAAAAATTAAAGGACTCTGAGGTGTCTAAGAGGAGAACCTCTGCAAGTATTTCTGCAGAAACAGAGAGATCAGGTGCTACTAAAATTGTTAAGCCACTATCATCTGATGTGTATCCTAAAACAGCCACAAATCTAGTCCGGTGCAGTGCAAATGGGCATGGCACAGATGTGGATAAAGGAAAAGAGGCTCCTGTGACTGCAACCTCTGTTGTTTCTGAAGATAACTGGGTACAATGTGATCGATGCCAGAAATGGCGCCTTCTTCCTTCAGGCACAAATCCTGACCACTTACCTGAAAAGTGGCTTTGTAGTATGCTTGACTGGCTGTAAGTTTCAATTAAGTGACTACTCATATTTAAAAGATTTTTTTCATAACCCCATTTAAAAAAAAAAGATTTTTTCATAACAAAATTTCTGATGAAGTTTGAGTACTTTAGTAATATATAATCAGAGCGGCTTACATTAATCATATTGGATAATATAGGAAAGTAACTAAATGCTTCCATTCAAATCTCTAACAATGTACATTTAAATTTGCAGGCCTGACATGAATCGATGTAGTGTTAGTGAGGATGAAACCACTAAAGCACTTATTACCCTATACCAAGGCCCACCTCCTGAAGGACAAAGCAATCTGCAAAATACATTTGGAAGTGTTGTTGGTGGAACATTGTCAAATTCTCAGCACTCCAACCAACATTGGCTGAGCCATAGTCTGCATGCACTTCCTGATGGAAAGAAAAAATTTGCAAAAGAGATGTCAAATGCAGCAACTAAAGATGGATCCTTTCCGTTGTCATCTTCTGTAAAGAAAGGCTTGCAGTCCTCTGTGAAAAGCAGGAGTTTAAATGATGTGAACAAATCTCCCACAGTGAATGTTCTCAATGCTCCTGTGGAGAAGCATAAAACTAAACATAAGATACTGGAGGACAATTCTGATATAGGTAGTTTGAAACAGATATTCATCATACTTATCATCGCAGTATTTGATATATTGACTTGCAAGATGTTAAATTTTGCTTTATGATATCTTAATTATTTGAGCTGTCTTGACAGGTGATACAAAGAATTTGACGGTGAAAAGCAAAAGAGGCCCTGATCAAGATAGTTCTAGATCATTCAAGAAAAGTAAGACTGATGGAGTGTTTTCTACAGATGAAGATTGGATTCCAGAGCATCGTAGAACTGCTAAGAAAGTGGATCATGGCTTGAATAGCAGCAACACAACTACATCATGTGGCAAGAATCAATCTAAACATAAAGATAGTTTCTCTTCAAGGGACTCAAAATACAGTGGAAAAGATAAGCTACAAGTTTCTATTGGAAAAAAGAGAAATACTAGGGAGTATCAGGATACTCAAACTTGTAGCACGGGTGATCATGTACAGGAGAACGGGGTTTCCATCCAGGATGAGCTTACTGCCTCTAGAAAGGAAAAGAAGTCTAGAGTATCAAAATCTGACGGTAGAGAGTCAAGTACTAGTAAAGGTAGTGGTAGGACAGACAAAAAAATGAGTCAGACAAAGAACCAGAAGTTCAGGCAAGATCCAGGGAGCACGCTGTCACAGCGAAGCTTGGATGGTATGGATTGTTTGAAAGGGGATTTAGATTCAGTTCAGGCCACTGCTGCTGCCACTTCTAGCTCTTCTAAAGTTTCTGGTTCACATAAAACCAAAGCTGGTTTCCAGGAGGTGAAAGGTTCACCAGTGGAATCAGTTTCTTCATCGCCTATGAGACTTCTAAATCCGGATAAGCTTACAAATAAGGGGAAGGATGACTCTCTTGATGCTGGTGCCATGGGTAGTCCAAGAAGATGTTCAGATGGTGAAGATGATGGTGGAAGTGACCGTTCTGGGACAGCTAGAAAGAATAAATCTTCAACTTTGATCCATAGTAGGTCTCATGGATCTTCCAAGCTTGATTGCCAAGATAAGGATGTCAATCATATGCCAGACACTAAATTTAAAGATCAAACTTTGTATCCAGACATGGCAACAAGCCATTATACAAATGGTGATGTGGACCCTGTAGGTCAAAATGGGACCTACCCTGATGGGGAGCTAATTAAGGATCAGTGCCAAAGTGAAGAGAGAACTGACATTTATGGTGCTAACACGTCTCTTCCAAGGAAGGCTGGAAGAGGATCGTGTTCAAAAGGCAACAATGAAAGCCGTAAATCAGAGCCCAAGGGAGAAAAGGTCAAGAATGCTAGTTCACCCGGTCAATTACAAGACCAATCTCCTCTCTCTGAGGCAAACCATGGGGATAATAAAACCAAGTTACAGGAAAAGTTTGGGTTTAAATCTGACAAAAGTGAGAATATACATACTGGTAAGAAAGATTGTACAGGGAATGATAGTAGGAGAAAAGAGAACCAGTTGAATAGGGGGAAAGAGTTTCAAGAGGCTAGTGTGGATGCCATTAAACAGGAAGCGTTGCCCTCCCATAGTCAGAATCAAAGTCTGGACTTTGATGCTGAAAGATCTTCAAAGAGGTCTATCTCAGAAAGAACTGATCAAGAAATACTTGGAAAAGAGAAGTCTCTGTCAACGCCACCCTTGGGAGGAGCTCAAATTGAGACAGTGGATCGTGGCCCACAACCTTCTGCTGGTTTTCACAAAGGAACTGCAGATTCGGTTGTTGACCCCTCCAGAGTTGATGATGTAACAAAGCTGCAAAAGAAGCAGATCAGAAAGGCCGACCACCAAAATGGAACTCAGCACATTAGCTCCAAACATCCCACACTTAATGGACGGAGATCTAAGGAGCTAGATGCACCCAGTCCAACTAGAAGGGATTCTTCCAGTCATGCTGCCAACAATGCTGTGAAAGAGGCTACAGATCTGAAGCATTTGGCTGATCGTCTCAAGGTTCTTTTTCATATAATGTCTTCTGCAGTTTGTTGTCTTTTGGTCTTCTTGGCCTTAATTTTGAAATGTGGGGTGTATTGTGCAGAATTCAGGATCCGCTGAGAGCACTGGGCTTTACTTCCAGGCAGCCCTGAAGTTTCTTCATGGAGCTTCTCTATTAGAATCTGGCAATAATGACAATAATGCTAAACATAATGAGATGATTCAATCAAAGCAAATGTACAGTAGCACAGCAAAATTGTGCGAGTAAGCATTGTTTATTCTTAATCATGCTTTTAGTTTTGGCACACAACTTTCAGCATGTAATTAGTGAGATATTTATATTAATATGTAGGCCTTAGGTAGGGATTTATCATCACGGTCATATGAACCCTGACCTTAAAAATGGGAGTTATTGTTACTGGTGCTTGTTTTAAGTTTCTAAATTCTTTCTGTTAATGAAAATTGAACAAAATGAATCAACTAGCACCAATTGGTGTAAATGCCATGGTATATACGAGATTGTAGACGTTGGAGCAAATGTAAATTTTGATTTTGTGATTCAAATTGTATTTCGTTCCTTATATTTTCTTTCCTTAACATAGGCATGTGAATCCATCGTTTGTGTCGTAGAGGCCTAGGATGCATTCTTTCACTTCCAACTGTGAGTAATAGAGTATAGCTGTCATAACAGAAACATTTGGTTCTTCTTTGGCCTTGTTATCCTTTGTATTTATATCTTTGTTTCCTCAACCCACGCAAACAGGTCTCAAAACAAATCCTGTTACTTTCTTTGTAACTTTGTCAATCAATCTTTTATCACTTTCTCTTTGTGATGGGAATAAGTTGTAATTTTTGCGATGTGAGCTTGTTTTGGAACAATTCAGCTTCATAAAAAAATGATGGATTTCCCATGACCTTTCTGTAGTTTATTTGCATGCAGTAAATCATTGCCTTTATGGTTGGATATCAGATCTTTTAGTGGATTTGCATTCCTGATATTTTCTGTTTGATAGGTTTTGTGCCCATGAATATGAGAAATTAAAGGACATGGCTGCTGCTGCTTTGGCCTACAAATGCATGGAGGTAGCATATATGAGGGTAATATATTCCTCACACCACGCTGCAAACAGAGATCGGCATGAGCTGCAGTCAGCTTTACAAATTGTTCCTATTGGTAATGACATAATGTGGTCTGGAAATAATTCATTTGAGCTTAAAAACTTCACTTATTTTTTTTCATACCAGTGTCCCTGCCCTCAAGATAGTTGAAAATCTTGTGGACTATTGTTTCTTCTTCTCACCTTTGCCAATTGTTGTAAGATTGCAAGGAATGATGGATTGGAGTACATGCCTTGCAGTATGATCTCTATATTATAACCTTGTAAATTGTTTCATTTTTGTCAGGTGAGTCGCCTTCCTCATCTGCCTCTGATATTGACAATGTTAACAACTCTGCTGCGGTAGAAAAGTTTGCCTTGCCCAAGGGTGTCAGTTCTCCCCAAGTTGCTGGCGCCCATGTCATTCCTGGCCGAAATCGTTCGAATATTATGCGATTGCTTGATTTTGTAAGTATACATTCTTTTTTAATAGAATTTTCCTATTATGGGATCAGAATCTTAAGATTGGAGCTCCAGTGATGGAGTATGCATATAGGTAAGGTTCGCTTTTGAACAATTCAAAATTTGGTAGAATCAAATGCTATCTTTTTGATAGTGCTATTGTTCATGCACCATCTTGTCAAGTCATTAGTTTTCATAGGCAAAAACTGAAATCTAGCTTAGTTGTTTGCTTTACTCTGGTTGTATTTTGTCAGTATGCACATAAAATCACATTGATGATTGCAGGCCCAGGATGTGAATTTTGCCATGGAAGCCTCAAGGAAATCACGGATTGCTTTTTCAGCTGCTCATTCGAGCTTAAGGGAGGGGAAGCATGCGGACGGCATCTCCTCGGTTAAGAAGGCTCTTGATTTTAACTTTCAAGATGTTGAGGGGTTGCTGCGATTAGTCCGGCTTGCCATGGAGGCCATCAGTCGATGAAGGTTCCATTTTGTTGTGAAGAGGCTTCTGGCTTGGGAAGAACATGTGATTCTTGGTCATGTACTTTTGCTTGGAAAAAGAAAATGACTGAGCTGTATTATGAGTGGTAAAGTTCATTATCTTGCAAGCGGAATTTCTCTTACCATCTTGCAAGGCCAATCAATTCATGCTTGCCTTACATTCAGGCAGATGTGGTTGCTTTTTGATGTGTTCAAGGATGAATGCCATGGCAACTCTCATGATAGTGTTGAATTTGGAGGCACAAGGATTCTGGGGACCACTCAAGAACAATTCTGAGCTTCTTTTGATATGTGGAGGGTTGGTACATTGAGATCATGGTCGAAGGCAGATATGGATGGACATCAGACTTTGATATTAATTGCCATTCTTTGGTCTTCTATTAGAGGAATTGTTATCTTGTCAATCTGTAAGTTTCTATCTGCCGGGGATTGGGAGTTTCGGAATTAGCATGAGACCTATTTATCCTTCTCTCGATCCAAGCTCTCTAGAGAAACCAGAGTCAGAATGTATATAAGCTAATCGAACCCACACCCCAAATATAATAAAAATAAAATAAAATTTCGTGAACGTGAATTTTTATTTTCCTTGCTAACTTTTATTTCTTACTGGCATTTTTTTATGAGTTACAAATTTTATATGCAGATTTTCCTATATATTGGGATTTAAAGGGACCATCTATGTCCTGTCTACATTGCTGATGGAGAAGTAACAAGAAGCAGAAAGGAAATAACAAGAATCATGAAGAATACGTAGCAGGAAATTGCTGCTAATGTGTCGTTAGCTTAGAGGTATTCAAGACTTCAAGTACTTCTTTGTTTTAAAAGTTCTGTTCAACCATTGATAAATTAATTTATGAAGCGTCTCTAACTCCTATATTGCATTTCTTCTTGCTTTTCTTTTCCTGAAGGGAGTGGACTATACGTATTATTACATAAATCAATTTTATGTCGGAGACAATCAAGTTCGTGCTTCCTTTTCTGGAACCTGACAGGTAATCGTATTCCCGTCATTGCATTACTCCCCGTCCATGGTAGCCTGATTCAGGAATATTTATATCCTTGCTTTGTTAAGTCCACATTATGGAATGAGACTGATGGGAAAATGTTATTTATAAAAACGATTTTGTGGATGAAAATAACACTATACCCTTAAAAGAAAATACTAATAAGATATCAATAAGGGTAACAAGAGTATACTAGGTAATGTATATCATGCGAATGGAATTCCTTCCCAACTGGAATGCCGAACAGGCTGTTTAGTTTCTTTTCCTTTGGCGGCATCTTAAAACTGCAGTGGAGGGCAGTCCAGAATTATACGCCATCCTAATTATAGAGTAAACTACCTACTCACTACTTGATCCAAAATATAGGACAAACATATAGTGTTTGTGAATTTTCTCAATCCTGCCCCTCATTCATTTATTGTTGGTCTCATTATGTTTCATGGGAATAGAGTTTCTTATTGTTAATGGTTTGTTCAGCTGGGGACTTCATTGCGGAGACCAATTGAGGGCAAAATTAGAAAGTCACATTCTTCTACAAATTTTAAGGTATTAACCACCACTTTTTAAGAATCGTGATAATGAGGATTGAGGACCGAAGGAAGTACAAGTTTTACTCCATTTGATGATGTTTACATCTTTATCAAACTTGTCGAGGATGTGGGGCAACATGCAAGAGGCCTATGACCTGCGACCGAAACTAGGTTATTTCAAATAATTTGTAACAGTTGACTTTTATTAGCCTCAGGATAAAATTTATTGAAAAAGGTGTCAGCTCAATGTGGAAGATGTATTTGAAAATAGTTTGCTTGTGTTTTCTGTTGAACAAAGCTAGAAACTTTTATATTTTTTTCGAGTGAAGAAACTTCTATATTTTAATTGAAGATTGTTCAATCTTTCTCCTTAACTAAATCTCCATGCACTGCTGCATTTCTTTTTAACTATTGCTTCTTGTTTGATAAGTAGCTCCTTACATAGTATGACGTGGTTGCAGTTGCAGGTTGAGCACCCGAGGTGAAATAAACCATTCTTAGCTGGCCGCCCGCTCCATAACTACCGTAATGGAGATTCCTCTTTTTAGTCAATAGTGATGCTTGGATCTCTACGAGCAACAAATAATGGGCAATGGAAATTGAGAATCCCTTGTGATGCTCATATTATTCTCTCTGATCTCCAGACTCCAATATACAGAGTTTTGTTGATTGACTTTGTATGTAGATCATAAATATTGATGAAAAGGATTTGTATCAATAGCCTCATGTGGAAAAACTGTTCCAAAACTAAAGGTGATGCAGAATTATGTAAAAATGATAAAGTTCGCGTGGCTTCTCCTCTCTTTTTGTATTATTAAGAACTAGACAATTAATTTTTAAATATTAAAAAAATTAGTTAAATTAGTTATTTATAATAAATAAGTATTGTTTTTTTTTTAAAATACTATTGCTAGTCATTGCATTAGATTACACGTCCTTTAACATGTACAATAACTAAAAATGAATGAGTAAATTAGAATCTTATATTTAAAATTAAATTAAATTTTTAAGTAATTTTTATGTTTATGACTAAAGGTAATAGTCTTTAATTTTGATGAGGAAATCGCTACTCGTCCAAAATGTAAAACTGATGTAACTAATTTAATTAAGTTAAAAAAGTCAAATTAGTTAATTATAATGAATATAACATGTTTGTCTTAAAATACTTGTATTTATGGTGGTATTTTATTTAAACCATTGTTAAAAAAAAAAAAAAAAAAAAGAGCCACCATTTTACTAAGAAGTATTAATATAATGTTGTTTTAAAAAAAATGATAAATATAGAGAATAAATCTTACGCTCGGAACCAAAATACAAAATCAACTTTCCAACAGGAGGAATGTATTCCCATATATCTATCATTTTGCTCGCGGATTCAAATATTTTGCCACGAGTAAACTAGCCTTTGGTTGTGACGCCTGTCACCTTGAGTTCCCAGTGGCACCTATTTCCATCATTTACCAAGAAATAACTAACAATAATAATGGAGCGATTAAAATTTTTGCACCAGTGACCCCGCTTTTCACCTGGCTTTAGGTCCACCGAAAAGAGGAGGGGAAAACACGTTGTTTAAATTTCCCCTTATTTTATCAAAAAAAAAAAAATCCTCTCAGAAATCAGTTGACGGCAGCAGGTTGAATAAGATTATTGCTACCAAAATGATTTCCAAACTTTGCTACGGGCGACCCGACACCTATGGTGAAGGTTATATTAATTTGATGCAAAAAAAAAAAAAAACTAGGGTCAACGCTAAGACTTGGGTCACGAAAATGGAACTTAGCAGCCACTTCTTTTGTCTTTTACCAAGGGGGGAAAAATTATGAGAATATGTATCATTAATGTATAGACGACTAAGGTTAGTTCACAGTATGGTTTATTTGGTGATTAAAAATTATCGCTCCTTCCGTCAAATCTCTCCAGTGCTGAATAAGCGCCCCCCAATAAACAGCATTTACACCACTTTGCAGCCATTAAGATTTTGCTATACTTTGTATTCCATTTCCGCCCATCCCACTTCGCTTGCGGGCGGGCCTCAACACGATAATATAGAACATTTTATATATCAATGGTCTTTCTCAAGCTAAATACCTATAAGTGTTTGAATTATCTTTATCTCTTTCCAGATAGTCTCGGGTGATGAGATCTTCAATCCGTTTCTTGATTGCTTTGACATCAGGCTGCAAATCCAATTTCAACGATTGCAAATTGAATTAAGCACAGAAATTCATTCATGACCCAAGTCTGTAAGTAGACAAGTTATACCTTGAACATGCGGCTCAGCTGTTCAACACATTCCAAAACTAATTGCTGATGACCCAAAATTTTCCTGCTCTTCATAATGCGCACGATTGCAGCATCAATAGCATATCGCCTATCTTTGTCAACGTCTTCTACTACTTTTTTCCTTTCATCAACAGGCGGAAGAGGAATCTACAATCGAGAATCAAAAAAACCAAAATTGTGATTTATTTATAAAAAAGAAAAAGAGAATAATTCAATATCCTAAACCAAAGATATCAATTTGAACCTTGATTCTCCTCATTCGGTCAGTAAATTTGGAGTTGAACTCAAAGCTATCATTTGGAGAGATGGTTTTCGTACTCGGCTCCTTAGCAAGTATCTTATATTTTGCACATGACAAGGAATGGAGTAACCGAACCAGGTCTTCATGGGTTAAGTTCAGCTGAGTCATAATCTCTGAATAACTCAATCTATCTGCACTATTAAATAAAAGAAGGGCGGCGGCCTGTGAAATACAGACAAGAAGTGATTTCAGACAAGAAGCCATAAATCTTGAGCACCAATTTTACCCCAGATTTCAAAATAATGGAACCAGAGGAAAAAGAATTGCCTGATAAGTTGACACGATCAATTCAATGGTTTTATGTTCGAATTTACCATTAATGTTGCAAGTCCCCAAAGAGTAAATCCATGTAAGTTTCCTGTGCTTTGTTTTCGTTTCATAAAACCCCTTGAAAACTTCCACGCATCTGACCTGAAACCAAAAATAAATTCAATGTGGGAGTGTAGTACGAGTTAAAAAAAGAAATTTCATTGGCCCATAACATAAAACTAATACACCAAAAATGGAAACTTGAGATAACCAAATCATGGACCATCTTCATACCATTTCTAAAGGAAGATTGAGATCAAAAGACTTGTAACTAGGCCAAAATCCAGTGGTAAGAACAGTAACTGTTATGTCAATCCCAGGATTTACATCTGGGTGACTATGAAGATATTCTTCAAAGTTGGTTTGATTATCCCTAGCTAATGTCAAGTCTGTAACCTGAAAGGCAGTGACAAGTAAAACTCTGCATTATATACTAAATATTAACACAGCTCATATTTAAAAAGGGACAAACATGGCCTACTGACCATCCCTTCCATCTTTGAAGTGAACTGTCCACCACATTGCTGCTTCAATTTGGTCAAAATACTCCTTTCATGGTCCTCATTGGCACTCCGGTCAAAAAGTAGCCTTCGAGCAAGCTTTTTCCTGCGAATATAAAAGTGTAGAGAACGTAATCAAACCCTAATATGGAACCAAAAACAAATAGAGGAACAACTAAAAGCAAGAGAAGAAAAAGGACAAACCTGTAAAACTCAGCAAACAGATCCTTATCACTGATATATGCAAGAAGCTTGACTACCTGTATCATTTGAACAAGTTTAACAAACTGAAGCACTGCAGTGCAAAATACGATAATTACAACCATTCAACATAATACCTTCTCTAGGGTTTCTTCTATGGCCTCATCACTCAGCTTCTCACTTCCACCCTTCTTAAGAACATTGTCACAGAATGTAGCCAGAAGTTCTGCGCTTGAACTGCCAGCAACATTTTTATTGCAGAATATTTCAAAAGCTTCTTTCAAAGCCTGTTGGACATCCCATTGAAGCATATTAAACAATTGTTTCATCCCCCAGAAGAAATATTTATAAGCTGTTCAAATGATGCATCAGGATCACTCCAATGGCATCAACAAACCTTGTGAAAAAGTGTGTGATTCACAAAGCAATCATTAACATATGCCATATACTTGTCATGAAGCTCAATGAATTTTCTGACAAGGACCTGCAGGATCAGGTGGTTAACCATAAGACCTTCCAATCTACTACGACATTCACAAATTAAAAAGAAAATTAGAAGTGTTGGGATTAACTTGTTCTTGAATGCCGGAGCCATTTGCTGTCTGGTAAAAACAAAAATAACTGTCAGCAAGTAGCACCAAATCAAGTTCTAATGGCAGAATCAAAAAGTCTAACCCCTACAAATCATAGGATCATCAAGTGCTCAAAATTTGAAATAAAACCACATGCATTAATAGTTTTTTAGGTAGGTAGTAGAGCCATAAACCCATTACACAATAGGCATAGAACTTAAACAACCAAATTAAAACACACACAAGAATATACACAAGCAAGTGTACAAACACGCCATGATGTAGTAGACAAAATCACACATAATCCAATCCACGTGTTATCAAAACCGACCAGAGCAATCTAATGACAGTATATTTAAATAAAGCCCAAATCTCAGTATTGTCAGTTAAACTTCATTAACACAGATTTTAAGTTAGTAATTGAAGCCTTTTTTAACATAAAGCTACCCATGGCTTAAGCATCCATACAATGATTCTATCCAATAACATAATTGCAATCAGTTTACCATGGTCACATTTTGAGCTGGCAGGAAATAAAAAGAATAATGTCAATGCAAGCAATAAATTAAACCTGACTGTTAGAAGCTTCTTCAGCCTGTTGGACCAACATTGTTCCCTCAGCTGTAATATGCTGCAACAAAACCATCGACATTTCAGCATTTCGAAGTACTTTAGATCAAAAGACGTTTGTTTTAATCAGAAAATATAATGCAACCAACCTGCTTGAATATATTAGCAACAGGATCCAAACCTTTAGGTATTTTATGATAAAGTCTATACATTCTAGAGAGATCTTCCACCTAAATATGCCAAGAATCAAGAAATTAGTAATCCAAAGACCTTGTAGGCAAAAACGTACAAATAAAGATCAGCAAATAGAGTAGTGATGAGAAGATTCAAGACCTTATCATCTCTAAGCAATGCACGACACCCAGAGTGCTCCTTCTCAAGCAAGTGATTTGCATGGGTCACAAGCAACTCATGTTGCACTTTCTATAAAAAAATTTTAAAAAAAATTAAAGCAAAGAAATTCAGAAAAAACATAAGAGTATAAAAAATAAATAGATTATATTACAATAACAATAATAAAAAAAATAAAATTCACAGAAAACCTAAGCAAGAAAATAAACAAGACAACAAAATAGTGTAAGTTATAGAATAATGCAATCAGTAATTTTCGATTACAAATGCTCTCCTGAATATCTCCCTCAAAACTTAGATAAGAATAAAGAACAAGAGGCTCCAAACAAATATATACAATAAGTCAATAACCCCTTCACATATGTTACAATCTCAACAACAAATAAAGTAGATTGAGTTGTCTAACAATATATAAATTCAAGTAAGTACAAACACGAAACTCTAGTTATATCATGATTATGCAACTCCTGACAGCTGATGTAATTGTTCAATCTAGGGATAGATAGCAGGAAACATATAAGTTCATAGCACTTCTGAGACCCAAAGAAAAAGAACCCATTTATTTATACTGACCTCCACTAATTTCTGCTCTGTGCTAGAGTGTAAGTAATGCGCTACTCTATCCCTTTCCCTTTTCAAGCATTCCTCAGCCTAAATCATTAAAAGAAGCAGCATCAACAGCAAGTCCACTGACAAGATACAACAATTAAAAAGGCCCAACATAGACAGACTTGCCTTCAGCATATAATCTGGACATGAGTCAGCCTCAATCCAGTTTGTTGCCTTACTTTTGTAGTAAGTAGCAGTATCATCAAGCATCTGGATTTCAAAATCTTGCTCGTATTGGTCCATTTGACCCATGCCAATCTCAACAAATATATCCAGAACATTTTTCAACAATGATCGCTCAATCTGTTCTCCCTCGCGTTCTTTGTCAATCTGTTTCACAAGCATGGTTATTCCAACAGTCATTATTCACAAAAACGTATACAACCCCCATGTGAAGCAATAAACTTACAATAGATATTACAGCATCTCCAGCATTAGCCCGTACTTCCATGTAGACCTGTAATTTACAGAAATGACAAGGTCAGATCAGAGTGAAAGGAGCAATGCCTAGACAGAGATTCTGCCACAGGCTGTGGACAAGAGGGGTACAAGATATCAACTGACCAAATCACGGAAACAAGCAAGTCCAACTGCACTTAGTGCAGGCAGCGAGCGACGAGCAATGAAATACCGATCAAGATAATGGAAGAAGCGTGAAAGCCACCTAACCATAACTTTGTGGTTAGCCCATCTTTTGACTAGCTCCCTCAGCATAAATTCATCATGCTTCTCTCTTAAAGGTGGCAACACCTGTCAAAGCGAGAATTTTATAAGAACTCAGTGACATGTTACATAAAAAATTCACAACTCAGAAGACAAGTTAAAACAAGGGTGTCAGCAAGGCAGTTAAAAAAACACAAACAGTGGAGGTTTCCCTACAGTAGATTTGATGTATTCATCAAAAGCCTCCTTGTATTTATCATAGAGCTGTTGAGAGTAGTCATATGGTGGCTTTTGAGTACACATGTTATAGATTGTGCTGCGGCATTGCTAAGGAAATGATCTAATATCCAAAACTATGCGACTGGTTAGAGAAGACTACAAATATTTAATCATAAGTTACTCAATCCCACGGAAAGGATACGTGTATAACATAATGTACTCCTCTGAACTGAAAGGTTTTTCTGGTAACCCTTCCAGGATGTTCTTCAGCTTCGTGATTCCCTTCTGCATATAGTCCCATCCTTGGTCTAGCTCAATGATCTTCCGATCCATTCTAGGTGTAGAAACATCAAAATGGGGCAACATCATGAGGAAGAATAGGAATCATTAGGAAAAAATGAAAATAACGTCCCTTTCGCATAAAGATGCCGATGTCTTGCAGGAATGCCTTTTGAATGATGTATGTTTCAGTGATAATCGTGGGTACACTCTAGTGAGCGCTATCTCCTAAAACAGAACTTGCGGAGAAAATACACAAACAAATGCAACAATTATAAAATTTCAGGCCAATTAAACTAGACAGCGGATTCAACAACTTCCAGTGCACCAAAAGGGAGGATGTTGGTCTCCAATAACAAAAAGTTACCAGAGAAAATGAACTCTGAACTCAAAAGGATTGCATGAAATAGCTATTCGGACAGTGCTCACCAGATGTCTATCAAATTCGACGTGATATAATACTCATTAGCGAGGTAGACCACGAATTAACCCTAGAGTTCTCAATACTATAAATCCGCCCCCACCAGTAACAATATGACGACGATGAAGAAATGTAGAAAAACTGCTTGTACTAACCCTAACTGGTGCAGCAATACGATCTGGACGGGACGTTTTCCAGTTCAGGTATAGATAAAAGACAAAGTTGTGTTCTCTGGTAGCGGAGGAAGCTGTGTTTTATGAACGGAATTAGTTACTTGATGTTGATAAGCGGTCGAAATGATCGGGAGACCCGGATTCGCGATTACAAGGAGCAATCTCTGAATCACGGAGTATTCCGCAGGAGGGGCGCTGTACGGATATCACACGGCACAGATGGAACGGGGGCACTTGCCCTCGCATATTTTTTTAACGGGACGGAAACAGTGAAGGTTGAGGTGCTCAGGCGCCCCGTGGGCTCCGAATCGAAAGCTAAAAGCCCGCCTTTTCTGCTCGAGAGTCGCGAAACCGGGGAATGAGATATTGACGTTTTTGAAACAAATATGAATAGAATCTATCAAAATAAATAAAACTAAAAAAGTGTTTAGATTCCCCTATAAATGTTTTTTAAAAATATTTTTCTATAAATAGAAACAAATTTTTTATATATTTATTTTGTATACAGTAAAATTATTTTTAAAATCATGATTTAAATTTCATCCAAACACCCTCTAACAATGAAATCGGCAGAAGCTGAATTAATAAGTATATCTTCAATATATTTTCTCTTGCCAACAAGTATATCTTCAATGCATGCTGCTATCTTTATTATAAACTACGTGATTAGCGTATATTGAAATTGAAAATAATTGGTATAAAATCTAATAAATAAATAGATAAAACTAAAAATGAAATGCTTAATGTGTGATGAATGTTAATGAAATAAGCCTTTTTTTTATAGCTGAAATCTTATATTTATGACTAAAATAAAAATCAAACAAAATATTATATTAAGAAGAGGAGGTAATATGATTGAAAAACTACTTTTGAAAGTTTAATCCCTTTTCAAACAAGCCTCTGGCTTTTATTGAAATAGTCATGTAAAACACCAAAGACATAAGTAATGACTTGATTGTTAATTAAAAAATTTTAACTAATAAAGTTGGTCTAATAAATAAAAAGTTAACTTGCAACTCATTGTAACTTTAAATTTCATTACTGATGCAAAAATTTCAATGACGGACAATTTATAAGAACTTTTTGAATTTTGAGACGTATGTAATGAGTTGGGACTCAACTCATTTGTAAAGTATTTTTTATTAAAAAAATCATAAAGTTTTTATTATTGAAATATAAAAATGGACATGAGTAAAGGAAAAAAGAATAGCCTAAAATATAAAATTACAATCTAAGTTTTTTAATTTGCAAAATTACAACCAATGATAAAATCTTAAATATAAATTATAAAATACCGGCGAAAAAACTAAATTGTCTTGCTATTATTTAAAATACTCAACTAATTTGTTATTTGAAATACTTAATTTGGTATTTGTTTTTTGGTAGTACATTCTTATTATTTGGAATGCTTAACTTGTAATTTTTAATATTATGCTTGTTATTACTAATGGTCTACTTATTATTTTCTTTTACATAACATTGCTAGTTCCTACTCAAGATATGATCTTGATGGCAATTTTCTTAATTCAGGAACTTAAATTGTAATTTTATATATTTTTAAGGGTTTATTTGTGATTTTTCCTATCTAAAGAGATTTTGTACTATTTCCGATCTCAGTATAAGACTTTATTTGACTTTTATTCTGGTTCTAAATATAAGACCCAAATCTATTTTGCCTCTCATATTTATATATATATTTTCAAGATAGTCATTCTAATAATAATAATGTTAACCAACACACTTAATTAGCAAAGATATTTTAGGAAAGATAACACATATTTATTACAAATAACTAACTTGATTTCTTTTCTTAATTTTCTCAAATTAGTCAACTAGTTCTTATAATTAGAACCAGATGTAGTATAATTTAATCTTAAAAAAAGGTAAATACAATTTTTGCCCTTTCAACTATGGTTTTTCAAATTTTCTATCATTTAAAATATTAATTCTTATAATAAAATAAAAAATAAATTTATAATTTAAAACTTGAAAAATTAAAATCACAATAAAAGCAAACTTAAAAAATAAATATTGTATTTTTTTAAAAAAAAAAAAAAACTTACCTTGACGATGTCAAAGAGTCGATGTTTTTCACACCCCCATACGTGTCTTTCGAGTTTCGACGTTTGTGGGTTCTATCTTATACGGAAAATCTTATTACCACTCGTCCGACTCGCTGCACTCACGTTAAAAGGTTTAATCGGTGGACGCCTGAAGCTCCAAACCCTAACTAGTCAAATCGGAGTGAGTCAGGGGGGATTCCGGTTCCTTAACATGCGATCCCCTGCATCGCTCTGCGGCACATCACGGCGTAGAAACTTCAACCCCTGTGATCAACGATGGAGGTCTTGAAAGACGAATTTTCGGAGCTAGAGATTGGGAATTCAGTGGAGTCATTCCAGAAATTTCTGGTTTCGCAAAGGGAGCTCTTTCATAGCCAGATCGATCAGCTTCAGAAAATCGTCGTTACGCAATGCAAACTCACTGGCGTCAATCCTCTCTCTCAAGAAATGGTGTGTTTTCTGTGCCCTACTATGTTTTCTCCCAAGTCCCTCAAAACATTTTACCCATTGTCTTCCTCTCCATTTCTTTTATGGATTTTTTTTTTGGAAAAAAGATCCATCAAATCTCTTTATCTTACGATTAGATAGATATTTGAACCCTTTTATCACGACTGCTGTCTCAGATAATATTCATGCTTCAAAATTTGTAGTTTGTCCGCAACTTCAGTTATTGCAATTTTGCTGAAGGCAAAAGGGCAAGAACCTCTCACAGACTACTGTGTTTTGTCTCAGTTGTTTTTTCCTGTACTACTTCAAGCTTTATATCATCCCCCCCTCCTTTTCATCTTTTTTTTTTTTTTTTAAATTGGAATCAACCATCTGATTTGATTTTTTTTGGGGCTACTTTGGACGTTATCTTTGCAGGCAGCTGGCGCTCTGTCAATAAAAATTGGTAAGTTTTGGTTGGTTTGATTTCTACTTCAAAGCAATAAGTGACAATGTGTATGGGTGCTTTAAGTTTGCCTCTCTCCCAGTTTGTTTGAAGACGCCTTTTTCATTTCCCAGGCCCAAAGATTGCACTTAGCTTAGAACTTTTGATGGGATTTTTATACTTTAAAATGTTTTTTGACTTCTCATTGCCATTAACTCTGCATATGTCTATTTCTGATCTGATTATGCATTATTCACGTTATCTCATCCAAATCATGCCGGCAAAAGAGTAGCACATACCTCACGCGTGAGTGGATTTCACTCCACTCATTTTGTTGCCATGAATAATGCATTTTCAAAAATGTGAAAAGGGTATAGTTGGCCAAGTGAGTGCAATGTAGCACTATGTGGGAGCTTAATTACAGAGACCTAATTAAACTTCTCAAAACTACGGGGACTTGGGTGCAAGCTTATAAACAATGAAGACCAATTTGAAAATTGAGCGAAACTCTGTACCAATAGAGTTATTCAACCTCATTATCTTCTTTCGTACCAGCGTTTTTAGGAGTTTTTGACCAACTTTTAATGGAACTTTTAAACTTCTATGATTTACATGCTATCTATTTTGAATGTATGTATTGTCACCATTGCACGATAACTATCTATTGCTTAGGTTTAATTTTTTACTCTTATTTTTCAATATAACAATTTTACTGAAACAGAACATATGTGTTTATGCTGTATCTTAATTTATCAGCTTTGCCTGCCTTTATTCAAAGCACTGGGTGCGCCTTGGGTGAAACTGCAACTTTGTGGCTGGTACAAATCTTTATATTGCTTGTTTCTGTTTTTTCATGTCTAATGTATATCCATTTTTGCAGGGAAGAGACCCAGGGATTTGTTAAATCCAAAAGCTGTAAACTACATGCAGTTAGTATTCTCCATTAAAGATGCAATCAGTAAGAAAGAATCTCGTGAGATCAGTGCTTTATTTGGCGTCACAGTGACACAGGTTTTCCCCCCCTATTTCCTGTTTAAATACTGTCTTTGCCCTTCCTCCTCCACCATCTCCTTATTCCCTATTCTATTTCTTATAAAATTATCTGTGTAATCTAGGTGTTGTTTGCACATGTCACTACTCTTTCTTAGCTTGTCATATGCTTTAAATTTCTTAACCTTTTATGGATTGAACTGGAACATTCAATTTGAACACCTGTTTTGCTTTGATTTTTTATAAGGCCCTATTTGCTCTTTGGTTATAGGTTCGCGAATTTTTCAATAGTCAACGTTCAAGAGTGAGAAGACAAGTTCGGTTATCAAGGGAAAGAGTGTTAAGATCTAACTACTGTGAAGAACCTCGTGATGGGTTCACAACTAACTCTGGTTCTATGATGCCAATTAATCCAGCTCCCTTAAACTCTGCTGGTCCTATCAGCGTAGATGAAGCTTCTTGTTCAACACAGGAGACTTCATTTTCTGGCTTAAATGGCTCAGAGAAACATTTTGTTGATAATATTTTTAGTTTAATGCGGAAAGAGGAAACATTTTCAGGCCAGGTGAAATTGTTGGAGTGGATATTGAAGATACCGAATGCTTCAGTATTAATTTGGTACTTTACTGGCCCCCTCATTAGCTTGGCGATCTGTTAAATTTCTGTCATCTTTCCTTTTTGGCTTAATTTTAGTCGTATATTCTTTAGGTTTTTAGGTTGTGGAGGTGTGATGATATTAGCAGCTTGGTTGAATGAAGCAGCTGTTGAAGAGCAAACGAGTGTTCTTCTTCTTATTTTAAAGGTAAATCTGGATCATAGTGGTTAATGTACAATGCATGCGTTTGGCTTTATAAATATATCCAAAATTCTGGTTTACTGATTTTCAGGTCCTTTGTCATTTGCCTCTACACAAAGCCCTTCCTACGCATATTTCAGCTATATTGCAGTGTGTTAATAGACTTCGGTTTCACAGAACGTCAGGTGTGTTTTTCCTCCCTCAGTGCAACTGCCCATTAACTCCCATCTCTCCTATGATTTCATTTTTAACCTCTCCTCCATTCCTGAATGGCTGGTTGGACTCCAGTTTGGATATACATTATTCTCAGACTCTCTGTAACCTGGATCTCAACATTATGTGGGTCATAGGTAATGACTGTAGAGGAGAGCTATGTCATAGTAAATACAACATGCTGTTATCCCTGTTTGAGTTTGATTATATTTAAACCATTGCGAGGCTTTATTTTTCTTTTCCTATTTTTGGCTTGCTCCCTTTCTGTGGTTAGATGAGAATGAATAAAAGGCCTGTGGGATTAAACCAAGGGTAGGGGAGTAAGGAATTGGAGGATTTTGGGGATGGGGGTGGGGTTAGGGACTGTTATAATCTGAAATTTCAGAATTGCATTCCTGATAAATTACAGCTTGGAATTGAGTCCCCTTTTTTTATGTTTCATTGACTAGTATTTTGGATTTTCTTACAAGCGAGCCTCTTGCAATATTTGATTAACTACCACAAGCGTCCATTTTTTAAAAGCTTAATTAACTAGAGCTTCATGTTGCACATCCTAATTTTTTTCCCCTCTTTTTATCGATAATGCCGTGTTCTTTGATTATACTTCAAAAATTATAGAAGATCAGAGGTGTCAAACTTTCTATTTGTGCTGTAGAAGTTATATTAATGCCGACTGCTGTGATATTTAATTATCTGTCTGGGTCTTCAAGCAGTTATAAAATCTCAAATTTGAAGGAATGCTATTTGATGTCACTTAACCTATTGTCGTTTGAGTTCCTGTTTGCATCTTTGTTGAATGTGTTTTATGGCAATATTTGTTGACTCAATTGACCTTAAGATAATTAATCTCTGATTTGAAGATCAGACATATCAAACAGGGCGCGGGTTTTGTTATCTAACTGGAGTAAATTATTAGCGAAGAACCAAGCAATAAAGAAAACCACTGGTGTGAAACCTGGTAGTGAGGCTCAAAAGGAGATGGTTGGTCAGAGGCAAGCGAATATCTTCAACTTCTTTCCATGCTTTTTGTTTGACCTTTTTTAAATAACTGTAATATTATAGCTATAATATAATTTTATTGTCTCAGGGTTTGTCAAATTATGGGCACTGAATCATGGAACTCAAATGTCGATATTCCTGTAAGTGTTTTTTAGCTTTCTATAAACATGTACCCATCAGCTGGTGGTGGTTTTTCAGTTTGCAATTTGTCTTAACATTCCTTTATTGCTCTTAGGAGGACATTCTTTCCCTTTCAAATGAAGGTTCAGATGATCTCAGGTACGATATTATATGTTTTTGGCTGTATACATGAGTTGATTGGCTAGTTCTGAAAAAGCTTGGTTCTTTTTCTTTCTGCTCAGGAAATCAGAAGCGCCGCAGAGTGTGAAATTATTGACAGCTTCTTCTGATGATTCTACTAAGAAGTCTGTCCTAGGCCTATCACTGTCTCGTATCCTTGGAGGATTTGTTGAATTGATTCCATCTTGTTAACTCTTTCCTTTTAATTTTGGAACAAGGCTGATAGATTTAAAATCTGCTAAGCATAATGCTACTTACTGTAAATAAAATGTTGTGGATAAAATTTCTTATATTAAAAGAAGGGAGAAATGATTGGTTGGCCCGTAATGCAAGCATAGTAATTGGTGTGCTGATAGTCGGAAGTTTTGTTAACTCAGTTTTCCATTGGCTTGGAATTTCAATATCTAATCTTGCTCTATAAACCCTGTTCTTGTAACCACACTAGCTGATAGAGTTCCCTCATTTTCGTTTATTTCCATTTTGTTTGGCCTCTATCTTTTCATCTATCTGTAGTCAGTTGACTTGTGGATGCTTGTTTCAAGGTTCTTGACATTGTATATGGGATGAGATGGTAGGATGCTGGAAACACAAATGCTAATCTGAAAGATATTATTTTGTCCATTATTACTTATGAATATACCTGCATACCCATGCAATGGGTTATTTATCCCCTCTAACACCCCCCCCCCAAAAAAAAAAGTCCATGTAGACATAAAGCACCCTGATGAAACTGAGTGAGAAGGACTGGAAATAAATATTTGTGGAAGAAGCAATTCACACTATTGCCATACCTCTTGAAGAGTAAATCTATGTTGCAACTATTTCCTTTGCTTCTTTGGAGTACTGAGCGAAGTCCAAGGACATAAATGACCTGTTGCTTTATCCAACATTGCTTAGTTAAAACTAGCTGGCTCAAGGACAAAGTTGTTTCATGATAGCTAATGGTTCCCCAACCTGGTGAAATTGCGAAATTTTTCTTTATATTCCTTGACAACAAATCAGAGACTAGGGAGCGCAGAAAAGTGCAGTTAGTGGAGCAGCCAGGCCAAAAGACAGTGAGCAGAAGTCCTCAAGCTGTAAGGGCAGGGCCTGTAAGTCAAGGTCGTCCCATGTCTGCTGATGATATCCAGAAAGCAAAAATGCGTGCTTTATTTATGAAAAGCAAATACGGGAAACCTGGTTCATCTAAAGGAAGTAAGGAAGCAAAGACTGATGGTCTGAACAAACCTCAGACAAATCGGGCTGGTCTTGGGGCTTCCTCATGTAAAGTTCCTGTATCAACCAAAACTGATGAAGGCAGCAAACTTCTGTTGCTTCCTTCTAAAACTTCTAATATGAAGGATGCTTCTTCTGAATCATACTCAAGAATGGATTTGAAGGAACCTTTCTGGGAGAAGTGCAAGCAGGTGCAAATCCCATGGAAGACACCAGCAGGTACATATGCAACTTTTGTTGGTTCCACGCTTAATCTGAGTATAATACTAGCATAGGAAAAAAATTGGGGAGTCTTTGACAGCGAAACATCTCACTGTGAGTTGTTTGCTTGGGGGGAGGGGGGCTGTAAAAGATTGCACCCCACATTAGGAGGTTTCTTGATTTTGAGTAGGGAGAGATACACCGTAATTGAATCTGGCCGAATTCTCATGGAGGATGATTCAGATGCTTCTTTGTAGCTTCACCTTTTGTAAATAGTTGTTTGGCTTATATAAATAGAATTAAAGTGGTGGGTCTTTTGCTCAAAAAAAAAAAAAAACAAAAAAAAGGTGGTGGGTCTATGCACTTGCTCTGTAAGTAACTTGGGCATGCTGGGCAATTGTATATAGTATCTTTTATAATATAGTCTAAAAATCAATAGGAAGATTTCTGTTCAAATCTGTCTTCTGTTTTTATCAATCTCAAATACTAGTTTTCTTGTTTAAGAATTTAAGGATCTTCTGTTTTCGGCAAACATCATCCACTGGTTAAAATTTATCATGTTACTCAACCTCCTTCTCATGCCTTGTTCGCAAAATCATGTCAAACGGGGTAACAGCTCTAATTCTCTAAGATTTGCTTCAAACCGTCTCATTTGGTGATTTGATAGGTTGAATTTTCTGATCTACTATAAAAGGATGAGATGAGGGCCAAGGCGAAGACCAGTTTATGACCATTCCAAGTTCATTTGTATTATCAATTTAAAGCAATAAAGATTTTGATTTGCATGCGAATATCCCAAAAGGCACTTAAAAGAGTGATGACTTTGTCAAGTTTTATTCCATATTACCACATTCCTGCTAAATCGAGGAAAGCTACCCCCGGGGGGGGGGGGTGTTCCAAGCTTCCCAGGGATCATGAATCCATGAGTTATTTAATTGTTGACAAGTACTGAGGTGCGACAGCCCGAATGGAAGATAATGATAAATTTTGAGTTTTTTAAAATAACATTTCATTGGGTTTAATCTTTGCACCCTCTCTCATGGATCAGATGAGTAATCATAAAAACTCATCGTTAATTCAGAGATTGAGAATGAGGAATTTATTGGCTGTAAAATAATCAACAATTGGATTTAACAGTATCACCTCAGTTTGTTGGAATGAATGAACTAAAACCAGCTGAAATCTGACTTTGGAACTCGAGATGGGGGTTTCTTCTCCATGTAAGTATTCCAGGTCCCAGTACATGTGGCATTGGGAGTGGCCGTTTTAAGTTGTAATTTTCAAACATGGTCATGACTCTGGGTGCAATATTCGTTTTCTTTTTAAATCTTTCGTCTCAGATTTTGGGAGTTTGTATGGCAGCCACCGAGCATCAATATCCTACAATGGGGCCTAAGTTGTGAACAGTAATCTGCAATTCGTGAGAATATCTGTGGGGCTAGGGCCCGATTTATGAGCTATGACACGGGATGAGCTGGGGTTCCATGCACCAGAAGTTTCCGACCCTAGCCTTCTTACCGCATGTGATTATATCTTTATAGGTTTTTGCATAAATCAATTGTCTGTTTTCCCTAATTCTCCAATTTTCTTACATCGATGTCGTTCTTTCGTTGGTCTTGACTCTAAATCGTTATCCTTGTTGAATTTGAAAGAAATGAGCGGTGATCTGGATATACGATATCTAACTTTGGATATTTACCATGAATCTAGTTATCAAAAAGTTTCCGCCCACTTTTCGCACAGCATGCAATCTTGCTATTTCTTGGGTTTCTGGGGTTCTTGTAATTTGATTAAATGTTGAATCACATTTTTGTTCTGAGTCTTTTGTGCCCTTCCCTTTCTGCAGAAGTGAAACTTAACGATACCTGGAGAGTTGGTGCTGGTGAAAACAGCAAAGAGGTTGATGTTCAGAAAAGTAGAAATCGGAGGGGAGAAGAGATAATTTATCAGACTATCCAGGAGATACCGCTTAATCCCAACGAGCCATGGGACCTCGAAATGGACTATGATGACACGTTGACCCCATCAATTCCTATTGAGCAGCTACCTGATGTTGAGGGTGCAGAAGCACCAGCTCCTGCTAATGAAGGTATTCAAGTGGCGAACCCTTCATCTTCCAACGCTAATGTAAATGTTGCTGAGCCTGATCTGGAGCTGCTTGCTGTACTTCTTAAAAATCCCGAGTTGGTGTTTGCACTGACTTCTGGACAAGCTGGTAGTATACCGAGTGAGGAAACGGTAAAGCTGCTTGACATGATCAAAAAAGGTAGCGTCCATTTGGCTGACAATACAAATGGCAGCATTGGTGGAAAGGCGCAGGAGAAGGCGGAAGTTTCTCTTCCTTCTCCAACTCCTTCTAACGATCCAAGAACGGTGCGTGATTTGAGATTTTATATTGCAACTATTTATCAAAGGTCTTCTTGTCTCTTAGAATCAACTTCAGCCTTGTCGGCACTTGTGGTATGCCTAAAGAGTGAGGAGCGGATGTATCGTGGGGCCTGCTCCATCTAACATCTGGCGTTGGTGTTACTAATTTTTTCTAATTTGGTTGTGGGACATGGGTTTCTGATTCATTAGTGGCATACATTGAGAGCTCAAATAAGCGTGCCAACATTCCCCATCGGAGTTTGGTGGACCTTCAAGTTCTCTCTATTTTGAAACAAAAAGTAAATAATCACACGTCAAATCCTTGTATTCAAGAAGACCATTTGTTCGTTAGATTTAATCACAATTTTTCTTGGTAATGGTAATATTAATCGGTTTCCCTTGGAGAAAGTTTAGAGGGCTTTACCTTCTTGGCAAAGCAAGGCGCCAGATGGGATGCAAGGGCCCTCCATGGTTTCATCTTTATTCGCCATCCTGCTAAAATTTTTAAATCACGACCAAATGTGGAAAAAAAATTATTGATTTGTTGCATGGACTGACATTCTCCATTTATGGACTTTTCAGAGTGGGTGGACGACAGAAGCTACAAAGAATCCTTTTTCACGCCACAACACGGCGCCTGACAGAAGCATCAGCTTTCCAGCAGCTGCAACCAACGCCATTGTATTGCCTCAGGTTCCAGCAGCCCCTGGCTTGGCAGTACGACAACATCGAACTGATTCACTGTCTCAAGCGCCTAATGTTGTTTCTGCTCTTCCCTCTGTGCATCCAACTCTGCTTACCAATTCTCCAACCCAAATGCTATCATCGAACATAGGTTTAAGTACCATGATGAACGACGTAATACCTGCGAATGCATCGTCTGTTAACTTATCCACTGCACACTCACCTTTAGCTATGCGGGTAGATAGCACCGGTATCAGTAGTAATGTAAAACCAATAGCTAATTTGAGAATACAAGAGGGATTGTCTAATTCACATCTTCAATCTTATGACCTGCCATCACCAACTCCGACACCATCACCAACACCAAGTTCAGTCACACCCCCACAGGGGCATGCCCATTTATTGCAGCCGCCCCATTTTTATGAACCTTCCTCTCACAACGCTCTACATTCCTACCCTCCTCCTATGGAGAAACAAGGTCATGTTTCAGAGTCTTGGAGACTTAGACAGGATATATCCTCCAGTTATCATTCTCAAGTAAATCAAAACACTTATAACGCGTCAGTTGAAAGACCCAAGCGATCCGGTTATTCGTGGGAGAGAAATGATTATGGAGGAGGAGGAGGAGGAGAATTTGAATCATGGAGTCCAGATAATAGTCCAAGTAGAAATAATGGGTATATCAGAGGGAGGAGTTTACCTGATTCCAGAATGAACCCGGGGAGTAACTATAGGCCTGAATGGTCAAGACATCGGGGTTCTTCTGGTTACTGGGATCCCAGTAGACAAGGAAGCAGGAAGTGGCACGATCAGAGGTGATCTTAGGGTTCCGCTCGATTTGGTGTGATGGATTGGTTTCCTTATTGGGCAATTTTCACATGTACAGAGATGGATTCTGATTGAGATGATATTCCTGTGGATGATTGGAGACATAGTAGGCAATGACATTACAGTTATTGCTACTGCTTTATCTGCAGGGTCTTGACTTTGTATTGCTTGTCACAATATGAAAATGATCTAGAGTCTCGCAAAGCAGATCTCTTCCTTCTAAAGAAACTTATTTCTTCCTTCATATGTATAGTTTTCTCCAATAGATTTAACTATTCAATATATCGAGGTTTACAAATGAGGGAAAAAGATAAGGTACAAGGAATTGATGAAGGCTGCTTGTATTGTTGAAGGGTCTTTTTCAGTTTTAAATTTTAGATTTACTCAGAATTTAACGATGCAAGGTATAATTCATATCATGTTTGTAACACTCGTAAATTTATGAGGTATTTTTATGCACTTCTTAATTGGCTTGTGAGAATTGCTTGTTTCATGTTATAACCAAAAACGATAGTACTCCACGACAATAATATTTATATATACTACTTTTGGTTTTAAATATAAAAACTAATTGACTAATTTGAGTTGATTAAGTAAATAAATTAAGTTAGTTATTTGTACTAAATAGATATTATTTTTCATAAAATATCCTTATTAATCAGGTTTATTGGTTAGAGCTACTATTATTAGAATGATTATCTTAAAAAATATATATATAAAAAATAAAATAGATTGGGGTCTTATATTTAGAACTAAAATAAAAGTTAAATAAGATTTTATATTAAAGATAAGAGGTAGTATCATTTTTAAAAATTGTATTGGTTTGTATAGATCAAAACAAGTATTTACAAATGATTTGTTAATAATTACTACTATCGATGTAAATGAATAAAGATGGCTATGAAAATAGAATTCAACTCATCAAAAGTTTTGATCCAAATTTATCAATGAGCTCGTCATAGTAAATATTCTGAAGAACAGTAGTTTGTGTAATTATTTCCTCACATTAGTCAAATGTCATATGCTAACATAACACATGTTCAAAACTTTCATATGCCAACACCAACACATATTAAACAGTTAAAAATTTTAAAATGAGAATTAAAAAAATGGATGTGAATAGCTTCTATAAAGAAAAGATTCATATTTGGTTTTTGCATCTTGTCACTTTTAAATTAACATGTGACGGATATAATTTTTTTAATGATATAAAAAGTTCATACATTTACCTTATTATTAAAATTACTTGCTTAGTTGCTTCCCGTACTTAAATTAAAATTATTTACTTTAATTTAATTAATAAAGAATATATTCGTTAAGAAAAGTAATTGAACAGGTTCTCACAGCATGTGGCAGCTTCTGCATCTGCGGACGCTTGCATCGTATTCTTAACAGCAATAAATAAAGCGCGAACTCAAGAGCAAACCCTTCCAGGCCCGGGCGCCAGTCTAAATCATCATGGGATTTAGGTTCAGCTATCTCAATACCGTGTACAGAACCTGTATCACAAGGCTCTCATCACGATCTTACGAGAAAAGTCTGCCTTCCTTGCTGGTATCGGCGAATCTTCATCGATTTGACTCTTCCTTGTTAGTCTCTAACCATCCGGTATTCAGAATTACTAGGAGATGGCATATGGGACATTCTCATGGGGATCACGAACATCAGCACCTCCTCCTTCAAAAGGAAGGAGAGAACATTTTTAGGTTGGGTCTGGCCTCTGACATTGGTTTGGCCACAGGAAAGGCCTTAGTCGGTTATCTTTCTGGAAGTACAGCCATAATTGCTGATGCTGCTCATTCCATATCTGATGTGGTATCTCCATTGCTAGTGTGCGTGCGTGCGTGTGTGGTTTTTTTTCCCAATATGTGATTTCTCATTCCTTATTAGATGTATATTTTATTCGATCCCCTATTAATATAACGCCTTGTATGCCACAGGTTCTAAGTGGCGTATCTTTGTGGTCTTTCAAAGTTGCCAAGGCGCCTAAAGATAACGAACACCCATATGGTCACTTCTGATTTTGTATCTACACGCTACTCCATTTATCTCTCTTTTTCATGAACACACTGTTTCTAATATATTATAGAACTGTTTCTGTTTAAAAGGCTTCTATATGTTTTATATTTATCTTTCTTCCTCATCATATCGTAGGACATGGTAAGTTTGAGACTCTCGGAGCCCTTGGAATTTCTTGTATGCTTCTGGCGACCGGTGGTGGCATTGCATGGCACGCTATAGATATCCTGCTGGTACAGCCTGAAATTTAATCTTCAATCTATTTATTGTATTACTTACTTATTCTGATGAACAGCATAATTTGAATAAAGTTTGAAGTTTTTTTTTTTTTTTACAGACTAAAAATTAATCTAGATCTTCCTGTCATTTATCTTGGGCCTTAAAAGACATTTTTATTTTATTCATGTGCAGGGATTGTACTCCTCTGGTCCTGAAATGGTTAGCCAGTTATTGGCACATGAGCATTTGCATAGCCACCAGCATGGTGGACATCATCACCGAATTGACATGGATCACCCCGTTCTAGCTCTGAATATGGCTATTGTGTCTATATGTATTAAAGAAGGGTACTGCAATTACTCATATTATTAACATGCACCAATAAGCAAAGGTCCTAGTGCTCCTCCTGCCAATTCTGGTCAACTATGTACCATTTCACTGTTTCAAGTATTGCTGAATTTATCTAATTCTAGTCAACTATGCACCAATTCTAGTCATACAGAGAATTCGGATAGCATCTTATTCATGGCCAGCTTTATTAAAAAGTTTAAGTTAGATGGGTGCCTAAGAATTTGATCATTAATGTATTCAACCAATTACTGCAAATAATTAGGTTGAAACTTCTATAGCTTGGCTTTAATCATTGTGTTGTGAGACAAGAGGGGAGCTGAAAATTTTGGGGGGAGAGTTAGACAGAACTAAACTACGAACTTTTAGGAAATCATATATCAAGTCTGAGTCTGAAGAAAAATAATGTGGCATATTAGCTGACAAAACAACAATAATCTTGAATCTTAAAAGGCTTCAAATTCGAAGTAATTAATCAAGGAGTGAAGATAAGAGGGCAATCCGAAAATAAGAAACCTTTTATGTTGGCACAAGCTTTCTGCTTTCTGTGGACTCTATGAACACCCCCCCCCCAAAAAAAAACGGGGGGATTTGAAACTCTTGGCCCTGTAATTTAAGCTCTTCTCAGAAATTGTATTAGTCTGTGCACTTCGAGTTCCTCATTTTCTTTGGTGTGCGTGCGCTCATGCATGGAGGGAATTGGAATATTGTTCTATCCTGAAGGCTTTTGTTTTTCACGTGTATTTCTGATCTCCAGGCTTTACTGGGCAACAAAGCGAGTTGGTGAAAGGCAAGGTAGTGGACTGATGAAAGCAAATGCATGGCATCATCGTGCAGATGCAATTTCATCTGTAGTTGCTCTCATTGGAGTTGGTAAGGCACATATCTTTTGAAATATGGCTTAGTTTGGTTACTTGGGATGATTTTCTATTATGCCAATTTCTAATGCATGTTGCATGATAAATCAACTTATATTCAAAACCTCTGTCCTTATATTCCACGTAAGAGAAGTATGGTTGCCGTTCAATTTTCTGTATCTTTATGCTGCCATTGTAATAAGGCTGCTGATAAGAGGATACGACTTTATGCAATTTGACTGTGTATTGCACAATATTCCGGATTACTTGATTCATTTTTGTCTTGTTTACATTCTTTGACCATAATTGTTCATCTCCTTGTTAGGAGGCTCCATCCTCGGTGTGAAGTTTCTAGATCCGCTTGCAGGACTTCTTGTCTCTGGGATGATTCTAAAAGCTGGAGCTGAAACGGGTTACCAAAGGTAACTGATTCATCTTGATATTTGGAAAATAAAAAGCGGTACCTTACTATTTTCCTGTTTCACCTGAAGTCATTATTGCTTGTAATGCACTTGTTGATTTGTAAGAATTTAACCAATTGTTGTTTTGGTTACACAACCTGTTACGTTAACCCCGATGTATGAGACGCATGTTGGAATCTTAGGTAGCCATATAGTCACTTGCCACCGACCCTCCAATGTGATTTGATTCTGTGACCACTGGAGCTAAATTTATTCTGGCTAAAAGGAAATTTTCCTCATCTTGAAATATTTATAACCGTGACTAAGCGCAATCCTTGGCTCTAATATACATTTTTTTTCCGTTAATTTTTAGCATCATGGAACTGGTGGATGCTGCAATTCCATCACAGCAAATGGATCCTATCAAACAAACAATACTGCAAGTTGATGGTGTCAAGGTACTTTTTTCCCCCCTCACTTTTAAAACACACTGTCGCTGGTTCAGTTTATTATGAGTCTCGAGTCTTTAATTTGGTTTTGGCATCTTGGACTCTGCATGTGTTTTGTTTTCCATTGTCATTTTTTTTGTTTTGAGTTTCTGCACAGGGTTGCAATCGCTTGAGAGGAAGGAGAGCTGGTTCATCTTTATATCTTGATGTGAATATTGAGGTTAGTTCGTCTTTGTCTGTTCTATGCCACATAGATTATTTGTCATCAAGTGACTTAATTATAATTGTTTCTCAGAGTTAATTTCTCAGTCTTGCCCTGCAGGTTGATCCTTTTTCTAGTGTGAGTGCTGCACATGACATTGGGGAAAATGTCCGTCATCATATACACAAATCCCATCCGACAGTGGCTGAAATTTTCATACACATCGGTATACTTGCTAGTCTTGCAATTTTTTCAAACAAAAATTCATTATAGTCATATATTCTTTCTAGATCGCTTTTTCTTTCTTGCAGTGGAGGTTATTTGTTGTGCTACGTTTTTGCATCTACAAATACTCTCAGTTTGAATTCTCTGTGCTTTTGTAGATCCTGCAGATCAGCAAGTTACTTGGAGCGATGATATGGATCAAAACTCCGGCATTCCTACCGGACATAATCATATTGATAAGATTGTTTCTGACATCATCTCATCAAACTTCGCACAGGTAATATTTTTATATAAAAGCCAGGTTTTGTTGATTAGACATCCCATTAGCAATTTACCATTTAAGTCCAGGCTTTTTGCTCTTGCTGTGTTTCATTTAGTTTCCATATTAAGATGGAGTGCTGACAGCAAATAAGATTTTATTGTCAATGGTGGTAGACTTTATGAATGATGTAACCTATCAATCACTGATTTCAGATGGCAGTCGAACGGGTAACACGGCACACATTGCAAGGCAAAATTATTCTTCAAATTGAGGTTTCCATGCCCCCCGATATGCAAATTCGGTAAAGTTCATTGCCTGAGTTTGATGCCCCCTTGGTGAATATTATGAAATGTAAATGCGACTGTCTCATCGCATTTCATGTTCATCTATACACAGAAATGCAATGGAAATAGCAGAGGAAGCAGAGAAAGAGGTTTTGAAGGCCGTCTCGGATGTTACTCGTGTCAGCATTCAGCTACGACTAGGGAGACCAATTCCGCAGTTGAATCATTTACAGGAATAGTCCATGAAGTTGCAATTTTTAGCAACTCCACGCCCACGTCTATGCATGTTTCTCGAATGCGAAAATGGGGCAAAGCTGAAGCAATAAAGTAATCCACATTTGTTCTGTGCTTTATTTTTTTTTGTTATAATTTTGTTTTGTACTTAATAATGACATGATATTGCTTTCTCAAGGCACTTCAAGTGCTGTGAAAACAGTTATTACATGCCATGCATCACATTCTATAACTTTGAATTTAGATCATGTTAATTTATGCCCTTTTAAACGGGAAAAAAAATTGTTTTGACCAAAGAAAACAAGGCTAAAAAAAGGCATAGTCAAAGCCTGGCAATACTTGGATAGACATTAAACTAATATATTTCTAAGAGTTAACATTTTTTTTTTTTTGCCAGAGATTTCTAAGAGTTACATAAACATTATCATAGTTGTTGATAAAAATTCTATTTTTAATCTCTTCGAAGCGAGCCTAGGGCCCACGTTCGTCGTGCTTTTTATGCGTTTGTGTGTCCCAACTCCCAAGCCAGCCCCTTGTCCCGCCTGTCATTGGCCCCTTGTCCCGGGAACTCCATAGGCCCATACTAATTTCCCTAGTCTCGAACTTCAGACTTGAGATCAAGCTCTTGGTGGTTCGGTTGTGTTTCTTTCCTTTTCTTTCTTTTTCTTTTTTTTCTTTTTTCTTTTTCACTACAACAACTTGTAACTCATAGCAACAAAGTGACCAACAAGGTTTGGTTTTGGCGAACTGAGATTCGAAATTTCGGTGGAAGGAATACCCTAACGGGTGTAGGAAGAAATAACCATATTTTTTCTTAGTGAAAAAAAAAATACTCATATTTAGTGTATATGTAAACTTTGAATATGCGTAACCCTACTAATAGAAAGAAAGAAAAGAAGGATAGTAGGAAAATACAAACACACAATTAATATAAAGATTTCAATTTATTTTATTTCTTATATTTACTTTTTTAAAAAAATAATATTTATAATATTAATAGTTCTAATTAATATATTAACAAAAATATTTTTAAAAAATAATTTCTATTTATTACAAATAATTAATTTTATTAATCTATTTAAATTAATCATCTAATTTTTATTTTAAAAATATTAAGAAACATCGGGACTAAGTTTCCCGAGGACAGAGCATATGATATGGCATTATTGTTATTAGTTCTCAAACTACCATTATCCAGATGAATCGGATCGGTTGATGTGTTATCGAAGTTTGAAACGAAATCGGAAACTTGAGAAAAACTTTAGGACGACGAAGAAACCACCGATCAGATAATTGTAGTCTGAATTTGTAAGTCGACACATAGAATTTCCGAACAGCTTATCATCATATCGGTGGCTCCATCTTAAACATTGTTACCATCACTAGTATTCTCGTGTCTCTGAAGAAGGAAGTCTAATTCTCTTGCTATATCAGAAAGACGTCTAATTCTAGAGAGCACGAAAAAGAGAGATGCCCCAAAGAAGAGTAAAGGCTCAGAAGGATCCATTGGTGGTTTTGTAATCACAAGGGAAAAATCCCTCATAAAATAGGTAGTTCGCAACATCATTGCCTCCACAACACAAGAGTAGAAAAACAGAAGAGAAGCGCGAAATCAGAAGAACACGGTAATAGGCAACCTACCAAACAATAGAAACAAGAGCAGAGCACAGGGACGACCTGCCAGTGTCCGCATGAGGAGTTCGGGGGGCGGATTAAATAGAGGCGATCTAATTAGGGTTAGGGTTTTTTCCGCATGCAATGACCAAACTGCTATCCTTACAAGCAATGGGCCTTCTGCATGGCATTTTGGGCCTGACTGATAATTTTGTTTAGGAACACCAGTATGACAGACAATTTAGGAAGGAAAAAAATAAAGACGGAGAGCAATACTTTTTGCTCGACGGACTTAAATTAATTATTTAAAAATTATTTTTATAATTTTTTTTACCAAAACTTATTTTTATGATTAATGGACACTAAACTTGCACATTCCACTTGTTTGCATAACGTAATGAAATTAATTATATAAAAAGTATTGTTTTTTTTTTGAGGTAGGAACGTTAAGCTTATCATATGAAATTAAAATCCCCCCCCCCCCAAAAAAAAAAAAGTACAGTGTAGTTCTCATAATGGAATTGAACTTCATTTTTTCGGCGCGTCACTCTGAAGGAATTACCTGACCTGAAAGAATCACCCACTAAGGCTTGTTCAAGCCATATCTACTAATAAAGCAATTGAATCTCATAACTGCTTCCAACTCCAATCTCCGTTATAGCCAAAGCTACTGTGAAGCCCGTGCAAATTCGTCGGAATGGGCATGGGAGGGGGCCCCCCGACGCCCAAGAAGTCGTGGACTCTGGTCATCTCACTTGCTCCTCCATTCCTTTCGAGCTCCTCAGAGTTTGCTTCTGTTCCATGTCTTCCTCCCATCACCATTTGGCTCAACATTTCCATATCATTCAAACCAGATGCATTGTAAGAGTCAAACGATTGCGACATTTCTTGCCCACCTTTCTGGAACAAGAGGTTGCTGAATTCCCCACCTCCACCAATCCCAGCCAGGTTTGGTTGAGGGTGGTAATCAGGGCCTGCCATGGAAGTAACATACCCTTTATGAACCATGGGAGAGTTATTGCTATTATTACTTGCGGTGGCACCCATTTGAGCTGCTCTCTGTAGTAAAGCCGTTGCAGACGCGTGGGCTGACTCTGAACCTTTTTGGCCCTCTTGGATGGAATCAAAAACAGAGGAGCTGGACGAAGGAGGGGGCAAGCCCTTAAGACCACCGACAAGTGCACCTGAAGCGGTGGTGAACAGGCCTCCCCACTTCAATGACACAGGAACGATTCCCTGAGGAGCCATTGTGTTTAACTCAGATGCTTCGTTGGAATGAGTGTTTAGAGATACTGCAGATTTTGCACTGGTTAATCCCTGGTTCGCCCTGTTATTTTCTTCAGTCAACGCATCACAAAATGCCCTGTGAGTGACGAAACTATCTCTCCTACACAATTCAGATAACAAAGCATTATTAAAGAACCCATTATGTTTGATCTCTATGCAACAACCTGAGAGTGAGACTAACCTGGAAAATATGGTGCCACAATCGCACTTGTATTCGCGGGTGCCGCAGGTTTTCTGGTGGGCTTTCCGATCAGATTGGACGGCGTATTTTTTGGAGCATTTGTCGCATTTCCATTTCTTCTCGCCGTGTTTGCGGCTAAAGTGCTTTTTGATGCCAGTGAGGTCTCCAAGTGCTCGAGCTGGGCCATGGTGGACGCACGAAGGCTCTGGACACACGTAAACTCGCTTCTTGCTCACTTCATTGCTCGGTCTCTGTCTCAGTTTCCATGGCAGATTGTGACCTCTCCTGTGCAACTGCAGGTTCTGGTCCCTCTGAAACCCTTTGTTGCATATCTCACACACGAATCTGTTCGTTGCCATCAGTGTCGTAGGTGACAAAGCAATCACTTCGGCATTCGGATCTAATTCATCAGTAATATTTCATCCATTATTACTGCAGCTTCTTCTCAGGTTAACCATGTATCTATAATACTCCTACTTCTCGGATCCTTAATGTAACTTGATTGGGGGAGTTAATGTTTGTCCCAGATATAAAACCTATTTTGCAGGTTTGTCAATTTTTTTTAAAATTAACTTTATTGATATTCCCTGAACAATAATCAGTAGGAGAAGGTAGGAGAAAATTAATTAAGAAAGTGCTTAAAGTATTTAAAAAAAAATCATAATCTACTCAAATTATTTAATTAAGTCTTACATTAAGTATGTGTCACAGGAATATCTAATTACTACCTAAAAATCTGAATAAACAAGAAACGATGATTTGTAGTGGAAGATGAAAATACTCCTCCGGTCCTAATTATAAGACCCAATTGACTTATTTGAGGAAATTAAGGAAGTAAGTTAAGTTGGTTATTTATAATAAATAAGTGTTGTTAATTATTCCTAAAATATCCTTGCTAATTAAGTATATTGGCTAAAACTATCATTATTAGAAGGATTATCTTGGAAAAAAATGCATAAATATAAGAGAGAAAATGGATTGGGTCTTATAATTAGGACCAAATAAAAAGTCAAATTGGGTCTTATAATAAGGACCGGAGGAGTAATATTTTATATGCAGGAGAAAAGAAGCTATGGTGAATATTGAGGAGTAGAGTTGAATTTGCCTGGAGTTCCAGGGAGATTTCGCTTCTTCTTGGCTGATTGAGGATGATGTTGATAATCATTTGAGGCATTATGGTTGTGGTAATAAGGTCTTGAGCTTGAGCCATGCAAGTGGTTGTCTTGTTGCTGTTGGTTCTGGCTTTCCTCATATTGGACGTGTTCCCCTGGGGACAAACCTGCTTCATCACCTGAAATATTTGACATTTGAACACAAAGAAAAACTGTAATTATAATTAGAAGTTGATGTAATGAACAAGTTTCTGTGTGTCCGCACAGTGAAAGCCGAGGTTTCTGTTTTCTGGCATATATTGCGACACTCCTTAAACTCTAAAGCACTGGAGCAAGACAAACCCAAGAGGAGTTGTTCTTTGTTTCTTTTGAGAAGTTGGCAGGCTATGGCTGCCCTGAGATCAATAACTTATATATACAAATCATATTCTTATTTGAGGACAACTTCGAGGTTCAGCTCCAAATTGTACTTGTCCGCATTATGATGGAAATGTTCTAAACAAATTATTTATCTATTTTCCATTTAATTTAATTTGTTATTCTTCTATGTAGATATCTCTTCGATCTGCACTTGCTGCTATGTATTTTTACTTAATACGCATTCAAATAAATTAGCACTTCAAACAGATATTTGTTATCATGGGTCCCTAGCACGCATATGCTCTCATTTTAGTGAGAAAAGATGATAATTGAAATTAACGTGAGATTTCTATATGGCCTCATTAGGAAATTAGGTGTATCTTGGTTATGGCTATTGAAACGTTGAGGTTATATTTAATTAATATGTAATTTAACATTGATGTTAACTTTTGTAGAAGTAATATATACAATGACAACTCCTAATTCCGTTTTGGTTTTCATAAAAACTCATCCTAAAACAAGTTATTGTGTGTGAGATATAGAGGGAAAGAGGCTTAGGACATGTTATACTACTTCTCGTTCCTAATATAAAAGCTAATAAAAAATTAAATATGATCTTAAATATAAGATTTCAATACATTTTGTTATTTTTATTTATTCAAATTAACCCTATTAATCGTATATGTTATTGTTTCAAAAGGTAATTTCAATATAAATGATTTAAAAGAATGTTTTAGGACAGCACATATTTTTTCACAAATAACTATTTAATTACTTTTCTTGGTATATCCAAATTAGTTAAGTAGATATTATGTGAATAATCAGATGTTGTATATGTAATATGTTTATCCAAAAAAAAATTCTCATGTTAAATTTTGCAGCTGGCAGAGGTGTAGGCTGAAAAACAAGAAGCAGACGGAAACCCGAATATGAAACGGGAGCCAGGCAACGTCAGAGTAACGTAATCAACAAAATATTAGAAGCTTCTCAATGCTGCACATCCTCGTAATTATTAATTATGGGCGACGATGAATGACTTTTAGAGATTATCGATGGAATAAAGATCGATATATTTGATGAATAGTCACGCATGCTCACAACAATGCAATGACAGATCGAAGCAATGCAAGTTTATACCAGTCATCACAGAGTGTTGCTTTTATTATAAGTCAAACCCAACTGATGACGATGACCTTTTCCCAGAATAGCTTGGTTTGTATAGTATTTCATAATTTATTAATCGACTTGTTTGCCAATTGGCACAGACAAGAGACTCTGTAGATAAAACCAAAGCCATGAACAACCATTCTCTCCCACGAGCTTATCTTAATTTACAGATTTACAGTTATTGTAATAATTTGATTTTGTTTAGGGTTAATATGGACGAGCTTCTTTAGATGAATAATTCACTATAAAAAAATTGAAATATTTAAAGATCGCCTATTGAGCCTATGAAGCTGCCAACGTCGTGTGACGCTGGCGGCAATGATTCTGGTGTCGATCGTTTGTTCTCGAGTTAAAGATCACTTATCGCTCCGTTTAGCCCGAGCCATGGTTACCTGCTTCACTGGACGTAAGAGGACGGTGAGGATCACTTTTATTTTATTTTATTACTATTATTATTTTTTCCTAATACATTGAAGCTTCACTGAGCTTGAAAATGGGATATCACTGGGCCTAATTATCCTGGAGGTAAACGAAGCAAATTCCCGTTCCATTCTGAGCCCAAATTATATTGGGCCGGGTCTCTTTGCGTGAAGCGGGTAATCAGCAAGGACCACAAGAACCAATGTCTAGCCCCGTTTTCACACACACAAAAAGTCTCAATTTATTTGGGAGCAAAAAAAAAAAAGAAACGACAGTCGGGTTATATTGTAACACCACGTGTTTATTTTGTTGGGCACAAAGGACGCCTCGAATCCAAGTTTATGATCCTTTTGTGTGATTAAGCATTGACTCAGATCCATGATGTATCTGGGAGCATAAACAATCAGCAGTCGGCACGTGACCATGTTAGAGCGCAAGTGGTTCTTAGTCGTAATGTATTGTATGCCTCTTTGGGAAATCAACTATGTGTGGATGAGATCACAGGCTTTTAATGGTGGGGAAAAAAAGGCTTTTGGGGGTTTACTTTACACAAACGATCAATAGATAGTAAACTGAGGCATCGCACGGATTAAGCTTTGTTCATACGTCACACGAGAAGAAGAAGAAGAGAATTAAATAGGCAACTTCCCTTTTCTTTTCTTGCTATGCACAGGCATTCCATCACAACATTAATCATATTTAAAATACTATCGTCGGATACTAAATGTGAGCACTTTTTATAATAAGAATTTGAATCTTGATTTGTCATAGTATGAGAAACTATTTCTCTTTCTATTAGATCTAATCAGCGTTAGTTAACAGAACAATCTTTTGAAGGCGCAAGATTCGAATGTTTAATTTTGTGACAAGTGGCCAGGGCGAGAGTAAACGTTGTGGCAAAGGGTAATAATAAATGCAGAGACCCTGCAAATACTGAATAGATCAGATGGATCACCAAAAGATGCCCACTACAAGAGTGGAACGATGAGAACAAAAGTGGAAAGGTGGCCTCTCCACAACAGAAAATATAATAATAAAGTGAGCGTACGAATTTCTTTTTCAAGATCCACGTCTCTCTTAATCACACACACCAACAGAACAATATCACTTTAATAACCCTTTTCGGTTTGTCAAACTCTCTTTCCCAGTTAGGTGCCTACACCCACTTACCTATTTATATTAGTTTATTGCCCAATTTGTCGCAAAGAATCCCCCATGGACAGAGTCTTCTTCTTTAATATAAACACACACATGTATATATATGTGCGCATATCAAAACAACTTCTTCGTTAAGCATATCCGATCCACCTTAATATATATTATATTCTGATCTTTAACATAAAAGCTAGTTGATTAATTTAAGTAGATTAAAAAAAATAGTTAAGTTAGTTATTTGTAATAAATCTGTGTTATCTTTTTTAAAATATTTTTGCTAATAAAGTGTATTTGTTAGAACTATAATTATTACAAGGACTACTTTGAAAAAAAATAAATAAATACAATAGATAAAGTGAACCGGAATCTTACATTTAGGACTAAAATAAAAGTCAAACAAGTTTTTACTTTAAGGATCGAAAATAGTATATATATATATATGTATGTATGTATGCGCGTGTACCATAACAATGTTATTAGTTGTTTTTAGTCTGCTGCATGCCACAAGCATTATTGTACGTATCACATGCATACAACTTCAATTGTTGCTTGTTTAGGCTCAGATCTTAATGAAAAATGAACGGACAGAGAGACAGATAAAAGAATTAAGATGTTATCTTTCGGCTCCGATTCGAAACTAAATAGACAGTTACAGAAAAGTTTGAACTGCAGAAAACTACAAGAGATCAGAAACGTACGTACGTACATGCATACATATATATGTCTGAAAATACATAACTCCTGCGTCTATATATGCTTATACATATTATAAAGTGAACTGTGTTAGCAATATACAATTATAATAAAACTGAATGGTAAGTGAGGGCAATAAGTGTTTCTTTTGTGCTGAATGGTCTGATCTGTGGAATAAAATATGAAGGTGATGTTTGTATATTAACTCAACCTTTGTACTGTTTAAAGAAGGTGGACCAATGAAATTATACTCAGAACCACAAATCATGTTCTCTCCATCCACACTAACTTCGCTGTGAAGATTGGCAAACCTACCTTTCACGACTTGCGATGACCTTGGAACATGCATCAACATGTAGTATTCTGGTAACCTATATATTATAGACAAACATATATTTATGTGTGGAATTCGTACCTATTGGCAGGAGACAGAGACTACTTCTGTTCGAGATTCTAATTTAAATTCCATTACTATATATATTTACCGTCAACTATTAAATTATGATTACTAATATCCCAATTTAGAAACTCTATAATAGCGTACTGGCCATGTTTTTATATTAATTAATTCCTGGCTCAAACATGATGACTCTGTGCTGGTGTCCCCGTCCCGCGATCTGAGATCCTAAGCCTCCAATAAAGCTTAACTTTTTCTTCCCTCATATGATATGATTGTTTGAATTCGGAAGCTTCACTCATGTCCTACCACATTCTTATTATCTGAGCTAGTCTCGTTGCTCTCCATTAAAACTTGAAAATTATGAATTATATTAATCTTTCTCACCACTGATGTATAAAAAGTAGTTACAACTGCATTTATTTTAAATAGAAATATCCTTTATATTGATTTCATACAAAATTATGCTATTCATGTGGTTAGTGCGGTTATGGATATGTTTTCTATGTTTGCGTATAAACATATATATTTCCTCCAATCTTTAATATAAAAATTAGTTGACTAATTTGGAAAGACTAGAAAAAATTAGTTAAATTAGTTATTTGCAATAAATAGGTGTTGTCTTTCTTAGAATACCTTTACTAATCATATGTATTAACTAAAACTATCATTTGATGAAATATTTAACATATACAATTATTACAAAGACTACTTTGAAATAATGGATAAATATGAAAAACAAAGTGAACTAGAGTACCACTTCTGATCTTAATATAACACCTCGTTTGATTTTTATTTTGGTCCTAAATATAAAACCCCAATCCACTTTGTCTTTAATATTTATGCATTTTTTTTCAAGATAGTCCTTCTAATAATGATAGTTCTAACCAATACACTTGATTAGTAAGGATATTTTAGGAAAAACAACACCTATTTATTACAAATAACTAACTTAACTTCTTTTCTCAATCTCCTCAAATTAGTCAACTAGCACTTATAATTAGGACAGAAGGTAGTACTCCTCCGGTCCTTATTATAAGACCCAATTTGACTTTTTATTTGGTCCTAATTATAAGACCCAATCCATTTTCTCTCTTATATTTATGTATTTTTTTCAAGATAATCCTTCTAATAATGATAGTTTTAGCCAATATACTTAATTAGCAAGGATATTTTAGGAATAACAACACTTATTTATTATAAATAACCAACTTAACTTACTTCCTTAATCTCCTCAAATAAGTCAATTGGGTCTTATAATTAGGACCGGAGGAGTATTATATTTTGAGCCAAATTGAAAGTCAAACTAACTTTTACATGAAGAAATGGAGGTAGTATTATATCTAAATATCTCTAGCTATATGGAGAAACGAGGGAGTAATTTACTTACTTATTCAATTGGAACAAGGAAAACTTCAATTGTTCGCGTTTCAGTTACAGTGAGAAAACGTCAATTAAAAACAAAATAATAAACTCTAAAACGTAGTATGAGGAAAACTTCAACGCTGTTCCTTCAGAGAGAGGATATGCTTGGTGGCACCGCACGGAATAATTTCTTTCCAAATATATTTTTTCTCGAATCTTTGTTTTTTATTTGGGCGGTAAGTATAAAATATCTAGCATTATAGAGGGTAAAATGATTAAATTATCCTAGATTTTGCTTTAATGAATGAATACAAATGAAAAAGAACCAGTGCGTTTAATTAATAATATGTGCCTTCAAATTATTGGAAGAGTCAGAGGGTTTGTCCTTTTCATGTGTGTGTATAGAATGCGAAAAGGGGGGGTTAGTGAAGCATAATAACGAGGATTAAGACTAATCAATTATTATGCGTCGGAGGAATTTGTTGAACTTGTCGATTAGCAAAGAATCAAGCTATCACTAATAATTCACGACTACACAGAACAAAATTATTTGATACATTACTCCCCGGAAAGCCCTTGGGTTGGGAACAAGAAGGAGAAATTAATGATTCTAGGGAAGATCGAATATAGGCAGCAAAGATGTGGATCCCCTACCATTCGAACATCTCTTAACTGTTCAAGAGCAGTATATATAAGTTAAATATTTTAGCTTTCATGTCCTGATATGAAGTTGTGGGAAAATTATATTGTCTCTTGCATGCTATATAGGTCAGGTGGAGAAATGCCAGAAAAATTAGATTCAAGAGTAGTACTCCTCCGGTCCTAACCTAATTATTGAGTTGGTTTTAGTCTTAATATAATACCCATTTCTCATATTTATCAATTTTCTCTAAATTATCTATATGGATACTCCCTCAACCATAATCAATTAGAAGAGAGAGAGGGGGTATTAAGAAAGATGATTATGGTGTTTTAGGAAAAATATGTCACATTTCTTATAATTAACTAACTTACATAATTTTCTTAATCAAATCAAATTAGTTAAATGAGTCTTATATTAAGGACCGGAAGAGTAATATGTTTTGGGAGATCATTTTGATATATTAAAAAATTAAGGTGCATCCAACACTTCAAAATATTTTTATAGGTACATTTACCACCTCAAAATATTATGTGGTGCATCTAATACTCTGAAGTACTTTTCAGGTGCGTCCAACACTCAAAAGTTTTTTTTTTTACCTTGATGCTAGATGTACTGAAAAAATATTTTGGGTGCTATACGCACCTAAAAAAATACTTTAGAGTGTTGGATATACTAAAAAATACTTCAAAGTACTGAATGTATTAAAAAAATATTTCAGAATGTTAGATATGCCACAAAATACTTTAGAGTATTGGATATAGCTCGAAAAATACTTTAAGGTACTAGATGCACCTTAACCCTATATTAAATTACTAAGATCACAAATATATACTTAGAGAAGAGGCAAATGATGAAACCTTAATTTTGTATATTTAGAACTAAATGCATGTTGTAATATAGCATAGGAATTCATGAACGTGAATAGTAATGCATCATTTATTCCTCAGTGGCATCATTCAAAGACAAAAAGCCCAATCACAAATGAAGAGTATATTGAAAACAGTTTATGCATGGCACTTGTTTGTGTTACTAAAAATTATATATGTGTGTGTGTGTGTGTATTTCGTGGTGCTAATGAACCATTTCTTAATTGCAATCTAGAAGGGCCGTTAAATTCACCGTATGCTATGCGAGTAAACAGCAGGTGATGAAATGGCGCCCTGTGGCAAGAGTTCAATAGTTTATTCGTCATCAGTTCTTTTTAGGTCTTAGTTTAATTGGTAGTGTGCGCAAAACAACAAAGCGACGTGCACTCATATCGTCCACAAATTCAATTTACAGCATTATTTACGGTACTTAGCTCGAAATTATGGACGGCATTAATTACATCAATTAATTAATTAATCAAATAATTAACCTCCATAAAGTACGATCGAAAGGAAGTAGAGGCTAAAGCCCGAGGAGGGTGGGACCATTCTCTCCATGTAGTACATGATAAGTTTTGAGTCTCTTTCTTTAAAGCTGCCGGGTAAGTTTACTGCCCCGCGAACTATATATATATATATTATATGCACACACATACACACACAGTTACATAAAAAAGATATGAACCTAACTCATAGCAACAAAGGGAATTGCCCGCCACTGTGTTCCCCAATGAGTCTGAGCTGGTCCTGTTCATTACCTGCCTCGTCATCAAAGTCAAATAACTTCAAGATTCTTGTTGAACATAAAAAAATATCTATCACATTATGAATTCATGAACGATCATGACCTGTATTTTTCAAATAAAAAACAAAAAAAACTATTAAGTTTCTTCACAATCTTGTTAGATCTATGGCTGATATTCATTCATTGATGACCTGTCGAGCTAGCTAGCTATACAGATGCTCCTCACCCAAAATATTCTCCTATATGAATGGTACACACACATGCACATATGATCTTGCATAAACATGGCAACTCTTGGATTTGCGTCGTCTATAAATATATATATTAGGGTCAGTACAGAGAGCAACGTGTCTGTGTTTGACAGGACTGAAGTTAATCTCTCTTTGTGGTACAGAGAGATGAGTTATATCTCAGAGAGAGAAGGCTTTAATAAGTACAACTTCAGCAACACAGATTCTCATCATCATCAAGACGGGGGAATCATCAAGGAGCAAGATCGCTTGCTTCCAATAGCTAATGTGGGGAGGATTATGAAGCAAATTCTGCCTCCTAACGCCAAAATCTCCAAAGAAGCCAAGGAAACCATGCAAGAATGTGTTTCTGAGTTCATAAGCTTCGTCACTGGGGAGGCCTCTGACAAGTGTCACAAGGAGAAGCGCAAGACAGTGAATGGCGACGATATTTGCTGGGCCCTCTCTACTCTAGGGTTTGACGACTACGCCGAGCCACTCAAGAGGTATTTGCTTAAGTTTAGGGAATCAGAGGGCGAGAGATCTAACCAAAATAAGGCCAACAATTTTCACACTGATGAAATTGATGTTGCTGATCAAGCTTGTGAATATGGAGGTGAGCCTCCCAGGAGAGCCCCCACTACTAGTGCTTCCTCTGCTACGGGTACCTCATTGATGAGGTTCAATGGCACCTCTCACTCACACCAGTTTCCAAACTTCTAGCTAGTTAGCCACCACCCCCACCCTCCCTCTGTGATTTTGATCAGATATTCATGTTATATTCTGCCGTAGAAGCATGTGGATTAATGAAAAGATGCTGCATATATGTTTGTTTATTCTGGTGTAGTGGTGCTTTGTTGTTTTAGGGTTAATTACAGATAGTAGCTGAGGATTATGTGAGTTATATAGCTAATCTTTGTACTTGTTTCTTGTCCTGTGATAATAAGCCTTTGTTATCAGAAGTGGTGAACTACTGATGATCAATTAACAGACATGCTTCGTCCTGACAACTAATTTTGGGAGTTCCAAAGGGAGTTTAGTTTTATATAATTAACTTGTTTGGCGAAGATTCTTAATATGAAATTGTCAGTTGATCAAGATATATATAAATTGGAGTTTCTTGCTTTTGATAACTGATCGATGGAAGAGATCAAGCATCAAGTGTGAGGCAGGTTTTACTCTTTTTTATCCTTAACGGTGGATTAATTAGAAGAAAATATCTGGAATCATCTATGAATGATAATTAATTCGTGTGTGGATTGATTATCTCAGCTCAAATAGTAGTATAATCTATTGAGCACCTATGACGCATAGGCAATAGGCACTGTCTGGGATAAAGGTATTTTTTGACATTCCCCTGGAAACAATACCTGAGGAATTAAATTTCCCGTTTTTGGTGTATAAATTTTTAAACAATCGCTTTTCCATCTGTATTTATCTACCCACTGTCAATTGGTCACTCTTGCAACCAACTAACGATGGGATTTTAGGATTTCCATTGAATTAATTACCACCTTCTGCTATGCATGTATAATTATCTTTATGTATGAAGATCCAAACAAATAATAGAGATCATTAATTTCAGCTAATTGAAGGGAAGTTTATTCCTACATTTAGCGTTTGAAGTAGAAGTTTTTGAAGGAAACTGGGAACTGCTTAGTGGTAGTTTGGTTTATCGTATGCGGAAATATGGCAGTTATAATGCTTTCTTACGCGTACTTTAATTTTTCTTATTTAGATTCCATTTTTTTTTGGCAGAATTTACATTCCATTATTTAAATATCAATTATTCACACATTATTTACACTTCATTCTAACTTTACCACCGCATTCTACACTCTTAAATATCGTAACGATACATAATTACATATATACGCATTCTGTTCATATTACACCCTGATATCGATCTGTCCAAGTTTTAGATCTTCCAATCTTCGAGCTGCTCGGATGTGAGCGATTTCAGTGTATATAATGTACGTATTCTGAAATGAGCACAGAAAGAGGTAGGCGTATTGTTGAGGTAGATAAGTTGCTACGAAAACTTTGATTGGTAGGCACAGGGCTATGAGATTTCCATTGGTGGATTCATTTTTGTCGCAATCCGCTTGACTCGTCGGAGTGGTCATTCATTGTCCGGTATCTAATCTCCTTGATTAGCAGGTAACATTTGTCTCTAATTGAATTCAAAACCCTAGATCCCCTTTTTGTGGCTCTACCTACCTTTATTAAGGCTACAATTAAAGATGCTCCAAGACAAAATTATCAGTATAAAAAATAACGATTAGGGCTAGGTGTGCTGTATGCTAGTTTTTTCCCCTTGTAATGATAATGATGTACATGTTACGTTTATTAAGGTCTTCTTGTTGTCGTATCTGAAGTCACAGACCCGTGTGGCGGCGTTCCAATTATTTGACATCTGGTTAATCTCTTCTACGGATTCCTGAGATTCATATTCACTTATATTCCACCAAATGATCAATAATGGAATCCCCATCCTCGCATGTATGAGTTAAAACTGAGGAAAGAAAAGCGATACCAACCTGCCGATCAAACATACAAATTAATTGGTGATTCGTACCAACCAAACATCGCACAAATACCCCACACAAAAACTCATTAATGTCTACTACCAATATAGAACTTGCCACTTGCACCCTGCAATAATACACAACTTAGAATATAATAAAATATACAACAGCTAAATCGCTTCCAGTACAGCTCTCTTTTGTTCCATGTACCCTTCATTACAGTATAGATTAATCTTTACTTCAGAGCTCTACCAAAGACAGCTTTTAATTTGGGACTCCCGTCTGGTTTAAAGCTCGTAAGTCATACCCACTTTGACCAAACGCTTATGAGGAATATCAAACACTTTGTCACTTTGTCTCAAGTTTTTCTTCACAAAGTTGTAAGCATAATTGATCAAAATCTTCTTCCCTATGTTGGCTCCTTTGATAGCAACCACCTCGCTCTCACCAATCAAGTGCACAACACGTGCTCGCATTGCTCTCTCAACTGCCTCAATCTCTCTTTTAACAGCCTCTTGTTGTCTCTCTTCCTCACGAGTCTCTTGCACTACTTCATCTTCAACCTCTACTTTCTCCTCATTTTCCCCATTCTGTATCAGTACTCTCGGTGACACCCAAACCTCTCTAGAAATAAACTCCTTCAACCTTTCAACCAATAATCTCTCAAAAGGCTCTTTCTCGTTGCGCACATCAGTGTACCCATATCTCGCTACACAACAGAATACGTTAAGTTCTTTGGGTTCCACTCTGCGGAACAGGAATCGCTCTTCTGTAGCAACTTTGCTTATAGGTAACGATTTGATAGAGACAAAGACAAGAATAGAGTGCAATGCAGGCACATTTGTCACATAATGCTGGAAAATAGGTGGAACACCTTGAACAAGCTCAGAGTAGAACATGGCCAAACCAGGAATTCTGGAAACTTGTGTGTCGGCAGCGACCTCTCTGAGCTTCTCTGGAGAAATCTTGTTGTCCAGCTCAAAGTAGTACTTCCTTCGGTACACGTCGTTCCAGATGTACATGATGGACATGAGCACCGCGGCGAAGGCAAGGGGAAGATACCCTCCTTGATCAAACTTGTACAACACTGAGCTTAAATACAGAAGCTCCACAGAACAAAATATAACAACGTAACCCATAACAAGAAGAAAGTGAGTTTTCCATATCATGATCATGATAAGCACAAGTAAGGCTGATGTCAGTGTCATTACAAAAACCACAGCTATCCCTGCATGTATAACGACGAACGAAACTATTCGTTAGATTACAAAGCAAGATTAAGAGTTTTGAGTACACAATGAGAATTCGTGGAATGATTACCGTAGGCATTGCCAATTTTTGTGGTGTCCCTAAATCCCAGAGTAACGGCAACGCACGCTATCATCAAGATGTAATTAGTCTCAGGTATGTAAACCTGTCCTTCGTACTTGGTAGAAGTGTGCACGATCTTCACCCGAGGAAAGCAACCCAGTGAAAGGGATTGTTGGATTATAGAGAAAGTCCCAGAAATCATGGCTTGAGAAGCTATGATTGCTGCTGCAACGGCGATCGCAAACATTGGCCAGTACAAAGGGTCTGCAATAACCAGTAACAGATTCTAATTAACTAACAGTTAATCTGAACCCCTTATTTTCGCAAGTAGGGGTTGGATCGACATGTTCGAGGCTTTGAGAGTTTTCATTAGCATACCTGGAATTGACTCGTAAAAGGTGTTTGCAACAAGATCGTTATGTTTGCGAAGAAAGGAGGCTTGCCCAGTGTAAGCCAATATAAGAGCAGGGTATGTCACAGAACACATACTGATTTGGATAGAACGAACACTGAAATGTCCAACATCAGCAAATAATGCTTCAGTACCTGCAAATTAATTTGTCCCCCCACATCTATGAGCTAGAAATGGTATGCCGTAAATAACCTTATCATTGCAGGCGAAAACGAACTGAAATTAACAACATATGAAACCTGTAGTGGAGAGCACAATGCCACCAAGAGAAATCCAACCATCTTTCTTGTTCCTTTTGAAATATTGTATAATGTATGCAGGATTTAACGCTTTGAGGACCGTTGGATCGTACTTGATAAAGTTGTAAATACCAATGCCTCCAATGAAGGTGAACCAAATGCAAATAATGGGAGCAAAACTGTACCCCACTCTATCAGTTCCAAATCTTTGGACCATGAAAAGGCACACCAAAATTGCAACGGATATCCAAACAACCCCATCTGTGTACCAAGAACATAGGAAGGATCGGAAAAGAAAGAATTGTGCATGAATGTCATCGGTGTCACTTGACTTGCAAATATAGGTCTGTCTAGTAGTGGGCATAAAATTAAATTGTACGTGATATTATAAAATGTGAGAATATTATGTGAATAATGTTTTTTAATTTCCTAATCATGGTCCAGCCGGTCTCAGCAAAGAGACTGTCAGAAGCAAACAATATCATTTATGCGGATTTCGAAAATTCAGTACCTTTCATAAAACATAACACTTCAATAAATTTATAACACACACACCCCCTTGAAACATTGCATCTTTCATTGCGTTTCAATATTGGTAAATGAAACATAGCGTATACGTACCGTCTGTTATGGATGTAGCAGCTTGCTTGATCCCTCCAACAGCCGATAAAACTGCAGCCAAATAAAACATGTCATAATTAATTACTAACTTTGATTGTGATTTGGCGTCCGTATTCTCTAGAGTGGTATATTGGAAATTAAGGGGTAAAGAAATAGGGAGAGAAAGAGAGAGACAAACCTGAAATGCAGGGAGTCAGAACACCATCACCAATGACCATAGAAGTACCGAGCATGGTAGCAAATAAAAGAAAAAACTTAGCAAAGTGGCTGTTCTCAAGTTTATATTTGATCTTTGAAGCCCTCCTCATTCTTCTGCTTTCAGGCAACTCTAACTGATAATTAGACACCTCTGCATCTTCCGATTGCTCATTGGGAATAAGCCCCACTTTGGCATAACGACATATCAGAGAGTACAATGCGAATGTCCCTCCTAGACATAATTCACTATGCAGATTATAACCCTCCAAAGGCAAAGAACTGAACCATAACTTTTTTTTCCTTTTTAGATGGCGCACACATGTATAAATACCTACCATCATAGCGTGAGTGTTTGCGCTAATATTTAAATCGCAAATTCTTTTGGTGTAAATTATTGAAACATAATATATATATATATATTGCTATTCAAAGTCATCGTCAATCGGCAAAAGAATCACGAATACATGATTATTGGCGGCGAGGGACTCCACATAAATGTAATTTAATTTTGGAATATATGTGTGTGTGCATATAAAAACCCGGTCCATGTCCCAATTAAGCAGGCACCACCATATTGATGTTTAGCACTGTTTCTGCCTTTAAAGACCGACTTTAGATGTGGAAGATAAGTTTTTTTAAAGTTGAAAAAGTCAAATACAGGCACGGAGACAGGGAGTTTGCGTCCGTGT